ACAGATTCAAAACTTTTAGCGAAATGCAAAATCAGTCCCACAGCTTTTGCCAAGCCAACCGCAACTTCCATTTATAAACGAGGGTTGAAATTTTCGTTGAGATGTTTTCTTTACACGCGATGATAGTTATTATTTTAGTTTACCACCATCTTTTCACAGGACGATCGACTGAAGACTAAACTAGGTGTTTTGAAACATATTCTGTTGCCAAAAACATTATCATCCGTCAAAAATGACAACAGATTTTTAAAGAAAAACAAGTAACCAACAAAAACACCCATCGCACAAAATGGCACCGTCCACTAGTATCTGCAAACTACAGACGTTCATACGAAGAACCGTGCAATCTTCGAAACAATTTTCAGCGAAAAATATATATATTGACATGAATAACAATCCTACCAAAATTGTTATGGACATCAAGTTCATCAACACATCCTCTTGTAAGTACAAAACCCGATCAAAAGCATGAATTTTGTCATGAGAAATCAACAGCGATGCGCTGTGTTGATCGGCCAGCCACGTGGTTGGCCCTACCATGTACATTTGTACACGCGCACGTACGTACACACGCCGCCGTGGCACAGAGCCTCCCGTGCGGTGTTGGATTTGCAGTGTGCACGCTGCGGCGCTTGAATGCCGCGGTGTGCACGGGGTGGCGTTTGAATGCCGAGCCTCCGAAAACCACCCCTCAAATAACGGCGTTTCGCTCAAAAACCTCTAATGATATGACATTTGTATTTCCTTTATATAATTCTACAATAAATACTTATATACACATACCTTAGCGCTTCAAGATTCGTCCACTCAAAATGTGATATTTGACTGTTTGAAAATTGTAAAACTTCGCGATCAAGTGGAAGCCATCGTTCGATTTTCAAACGCTAAAGCCGAACGATGCCAGATGTCTTCGTCTTTCCGACGCGATGATGACGTCGTTTTCTTATTGGACGGTCGTTGCGTGGAAACTTGCATATAGTTAGCGAACGGTATATACTTGCGAGACATGTACTGTACATAATACATACACACACGTTGTGGGTCGATGTCTCACATTACACGTACAGAGCACACAATGCGCACAAAAAAATGTGGTTTCTGACACGTCCACATAGGGCGAATGCATGTATACGTATGTAGCTGCAAATTATTTGATGGCGTCGATATTTACCAAGGTGTGATTGGACACTCCACATATTAGCCCCGCCGACGCTTATCTGTATTCGCATATGAGGTCGTGCGCTGGAAATCTAGCGCAAAATAACTTGAGAAAAACATAAGCTTTCGCGGACGATTTGCCCACTAGGCGTTCGATCGGATCCAAATGATCTGCATAAAATAGTGGCCGCATGAGGTCGCTGTTCGCGCTGTATTTTTAATGCACTGAATAGCGTCCGATCGTACCCCCCGCCCTGCAAACAGGACGCTGGGATACTCTGATGAGCTTCACATAATTTTGTGAAGGAAGTGGCCTATGAACTATGTATAAAGCATCTGGCTACAGACCGCAGTTAGACAGTGTGCGCAAATGCTATCCGAAAACTTCCCATAGAAATGCGCACATTCCATACCGGATGTGATTTCTGTTTTATTGCGGACCATGTGGACAAAATTTTGAGCGTCGCATGATACAACCCGACCGTTCGTGATTCGAAACGGAGCCTGAGCAAGTGACGGGAATTGTAAATTTACAACACGGATCAGTTTTACAGAATTTCCTACATTATAACGCTTTTCAACAAGAAAAAAACATCTCTAAACTGGAATAAAAGAGTAATGAATCAGTCTTAACGGCCGTTTCAAACCTTGCAGTGTCATGACCTTATTATAGCGATATAGCGATATATTTTTCACGACAGTTTGCAACTAACCTCTTTAACAATTTTGAGAAGCATGGCAAGACAGATATGGGGCGATAATTAGTCACATGGGAACGATCACCACTTTTGTAAACTGGAGAACCTTTAGCAATTTTAAGTTTATTAGGGACTTCGCCGGAAATTAAAGAGTGATCAGAATATTATCAAGTTCACCATGACCAGAACTCTTCTTATTTGGAAGTTTACTGATACAATCAAATAGTTCTACCTGTGTGATTGGACTTGAAAATAGACAATCGGGAAAGATACCTTTGATATAATTTATCGGGTCAGAAGTACTATGTGGTATCTTAGAAGCTAAATCTGGACCAATGTTAACAAAATATTGATTAAAATGCTCGGCAATCGTTTGAGGGTCGTTAAAATCACAATTGTTTATTTCAATCGAATTAAATACCAGTCTGCTCTGATGAATAATTAAAACATTGTGATTTAACATACCCTTATGTAATAAGCCAATAAAAAAAAAGGAAAGTTAGGCTTGAACGCATAAATAGTCTGGCACCATCAGGGGCGGCAGGCCCCCCCCCCCCACCTCGTCCCCAGTGCTCACTTTATTTCAAACCTGGTTTCCAATAGTAAGCCCTGGTTAGGAAACTTTCTTCCTGTATCCTGTATCCTGATACCGCAATTGGCTAGTAGTGGATTTTTATCGTGTACTTGGTGCTATTATTCACAACGTGCAGTACGTGTTTTCGCAATCATTCGTCCACGCCTTCTCAAAAATACTAATTTCCTTTCCAATTTGCTCATATTAATATGAAATATGATACTGCATGTTGTCTTGATAAGATCGTAACAGTTTGATTTAAAACAAAAAATCGTGTTTTCGTAACTCACGCCGTGCTTGCGCTGCTATGAAATGACTCTGTTTTTACCCCAGACACCGCATACAAAAACAAACGCTAATGTAACGCATATCCAGGCACGAGACTGTTCCTCATTTGCATACGTGTTCAAAAATCTTGCACATGCAAATGATCCAATACCAGGGTGAGAGAGCAGGTAGTGGTGGGCGCGTACTGCTCGACACCCTGCGGACGAGGTTGGGGCCTCTCAGATTTACCCAAGTGCCCCTTTTGCGGACATAAAATTTAATGTGCCCCCCCCCCCCTCGCGCATAAATGTGCCCCCTCGAGATGAAAACAAAACTGGTCGTAACATTTTGGATAATTTCTTTTCAGTAACCATGTCCCAAAATGGTATAGAGAGTTCTGAAATGAACGAGGAATATGAAAACCAAGCCCCAAAACCCTTATAAGTGCGCCCTGAAAATGGGCACATGATACGTATGTTGCATAATGGCAGGTTTTTAAGAGCGCCTCCTATTTTGGACTTGAAGATTTTGGAATATTGGGGGCTGTTGTGACCTGTAATGTAATAATTGACAATTATTACATCACTGGTCGTAACAGGAGCCTCGTCGGACAAAACACGACAGCGTCTAACGAATTACTTTCAAGTCTACACGGACCAGTATGGTCGGTGATGGCCATTGGTTACTTTCAGTGTGCGAGGATTAGGGTGAATAACGAACGATATATCGTTTCGTCGAAGTATAGTTGTGCAATTTGAGCTGTTACGAATCTTCAAGCAAACAACGAACGGACTACAATTTGAGCTATAATTGTAGGCTACATACACGTTTGTCCAGTACCTCACACAGAATTAAGGAACCCTTTACACACTTGTGGTCAAGCATACCGGTAGTTTGTCCCGTGAAGCAAGATGTTTTAATATCTCAAGGTCGAAGCACACAACTATCTGCGGTGGAGCTTCGTACACAATACAGCGTGTATTTTATCAGCCTTGTTAGGTTAATACAATTTTTTGATATGTGCACACCTTTGGATCAGGGATGATGTTGGTTCACAGTCACAACTTTATACCATAACCCGTTGAGAAGAAAATCCGCGGAGAAATATTTAGAGAGTATTTTTTTAGAAGAGTTATTTGAACAATTCTAAACAGTGATCGGGTTGTGGCCGATCACTCAAAAACACGAACGCTTCTTAAGAACGAAGACCGTAACCACAACCCCCATCACCCACTTGAAAACACATACCAAACATGTTAATTTCTCACAACTGGATTCCGTTGCTAATGCTCACCTTTCAAAAACCTCCTCCACTGATTGTTTTATCCGAGTGAGACCATTTCAGGCAGAATAATTTCACAGGCTTTTGGGGACTGGTCCTATCTTTACTTCGAGCGCTTTCAACATGCCTTGGATTAGAAATAGTGTATTAGGCAAAAGGTAAACTAATTTCAGGTATTGATAATTATAAACTGTCTGTTCAGGGCGAGTCAAAAAAAGCAAACCCCAATGGCAGGACCAGTGTTGTAGTACTCGTACTCGGTACTCGTACTCGAGTACTACTCGAGTACTTTTTTGTAGTACTCGTACTCGAATGTCAAAGTACTCGTACTCGAAATGACGGTACTCGTACTCGGGCAGCAAAGTACTCGTACTCGACATTTCGAAATTGTACTCGACCATCAAAGTACTCGTACTCGAATAGCAGTACTCGGGGAAAAAAGGTACAGCTTGACTTACCACAGCCTTATTTTATCAGTTTGAAATGGTTGATTGGCTTGTGGAGCAATCGAAGCTTCATGATTTTTCTCTGTGCATGTCCGGACAAACACATTTCACAGCTAGCCGTGAGTGAGTCTGTATATCGGTCTGACTGGGCCTGGGCTAATTATGCACAATGAACCATTTGCCGTATGGCCGTATTCGGAATTACAAGTACTCGTACTCGGAAGTACAAGTACTCGTACTTGTACTCGTACTCGGAAGTACAAGTTCTTGTACTCGGAGACCTGTTCTTGTACTCGGAGGTACAAGTACTCGTACTCGAAGACCTGTTCTTGTACTCGGAGGTACAAGTACTCGTACTCTTACTCGGGAACCAAAGTACTCGGCAGTACTCGGTACTCGGAAAAAGTACTCGACTACAACACTGGGCAGGTCCAATTATTTAATGAAGTTCTGCATGTAGCACTTTCAATATATAGGACATGAAAGCCCAATTAATAAGCTTTCTTTTAGTATAAGAATCATTCAAATCACTTATGTACTTTTCAAGTTACGGAAGTTTGAACACAAACACCGTTTTAAAGTTCTGTCCATGGATCACAAAAAAAAAGGTAAGTGTTCTTTCAGCAAAACAAAAACAATTCACTTAGAGATGTATTAACGTATATACAGTAAGAACTCGTCCTCATGTCAACACTAAAATATCTTAAACATGTACAATTTAGATTGTTTTGGTTCTTTCTTGTTAAACCGATGAGGAATCTCTCAATGGCTGCAATATGTTACAAAGACAAACAGTCGTACAATTACAAGATACACACATATTAAATTTACAAACTGCACAGAATGCGAAATGTTAACGTGAAAGACATTTTGAATCGGTTTGCACATACGCCTTAAAATCTACGCTGGTTTCGTATGGTACCCATACACTTTGAGTAAATCAAATACACCAGACGCGAAACAACAACATGTTTTCGTACAATTTGAATTCCATTACATTATTTTCCACACTCATTTAACATGTTATAAAGCATCACTGCCCTAATTATTTACTGTAGATTATCACACTACCAAACTGAATGACGAATTCGACGAGTTAATTGGTGATCGTTTGTAAACCAAAATCCCTTAGAACAGTCAACAAGGTCGTGATTGGCACATGATATAGGAGCAATTCCAGACCAGGTGAAGAACTGCAGCCGTTGCATTATTAAAAAAATCTTGATTTTTTTTTTTGGCTGCAACCAAATATAGGCACTATGGCTGGTTTCATTCGGTACCAGTGCACTTTGAGTAAATCAAATACACCAGACGAGATACAATAACGTGTTTTCACATTATTTGAATTCCACTGAATTATTTTCGACACACATTTAACATGTTATAAAGCATCATTACCGTAATTATTTACTATAGATTATCACTTGACCAAACTGAATAACAAATTTGACGACTTAAACCCCAGATATCGCATACAAAAACAAACACTGATTTAAAGCACATCTAGGCACCAGACTGTTCCAGATGTGCAAGAGTTTTGAACATGCAAATGAGATAATAAGCCTCTGTGCTGATGACGTCACACTTTGTTTACACGTGTGCTTTCTTATGGGAGCCAGGTGGGAACGGCGGTTTCGTAGCCCCGAAGAAAAGCGTACAAGTAAATAAAGCGTGACGTCATCAGTAGAGAGGGTTATACCATGGTGAGAGTAGATAGTGGTGGGAGAGTATACTGCTCGACACCATGTGAACGAGATTGGTCCAGTCCTTTGGCAACTGATGAATCTGCTGCCTTCTATTGAAGCTTGCCCTTAACCCTTAAGAGTGAATTCCAACTTGAACTTCAATCCTTCGCTCGTACCCTCCGCCCTATCCAACGACACCGGTGATCCCACATTTCTCTGAGCTAGTGTACGGATTTTGTTTTTCGATGACCCAGAGTCAGTACTTCCATGTGCGCATGACAAGTGACCTATCCACACTGCTTTACGACGTCTGCCTTCACGAGATTTTTATGAATGGAATCAGTGGCGCACTTGAATATATTGTTTAGGACGAGCGAATCTAGAACATTGAACCCCAAATCGGGAAATGAGAAGTGTCCACATAGCGTAATCTCGATCATGCGTCCGTATCTGTTCTCGGGTCATCATCCTCCAGCTTCAAGATGACGCTGTTGGGGCTGGAGCTCCGTCCGCTCATGGACCGTCTGGGCTTAGTCTGACCCTCCAGCAGCGAGTCCGTCTCCTTCGGAGGAGACGAATTCTCTTCGGAGCTCTTGGTGCGAACGGACGGCTGGAGAACGTCTACGAGGTGGTGGTTATGACCCTGGATGTCGTCTGGGTCCATCTCGTTGAGGCGATCATAACTAGACCCATTGCTCAGTCTCTGTAGTGACAGTGGTCGCACCTTCGGCATCTGCCGCCACTGAAATGGAAACAATCGAGGCAGGGTTGAGAATTTGAGGTCGGAACAAAACTTCTTTGCTTCACTTATCAAATTATCAAACGCAGTATAAAAAAAGAATACTACACGCTCTTCATTTTGGTACATTGTTTGTATATCAATGACGAATGTGCTTCTCTAAAACGACTTCTGAAGAGACGAAACGCGACAGTAAATGTATAACCGAAATTGCTTGAATACGAACCCACGACAAATTGATTGGAAAACATATTTTTGCACATATTTCGCGGGGAAAACCTTAATATTATTTTGGTTCAATCTTGCGAGCAATCTGTCACCCTCCTGCATGTTTATGTAGAACTGATGTTGCTAATTTGCTTTGTTATATCTCACGTTCCTTGCTGTCTTATCTTGCCAAGCAAAAGCACTTCATTGCGACTACTTTAGTGTTAAACTTTAACTACAGCCTTTCAAGTGCTACAAAAAAAATCAAGAGTTACAATGTAAACCACGGATTGTTAGTGATTAAATATACAACTGTGCAAGTTTGAGAAGTGCCAAGGGAATAACGCAGTTGTTAGTCGAAAATAAAGAAGCGAAATCTGTTAGTATCGAAAGAAAGTGCGTGCGGCTGCAAACAACCATATCTTAGAAATCATGCAGACATAAATCTATGATACGGTGCTTAAAAAAGTGTTCGTAATTCGTATTATTATGGGCCTTACTCACGAGTCGGCCATATTGAATTGAAAGTGAGGTAAAATTTAATTTTTTGGAACTTGCGAAGAGAAATGAAAGCAAGTTAATTCCTTATTAATTCCAGTCTGCTTCAATGAATAATTTTACATTTGTAATTAAAAATTCCCTTATGTTTAAAGCCAGATTTAAAGAAGACAGTAAAATAAGGCTGCATTGTGCCCGCATCTAATAGTCTGGCGCCATCCCATTGAACAGTTAACACTTAATGACATACGTTCAGGGAACTCGACAAAATTGGCCAACTCGTTAATAAGGCCCATGGCATTTAAATGTCCATGAAACGTTTACAGAACTTTACTATAAACTGCACTCATCACTAACCACTACCAACCCTACTCTTTTTGTACTTTTAACTTAGCCATCCCTCTTACCAAGTATGATTCTTATACAGGGTGGTCAAAAAAACCCGTAACCGCATACTTCCACTACCTTAAGACTCAAGCCACCGGTACCAATTGATGGAGAATCCTTTTAGAAGAATTATGATACAAAAATCTCCCGATTCGGTTCAGTAGTTTTTGCTGCAGAGCCTTTTTTTTGTGAAGCCCACTTCTTTCGTGTTATGTGGATATTATTACATAACAATGCCTCGATCAATTACAATGCGAGTCAAATTCCCGGGCGCGGTTTAGTAATTCATCGGGACAAAAACGACCCCCACCTACCTTGCTCACAAAATAGGCTCTGAAACAAACACTTTTGGAATCCTGGCTTCATTTTTCTTCTAAAAAGATTCTCCATGCATTGGTATATGTGGTTTGAGTCTCAAGGTAGTGGAAGTGGCCATTCCGCTGCCAGGCAGTGAGGATGTTTACTTACCTACAATTGGATTGTGTTTCAAAAACAAGTAGCAAGAATGAACCAACGGTAAATCACAGAGTGATAAGAAACCAGAATCCATCTTACAAATGAAACGTTACTGTGTGCAGTACAATCAAAGCCAATTTGATTAAGAAGCTTAGGCCAAGTTAAAAAATTTAAAAAAAAAAACAGTTTCTCGTCGCCGCCGGCTTCGTTTTCTTTCTCACCCGCCTTCTTTCCCCCATTTTTGATCATACATTTGCAATATATCTTCTTCTTTTTTATTTACAGCAAAACTGTAACGATGCATACAAGTTCAAAATCTGGTACAAAGGATGTCGGTTCCTTTGGACAAATGAAAGAATCGATCCGCCATATTGAACAATCCGCCATCTTGGGGAAGAAAAAGGGGCCTCCCTTTCTTTTGGCAAAAAGCCCATTCGAGAAACGTTTTCTGTACTTATAGCCCTAGAGCTACCACTTTACCAACTACAGAAATGATACACGTGTACAGCAATACTCATACTCACGAGAATCATCAATAATCTACCAGCATGCAGACAGACGAAGTCCAAGACACCAAGCAGAGACAGAAGATTAAAGCAGGCAGACAGAGTACATCGTTCGTGATTTAAACAAAAGGTTCAATACTTTACCTGGGCTCACCTTTACCGCGTTACTGCCAGTCTTGTCCCTAGAGTCCTCCCTGACCTGTTGCAGTTCGGGGAGCACAGGGACCCGACTGATGGTCAGCGCCCTGTTACGCATGAGCGTCAGGGCGACGAACCAGCGGTTGCGGGCCCGTCGGCATTTCACCTTGGGCAAGGAATGCGTAGAGCTAGCGCTCTTGACGTTTTCTTGTTGGGCTGGTATTGTCACGGGAAAGAAAGTGGAGGAATGGAAACCACTAAGGTTTGTTAATCATCATTTTGATGGGGTCAAAGTACTATTGCAATGGCTCCAAAGATTTTATAAATATGTCAATAATATGCAATCATATACGAGACCTGCATGCTCCCGGCCCCACAAAACTGGAAAATGTTGACAATTTTTTAATTTTTTTTTATTTTGGCATTTTCAAATCCCTGATTTATTTTAACAAAAGAAAAGGATCTAGGCCTGCATACCTTCCTCAACCACCTCGAAAGTCTTGTAACTTGGTTGCGATGATCTGCTGGTGTCAATGGTCTTCCACAGCAGATGACAAAACGTCACCACAACTGGATGCGTGTGTGCCACCTCCAATTGCAAGAAGCCAATGTAGGCCTTGAATCCTGTTAAAAAAAAAGAAAAATGTTAAGCTTTTTTCTCTCGGTCATTCAATTTGATGTTTCCTCATGCTGTTACCTTTGCTACTTGAAAGTGTCCAGTTGTTGTTGCCGTTCAATTGATGAAACTCAGGCTGTTACAAAATAATGTATCAGCGATATAAATATCGCTGTGATGTGCTTTAAAACTTTAAAAATTGCTTTCGTCCCGTGCGCACGAGGGCGAAGGGAATCAGCAGGGCTCTCTTCAGCACGAGTGGATAAAAATAACCGTTTTCTCGGGGTACCGATTATGAACGCCGTCGGTTTGAATTCTAGTAATTTTATTTTTTCTGTCTAATCACAGTGCTACTTTTCAATGAAATAAATTTCGCTTTTTTTTAAACTCATGACTCTGAAGTAATTTTTTTCAAGGGAAGTGAAGTCCGGAGAATTATAGTCACTGTCTTTACTGGGTTGCAAGAAAAAAACCTGCAACCGGAAGGGTCCATTATACCTGGATCCCACAGCTCCCAGCCACGCATCAGCGTGCTCCGATCGATGCGACCGATGAACAGAACCCCGAAGATCACCGCTTTGAAGATCCGCATCAGACAGGACAACAGGCCCAGGATGACGTTCATGAAGAGTGTTATGTAGACTGTCACATTGTAGGCTCGCCTGAAGTCGTAAAGGTAAAGGAGGAAAGTGGATTTATTTTATGGTATATGGAGGTGGGTGCGGCCAAATGCCGGCCGACTTACATTATAGAGTATAAGGCATATAATGCTTTACGTTCTGATAATTGTTTTCAATCTCTTTGTCAGTTGCGTTTTCGTTTGGATCATGTGGGAATAATGTCCGCATGAACTCCTATTTCCTTCTTTTTTTTCAATGATTTTTTTAAGGGCTTTCAGCCTAGCGAGGGTGAGAAGTGGTGTACGCAGATTTTGGGGACAAATTTGGGAAATGTTCTTCAACTGGTCCGATTTGTTTTAGCCGATAGTAATGCTGATACCGGTAATGGCGGGATGAGGACGAAGCTACCTTAAAGCACAGAAAGTTAGTCAGATTAAAGAAACCGTTGATTCAGAGAAAAGAACCCGTCTGCACATTGCTTTGATATCATATTCAGCCTGAAATAACTGTTCTATTAGCGTGCTCAAAATAAAGCCCGGAAGTCTTTTTTTTGAAGAACGTGCATTGAGGGAAGCACATCTCAGAGAAGTAAAAATAAAAGCTGAATGAAAAGCTGAAAGGTAAGAAGTACGAATCACACTTCCGATGTTAGACCATGCCATGCGCCCGGAATATAATTATGGAGCTTATTCACGAGTCGGCCATATTGAATTGAAAGTTAGGTAAAATCTTGATTTTTGGAACTTGCGAAGAGAAATGAAAGCAAGTTAATTCATAATAAACTCCAGTCTGCTTCAATGAATAATTTAAAATTTGTAATTAAACATTCCCTAATGTTTAAAGCCATATTTAAACAAGTCAAATGTGTTTACAAACACAAATGCCCCGCAACCGTGACTGTTCCCATGACATAACACCACTCTTTTAACATCAACTTACATGTACATGTATACTTGGCCCACATGGAACGTTTATTGACATCATTAGTGTTTTCTGTAGGTTTTATATGAATTAATCCCTATGATCTCAGAATAAATACAAGATTTCTATTGTTTTAGCCACTGTGACCTTGACCCTTGACCTTTCAGCCCCAAATGCGATAGGCTTCTTAGGACTACCAAGAACAGTCAACAAACCAAATTTGAAGTTCACATGTGAAGTATTTCTCAAGTTATTGCACTGACAAGATTTCTATTGTTTTAGCCTTGTGACCTTGACCCTTGACCTTTCGGCCCCAAATGCAATAGGCCTCTTAGGATTACCAAGAACAATCCACAAACCACATTTGAAGTTCATATGTTAAGTATTTTTCAAGTTATCGCGCCGACAAGATTTGTCCGGACACACACACCCACCCACCCACGCCCACCACCCACCCACCCACGGAAGGACAAGGCGGACACAGCATGCCCCTTCGGCTTCGCCGCGGGGCATAAAAAAAAATAAAAGTAAAATAAGGATGCATTGTGCCTGCATAAATAGTCTGGCGCCATCCCATTCAACAGTTAATAATTAATGAAACACATTCAGGGAACTCGACAAAAATGGCAAATTCGTGAATAAGGCCCATACCGACCTGTTGTCAAGACAAAAATGTGTGGTTGTCTTGTTGTCTTGTTTTTCGCTCTGAAGAAACGCCAGCTGGGATAGGAACACCTGGGCGTAGTACAAGACGAAACCAACCACCAAGCTCAACCTGCCAATTGAACAAAGACAAAAGAATTAGTCTTCAACCATCAATTTCCTTAAAATGTTCCATTGAGAAGTATAAAACTCGCACAGGTCCTTCTCGTAATTAAAGAACATGTCTTGTCGACATGATGTTCATCAACTAACATTCTCTATAATGTCTACAACCAGCTCTAATCGCTGTCAGGACCATGACAAAAATGCTTTTGTCATTTACAAAAGGACGCTTTCCAGCGACTGTTGCGATAATGTCGTTACTGTAATTATTATATTTTTATATTTTACAAAATTATTTGAATTAACTGCCTATTGATGCGAGAAAGAGGGCATTAGTCAAATCAGCCAACAGTGTGTGACAAGTAAGTATAGTATCATTCATGCATTATTGTGCATTATCAAGCATTCACCTGGCGGCGTACGGAACGTATTGGAGGAATACTTTCCTACCCTGACTCCACCAGCAATGACATTGGTCTTGACATAATTGAGATCCTGCAGCTCATGAAGGATAAGTCTATCTGGCACAAATTTGTCAATGCTGCTTCTGCCATTCCGTCTAAGGATGACAGATAATGATGATGGTGATGATGGACCGTCTTACCAATAATTTTTAAGGAGGCCCAGCACTACCGTCTCAACCGCTATGGTGAGGGGATAGATGATGAAGTACACGATGAAGAACACGATGACCCAAGACAAGATTTGGAGAATGAAAAATCCTTTAAAAATATGGGGAAATAAAACAAACATAAAAGGTCATTATGTCTGAAGCTGAAGGTAAAGTAAGACAAAACAGTTCGAATTGGCCGAGTCTATATGATAAATCATGGGGTTTTTTTTCTTTTTTACTAAAGGCAGGGCTCTCAATTACCATCGGATGAACCATCTCATAAAAGAGCCTACTCTAAACACTAACGTCCTCAAGAGTATGCACGATGCTGATAAATTAGATTTTATGTCAGGACAAAAACAAATATTTTAGTTGTGATTATCGTGCCACCAATAATTGTATTTGCGTCAGAGGAAGACCTTTACTCACCCCACACAGAAAAACCAATGTGGTAGCCAGTAAACCGAAGATTTGCAACCTGTCGAGAAAAAAAAATGTTCAAGGTATAAGAATGAGTGAAGATTGGTTATTAGTGCCAGAAGTATCGACTCCGTGTAGGAAAAGTAGATGGTTGTGTGTGCCCATACTGAGAGCTTAAATGTGTTGGATCCAGTGCACAAGGAATATCCCGTAAACAGGTTATCCTTTGAGTGCTTTTACGACCGAGGACGAAGATCAGTGGGTTACATGAGCTAACAACAACACTGAGGGCCTCAGTACAAGTCCTCAGTAGTGTTTTGTAAACAAACCTTAACATTTGACAAGTCAAGAAAAGATAACGTCAAATCAATTGCAACAGCCAATTAGACAACGGCATGGGTCCTCGGTGGTACAGTAATGAGTCTGCAATCATGCGCGTTCAGCCGTTGTTCGCATGATGAAAGCAGCTATTCCCCCGTGAAGTGGACGACTATTATTATCAACTGAACGTGACAAATCCCGAAGCGTTCAGTGTTTGCGGTATCTTCCACTCTCTGCCAATATTTAGAAACAATGCTCATGAAAACAAAAGAAAATTCATCTGGCGGTTTGAGCTGAACGAGAGAGATCTCGGAACAGAAGATCTCACCACGAGAGAGCTGAAACTGGCCTGCTTGGTCGGGCAGAAGTCCTTGTTGCCCCGCCAGAGCCGAAGCGTGTGCTTCCTAAAAGAAATCAGGGAAATTCAGAGAAAACGATTAGTCTGACAACATTTCGTTTTACTCTATGAGACTACAGTTAGACGGATCGGTGATATTTTCAAACTAAAAAGCTACAATGCGATGCCGTATAAAAGTTACATTCTTTGAGCACTGAACATTATTCCAATGTGTTGTACATGTATAAACATAAATCTTCACGTCATCTTGGGGATAAATTTATCATCGTGTAAAATCCTGTGGAAAAAACTCACCTATAGCATATGAGCATGTGAAGACTGTATCCTACCGTGGTGGCTATGGCGAAATAACAAGTTGGCCAAAAGGTATCTGGTGGAAAGTTAGATCGGCAGATAAAAAAAATGGCACTCTTTTAATAATATTAATAATATACAATTATCAAAAAAAAGTTCAAAACAAGCAAATCTCTGCATAGCGTTCAACCAAAAGGAATAAGAAACAAAATAAGAAACGACAGCAGCCAAAAAATGATTGAGATATTATGCAAGTATAGCGTCAAAGATAAATTTGCAGTCCTACGATCCAAAAACTATTACAGATTTTAGACAGACTATTGAAACTATAGGGATGCATGCTTGCATGGAGTTCCCAAGTACAGAATTTTCCTGAGCACAGAAAATATGTTCCTTAACAAGGAATTTATTACTGCTTCTGTGAGCTGATGACTGCTTTACATAGAACTGTGAGTAAAATGTTAAATTTTCTAAGCAATCATAATATCTACACTCTAAAAACGGATTGGTTGAAAAAACTACCAATCTAATTGGTTGACCCCATATTGGTTGTTTTTAACCAATATATTGGTTAACTTGTGACCAATACGTTGGTTGTCCACCAACCAATCACATTGGTTGAGCAATAAACCAATCCTTTAACCAAAACATTGGTCAAAAGTAACCAACATGTTGGTTGCTCAGCAACCAATTACATTGGTTGAGCAATGCACCAATCCTTTAACCAATATATTGGTTAATGGTGACCAATATGTTGGTTGCTCAGCAAACAATCACATTGGTTGAGCAATCAACCAATCCTTTAACCAATACATTGGTCAATAGCGACCATTATGTTGGTTGCTCGGCAACCAATCACATTGGTTAAGCAATAAATCAATTCTTTAACCAATACATTGGTCAATAGCGACCAATATATTGGTTGCTCGGCAACCAATCACATTGGTTGAGAAATGAACCAATCCATTGACCAATATGTTGCTGCTCGGCAACCAATCACATTGGTTGAGTGACAAATCAATACTTATTGATTGATACTGGTCACAGTTCGAAACAAATAGGTTGGTTTTCAAGCAGCCAATCACACTGGGCCAACATTGAACCAATCTTCAATGGTTGACATTGGAATAATGTCCAATAGGAAGCCAGCAATCACATTGGTTCAGCAACGAAGCAATCCTGAAGTTTTCATTTCAGACATGAACAATCCTTATCGAGATTAACCAATGTATTGCGGTAACCAATCACATTGGTTCAACCTATGGTTCAACATATCAACCAATTCATATTGGTTGCCTACGGAAGGACCGAATCCACTATTTTGGGGGTGCAAGATGACCAGTGTTCCAGATTCTCACAGGAATTCTAATGGGAAGTAGAACATAATCGTGTAAAAAATGTTTTTCAATAATAACAGATTTAATGGCAAACCAGGAATTGAAATTCCAATCCTGTTTGTCAAAGATGTCAAACATTTAATTTGCTGCATTTACACTGGAGTGACCCTTCATAAAAGTGGAATGTCCCTGAGCCACGCATGCAATTTCAAACTACTACTACCAAACTGCTACCTGTGTTCCTTGCCCCATGCTTCGACAATCCGCTGCTTGCTTGTCTCTCTGTTTCAGGTAAGAAATGTTCTTTTATCTTGGCATAATTTGTAGGTTGATGTACTTTGATGAAAGCTTAGACTACTTTGTTCACTGGCTTTAAAGACTATTTGTGAGGGGGCTTGAAGGAAGTCATTATTTTTTGCAGTTTTACTCGAAGCATTGTTCAACTTCTTCATTGTGTGAACATTACGGTCATTGAAAATTGACCATTTTCTGGTTCTGGAGTGTGGATTTATTTCTTGATTTTTCTTTGGAATTGTATGGTATTTTAATAAAATAACTCTAGTTTCAGAGAGTGTTTAATGTATAGATTACTTTCCTGGTGGTTTTTGTATACATGTTATTTGTTTTTAGTTCAGATCCAGTAGTTTGAGTTGAGATTTCCCTTTCTTTAGTTTAAGGCCACTACACATAGTGTAATGGCCGCCCAGTCAGGCCTCGTGGCCCAAGCCGGGACATTCCAGAGACATATGGTAGGGTAATTAAGTAGCCAGGCTAGCCTGGGACAACATATCTCTGACTGTGGTCAGTCATGGGTCAATCTACTTCCCTGTTGTTCGATTGAACTACATGTATGGAGGCAAGTGCCAGGTAATTGGGCAGAGTCTGGATCTTTTGTTGGGGAAGTTGGAACTACTTTTCCAGGGTTAAGAAAATCTGATGTTTTTCTTAAACAAGTCTTGGTTTTGATTTGTGGGCAGGGTTGGGCCAGAAACAACCCATGTAAAGTGTTTACTGATACATATGTAATCTTCACTGCATATTTTTTACTTAGCGTTTTGTTTATTTCATTATGTATCTCAGATTGTATGATGAGGACTTTAAGCTTCTCTTCAAGGAGCAGGCTGGCAATTTCACAGCAAAGTGGGAGATGGTGGCACCAAAGCTTTTGAAACAAATACAGCTCGACTGCTGCGATGACACAGCTGTGCGCCTTGTAGCAGCTCTAGCTGAATAATCTTGTACCTGGCTAAGATGATGAAGAGGATGCTGACTACTACCCAGCCCCGGGTGAGTTTTGCCCTTTTTATTCAGCTGACGATTTTTTCGGCATAATAATTTTGTAAACATTGTAGGGGAGGTTCAATATTTTAAAGAAATGTTGCAATTCACTGTGCAACTACTGTGCGTGAGCGCCATGGATAACCATGGGATAGCCTGGTCAAAGTGGCAATTACACTGATCGTGTGGGTTGCATATGTATAAGACTGGAACTTCTATTGTCAGATGGGCCCTAGAGAGGGACTACAGCAGTATACTTGCTGGACATCGCTTGAAGGAAATTTGTCATTTTTGTGTGGTATGACCGCCATCTAGTGCTGTTGTTAAAGCATTGATCTATGCACTCCGCTTTATTATTCCATGATTGCTTCTTTGCAGAGGACATAGCTGCAACACTGCTTGTCATGCTGCCGATGCTATACGCAAGAACATTGTCTGCTGCGAAGGTGAAAAGTGGAAGCCACAAGGTATGCATGGTACCATTGAAGATAACTTTGTTTTATGAGGTTTTGGAAAGAATGCATGCGACATGTTAAATGCCGCCATGTAGCATGGACATGGTAACCAATAACACACATCAATCTCCATGGAATTGAAAACTTGCGGTACTTTATCTGAAAGGAAAAGAGGACCTAATTTTAGCATAGTTAATGCTTTGCAAGTTGCTATCGATTTGTTGCTTCTACAATGTTTTCATATGTGAAGCTTGCTGACTGAAAAATGTACCTACTTCAACAGTTACGAGTTTCAAATTTGATAATATAATGAACCTTGCTTTTCAGCGTGGAACAGACCTTGCCAGCAATATCCAGAGGAGGGACGAGGAATGCAGCAAGACGGGAGTAACTCTCAAGACATACCATGGACCATTTCTTCAGTTCTTTAATGAGGTGACAGTGGCAAAGCTACTTCGAGATGACCGTTTATGGTATTAAAGTTTTAAAATAACATATTTAAGGTTTTCTAAAAATTTGGGAAGTTCATTTTTCACGATAAACTGATACAAAATAATGTATTTTGTGAAAAGTGACGCAATAACATTTGGAAAGAAACTTAACCTTTTTCAACAGCTTGTGCTCATCTAGTAAATAATTATCTGAAGTTGCTTCCTTTCAAGATGAATCAGAACAATTTATACCAAGTTTTGAAAAATCTACTTTCAAGATTAGGCAATTGTTAATAAGATTTATAATGAATTACAAGACAATTCAGCAAGTCTATCTGTAAAATTGTCAATTTGAAGAAATCAAATGCTGGACTTAAAGTACAAATCTTGAATATCATCCAACTTCCATTGGGGAGAACCACAAGATGGGTTCAAACTAAAAGTTAAAATTGACTGAATCCGAGGAAGAGGGTGACGAAATTACGGAAACTAAAATATAACATCCACTTATTAAGCAATGATGTCATTTGATGCATGCAATGATGCATGGCCAGGTCGGTTGTTTTTGTTTGTCTTTTGTTTACAACACAGCGCCAATTCAGTCTGCAACAGCAGTGATGCTCCAGACGCTTGCATCTGTTTAAAATTCAAAATTGTAATGTTTTTTTGATATCATATTTCCACTCTAATTCAGAGAGCAATAATATTTCATCTTTAATATGAATCAATTCAACTCTTCAACTCTCAACTTTATTATAATTTCAAAATGTGAATTCATTCATGCGCTGTGTCCATTGTAAATGTACGTACTGATATTCTTTGAAATAAAACCTAAATGCAGAGGATGAACCCCAGCAATTATGTTGGTCTAATAAATCTTTTTGTTCTGTAATCTAATTAAACCACTTGGCAACTTTAACCAATAAGATTGGTCACTCCAAACAATGTAATTGGTCAAACGTAACCAATAATATTGGTCATTCCAACCAATGTACTTGGTCAAACTTAACCAATAATATTGGTCATTCCAACCAATAAAATTGGTTATCTTTAACTAGTAAGATTGGTCATTCCAACCAATATAATTGGTTATCTTTAACCAATATATTGGTTGTTTTGACCAATATGTGATGGTTAGTATTCTAACCAATGTCGGTTGGTTGGAAAATTAACCAATCAAGAATGGTTATGGATTGGTTGAAAAGGTAACCAATCTTGATTGGTTAAAAAAACAACCAAAACATGTTGGTTAGTATTCTGACCAATATAGATTGGTTGAAAACCAAACCATTTCAGATTGGTTATTTTAACCAATAGATTGGTTGGACACATATCTACCAACCACATTGGTTGAATTTGACCAATATATTGGTTATTTCAACCAATCTGTTTTTAGAGTGTACTAATTTATACCAAAAGTAGAAATTAGTTTTACGAACTGATTAAGTAACTTTTTTTCTTACTGAATTATTTACCATGTGTCTGATATTCCAAAATTCCAGTATTGTTTTTTTGAGGGGGTCATCTCCAATCTTCAACAAAATATCAGATGTTCGAGAATATTCAATATTACCTTCTGCTATATCAAAGAACGTCTTGATTTTGAGAAACGTGCTCGTCTCGTTGACCTTTGCAAACAAGTCGTACAGTTCGCCGCCTACGGCAAAAGTCTGATTTGTGGCATCCCAGACACTTGTTATGGACATGACGTACACCAAGCCGAGCTGGGAAGATGGGGGAATCGAATATATTTTTATCGTCAGTCAAAACGAAAAAAAAAAAATCGATTCTCACTATGCGAAACACAAACGAGATCACTTGCTGATTATTCGATCACGAAAATTTAAAATGAGAAAACGCGGCATCTGGTTTGAGGGAAAAGGGTTCAAATAAAGACAACAGTGACAACCAGGCCAACTTAATTGACTAAAAATGGCTATTCACTAGAACTCTTTTCATGCATCTAATCTACACAATGGGTCGGATTCAGCCTATTCATCGTGTTACTTGTGGACGAGCCCCATAATGTGGCCAATTTACTGGACTACCTCCGTAAATAAAGGCCACACTTCCACCATGTACAAAAACATGTCGAACTTTGTCAAATTTTGATTTTCACATTTAGGCTTAGTTTGTAGTTTATTTTTGCTTTAGAAGCATATGAAGTTCTTTTCATAGCATGATCCACTTAACATTATGACTTGGGGCTTGAAATTGGGGTTTAAAGGGTATATCGTATATATAACTATAAATAGAGTTAGTGCAGTTAATACAAAGGTCATTGACCTCTGGAAGGTCATCAAAGGTCAATAATTGTGAATTTTGTTCGCATTTTCTTATTTACATTGTATGAAGACTATACAAAGACTTAGGTCATAGGAAAGTGATATTTTCAAGACAAGAACAATAGGTATAAATAGAGTATTCAAAGGTCATTGACCCCTCAAAGGTCACCAGGGGTCAGATATGAAATGCCTCCATATCTGAAAAATTTCGCCATGGCATGAAGAACCAACATGCGAAGTTTCATGCTTTTATCAAAGAAATTCACAATTCTGTCCCTATGCCGCACCACTATATTATAGTATGCTCAAATTGGTAAAGAACTATACAAGTTTATAGTTGGTAGAGAAGTGTGTACGATTTTCAAATTCGTCAAGAATTGTATCAAATTGGCCCATACTTGTGTTAAGAACTGTTTACATTTTCAGGGTATAAGTGTCGTAAATTACTGAAAGGTTACATTTCTGCGTTGTATGTTCTGTTAATATATAAATGGAGCAAAAGAATGGAGCGCTATTACAATATGGGGACGTCACGGGTGGAGTTCAACCATTGTTCAATTTTGGCTATAACTACATTATATGATTTTTTTCTCTCCTGGGCCGGGTCCATGGCCCCTTCGTTAACGGCGCAAGCACACATTTCATTATCGAAGTGATTACTCGGAAGGTGATTTCAAGGCTGGTAGTTGGCACAATAAAGGGGATATAACACCGATGCTAACTAGGCCGGTCGTCAAGGGGGTGGGGGGGGGGGGCTGGTGGGCCGGGCCCCCCTTGGCGAGCAATTGCCCCCCCCCCCACCCCAACGGCAAAAGCCGTACATGTGTATTTTTGTATTTTTACGATAGTGGGCCCACCTAGTTGGTACTTTGGCCCCCCTGACGCTCAGGGCTGGTGACGGGCCTGATGCTAACATAGCACCTACTCACTATGGACTTGTGTGTTTTCTGGGCATTTTTGTGCTGTTTTGTAATGAATTCCTCCTTTCTTGTATTAAATGGTCCAACGTATGCGACCGGTGCGTGGCAAATAAAAGACTTCGTTGCGTGCAGGTAGCTTTTATCATTGACCAATTTTTCCGAACGATTTTACTTCGAATACGCGTTTAGTACCAATGGCTGGATCAGTTGACACGTGTGTGGCATGATCAATCGCTATATCAGCAGGATAAGAGCAGTGACCTCGCCCATAACACTTCGATTGGTCAGTGTTCGCTATTGTTAACCATTCGGACGGGTGCACAACTTTGTTCCGTTCCTATAACGATGGACACTACCTGTACATTTGACCTCATTTTGCTTACGGTAATACAATATTTCAATGGGACAGGCTATATGCACAAACGATCAATAGACTTGAAGATGGTGACCACATCTGTTAGGGAATTCAACTGGCGTGGTTTCTTCATCGTCCTGATGTCCTTCACTGCCACCCTGCTCTTTGGTATAGTGGCCAAGGGAATGGGGATCCTGCTGCTGACGCTGCGGGATCAGTTCACCACTCATACCTGGATCATCGGAAGTATGGTATCACTCATGATCGTGGCGGCGGATCTTGCAAGTACGTTTTGTAGGGGCTGTATCGTATGTCCGACGCATCATAGCTCCGACAATCCCGGGACATACCGTTATTTCCTTTTACCGTTTTGCATTTCCTCAAAACAAAAAAAGTAAACAAACCATTGACCGTTCTGTCGTTTTACAGTTTTGTAAAACGGTCAAACGGTATTAAGCTAAATACGGTTTCTCTGTTTTAAAAGTTTAATACAATTCATTACAGCATAACAATCAATGATTTTTGTTTTACAGTTTTACACAAATAACTTTGAAAAACAGCAAAACGGTCAGTATTGAATACAGACTGTTTTTTTATGTCAGTGTCATAGTGAACAGTCCGTGGTGCATTTTGTGGTGCTGGGCAAGGGGGATGGAGGGGGACCATGCTTTACACGAAAAAGTGTTACCTCGGCATAATGCGTGGTGTGATGATTCCTGGCGTGACCCTGACCCCCTTCTCACGCGGTTCAGTTGGTGGGGCTTAAAGGGAATATACATCATTTGCTTTTGCTGTAATTTTCAGAAATGGATGGAATTAAGGGGTTGGAAATATATAGCAAATATAGTTACACTGACTTTTTTGAGGTTTTGGGTTTGAAAATGCTATAAAAACCAAGAAAAACGATCATTTTCCTGTAGTCTGGTTCCCTGACTCCACATAAGAAGAAACAGAGCAGTTTACATACATTGGGGAATTGTAAGGTCAGGGAACCAGTCTAGCTGGCTCGTACCCGTTCATAGGTTTGTAATCGATTGCAAACAAGTGCGATGGTCAATTGGGGCCAGTATTTGAAAAAAAAGCCAGTTGTTTCCAACGCTGATCGGCCGATCAGCGTTGGAAATTGATACAAAAATACCACTTTTCTTGAAAATTACAGTATACCAGGTGTCATGATTTTACAGGATGCTTTACACTGTCATTCCCTAACAGTCCAGCAAGGTATTTCAAAATGATATGGTAGTTTTATTTTTTGATGTTTGCAAATGTTGTATTTTCCCTTTAAGAGTTGCAAGCAAAAATGGCGCTGGAAAACTTCAAGGGAGGACATTACTTTTTACAATGGATACAGGATGGTAATACGTTTGAAGAAGTTGCAGATATTTGAAGGAAATTGGAGTTCGGCGCGGCTCTTCAATAGCCAGTTCGAAAACTATGTCGTGAGAACGAAATGTGAGGAGGGTAATTTGGGTCCAAGGCAATGACTCGATCCCATGAGGACGCATTAACATTCCTAGGTGCACTGCTTAATTGCCGAACCTAAATCAATAAAAATGGTCGACAGGACTATTGACCGTTTTTCATTGTCCTTGTTCTTTTAAAACAACACTCTGAAATGAAGCAACTAACCGTGTATCGCTTTCAACAATTAAGAAAAACAACAAAAAGGTCATTGTTTTTTGTGACCTAATACCGTTTGACCGTTTTACAAAACTGTAAAACGAAAAAACGGTCAACGGTGCGTTTACTGTTTTTGTTTTTGAGGAAATCCAAACGGTAAAACGAAATAACGGTATGTCCCGGGATTTCCGACGCCTCGTAAGTCCGAAATTTGGGAATTATGAGGCGTCGGATTTATGAGGCATCGGCCTTATATGAAATTGTATTCCGCCTCATAGATCCGACGCCTCCGACGTCCGACAAAGGAGGCGTCGGACCTATGAGGCGTCGGAGGGGCCGTTACAAAGAAAGGTTCTTTCGTCCGACAAGGCAAGAACGAGTTTCAGTGGTTTTGAAATCATTGTAGGCCTACTTGGACTAGGACAATTACAGCCATATGGCTGCGAATGGCAAAGCGTCGGTCGTTGTCAATGAAAGTTAATCCAATTACGTACTAAGACTTCGTGAGCGCCCAAAAACGATGTGTAATCACTAACTGTAACACTTCTGACATTTTACGCGATGTTTTTTTTTTTATTAATAATGACTGTCGGACAAACGAGGCGTAGGACTTATGAGGCGGCGGACTTATGGACCGAAATCAAAGTAAATTTAATTGCCCAACCTACGAGGCGTCGGACCTATGAGGCGTCGGACTTATAGGCCTTTATTTGATCGGGGATGAGATTTTGTCGGAATTATGAGGCGTCGAACTTATGAGCAATCCCCAAAAATCGACACCAACCTGATCCCCAGTCACCATTGTTTTTATGCAAAAATTTGTCTTTGATTGCTATACCGTACAATAGTTTTCCGCGAATTCTCTTCTTAACATTACACAGCATTCTTATTTATTTATTTGTTTATAATTTCAACTGGGTGGCCCATTCAGTGGCACCACTGGTCTCGCATGATTCCAAGCAATAATAACGTTCCATGATGGCAGGGGTCCATGTTAACTTATTCCATTATTATTTAACTCACTTAAAGTGTTTTTTATTATTAATGATATAAGCGGTCTGTATCATGATTTTATGTACGTTTAACTTTTTTTTATATAATTGTAGTACATGTCATGTTTTAGTGTGTAGTATAAAAAAAATTAGACTTGCAAAATCTCAGCGCATTTCACTGTATACGCATCAGATGTAACTATGTGTGACAATAAAACAGTAATAATAAAGCACTAATAATAAACTTGGAAACTTGAAACAAACATCAACTCTGTATATAAAGATATTAGTTTTTGTTCCTAATGAATTTTGACCTTCGAGTGTTTCGTCTTAACGAACAATTGCTTTTCTATTTTGGGTATCTGCAAAAAAATGCTATATTTTGGTTTTTGTTTTTTCTTTCAAGGTATCTTTACCGTTTTCCTTGAAAAAGCCATGGGTTGTCGCCGAGTGTTGATTTTGAGCATCTTGGCCTTATGTCTTGGTATGGTGTTAACATCCATGTCTACAAGCATTATACATATCTTCCTGGCTATGGTCCTGCTCACGGGTAAGCGAGTACCAAAAATATTTCAACAAAGTTTCAAGTTCATTTTAATTGATTCTTTCTAGTAATGAAACCAAGGATTCCTCAAAAGCGCCCCAGGCACTGTAGCTCGAAAGCCTGAAGAACCCTGTAGAGAGAAGACAATGAGAAGAAATTAGAAGTTTTAGAGGTGGGAGTAAAAGCCCAAAGGAATATTCTGAGGAAAACCCACGGAATCAGGTAGGGACGAAAAACCCAATCCACATATTGGCCCAGGCGGGATTCGAACCCGGGTCACAGCGGTGGAAGGCGAGGAAAGTAACCACTGCGCCAACCTGACTCCCTAGTCATTTTCGATACCCTTAGTGGCACTTGCGGACCTATACGGTGGCCCCAAAAGGACTTCATTAAATTAAACAAAAGGAGTAAAGATGACTGTTTTTAAATCGATGTTGTTGTCTGCTTACCCCTTTCACCTCAATAGATTCGTGAAATATTAATAGAAACAATCTCGAAAGAAGCTAATATATTTCCTTTTAAACAGTAAAATGTTATTCTTAAACCCGCAGATTATTCGATCTTGAACGAATCATTTTTATCGTTGCCCTGTCCCGTGAACAATAAATATCAGTGTATAAAGATGGCCATTATGAAAAGTCTTTCTTCCACGACACTTTCAGTCTTACCTGAGAAATATTTTATGGGACCAGTTAAAAACAAATTGACAGTAAATTATCACTTATACTTGTTTGTACAACAGGACCTGGACTTGGTATAGTCCTCGTTGTTCACAAACTTCTCGTGGCTCGCCACTTCACCGAACACTACACCCTGGCCTGCGGCGTAGGCCATACGGGCACCGCGGTGGCACTTCTTTCCTTTTCGCCACTGATGCAGCTTTTCCTGGATACATACGGATGGCGAGGGGCAACTCTACTTATGAGTGGAGTCTGCCTGCATGCCCTAGCTTGTGCAGCCGTTATCAGAGACGAAACACCTCAGTACCAGACTTTGCAAGCTCAAGACGGATCACTGACAGACGACGGTAAGGGAACCACCTGGGCCAAAGCCAAGGTGATTTTGTTCGGTGTCTGGAAAGCTGCTGATCTGCACTTGTGTCTGGAGTTTAACTTCTTGATAGTGAACGCGTGCGTCTTTGGGATGACTTGTGTTTTTACTGCCTGGGCGGTGTACTTCGTGCCTCACCTGCAGGCCAAGGGCTTCACGCCCCAGGTAGCTGCCTCGCTTTGCTCGGCAGCAGCCGTCGGGTATTTCTTCGGGACCTTCGTCTGGGCGCCTTTCATCGACCGGGGAATCCTGAGGTCTCCAACGGCCATCATCGTAAGCAGTCTGGCGCTCACGTCATCGTTCGTTTTCGATCCTCTGGTGCATGACACCTTAGGATACGTACTGATCACCTTCGTCTTTGGGATGTCTTCCTCGGCTTTGTTCACGCTCAGCGATGTCGTGACGAAACAACTCTTCGAGGGGGATCGACTGACAAGTGCCTTCGCATTGGCCCGGTGTTTCAATTTCCTGGCGAGAATGCTAGCTGGTTTTTTACCCGGTAAGTGAAAACAACACCCACTACGCCTATTACAGACGTCATCGCGTGTCTCATCTTTATGTCACAAGGTGTAGTATTGGCAAACGGCAGATGACGCTATTTGGTCTACTCAAGAAAGCCATGGTAGTGTCTTTAATAACAATGTCATTTTGAACGAAGTTTGTGCACTGAGTCAAAAAGGAAAGTTGTCCTATTGTAGGGTGGGTTAAGCCTAGTTTCCGTATATCGACGTAAGAAACGCAAATGGAAACGCAAACAGGACCCAAACTGCAACGCAGGCATTATGGAAGCATGCCATCTGTAAGTGTCGCCGACAACCCAGACAGACGCCGCTATCTCGCAGACGGTTCAACTTTGCGAGAGCATAGGTTCTAATGTAAAAAGAGGATAAAATAGTTAATCGTCCCATAGGAAAGCCCCTTTTTATCTCAAACCACAGTGGTAACAAAAGCAGAAAACAGTAGTACATGTACATGTACTACACTGCACTTTAAGTACTAGAGTATAACAACTTAATCTTGGTTCATTCCTAGGTCTGATACACGACACAACTGGCAGTTTTGACTTGGCGTTTGTTGTTATTGGAATAATACCAACAGTGACCCTTCTTCCAATCATCATCGGAGTACTGCAGAAAAGACTCTAAGAGCAAGTTGGGCGTGAACTATAGTTAACCATAGTTGAACTAACTTCACTCGAACGAAGGATGGTTGGACTACTCTAGTCGACTATTTGGAACCGGAGCACGGGGCACGGTTCCATCACTCGTTACCAATAGCCTCGGGCATCAAAAAGCACAACGGGGAGCCAGGAGTTTTGAATATCGTTTGACTTATATAGGCCGAGTTCGGGCGGTCTGTTCTTGACACGGGTACGCACTCAAACGGCGGGAACACGACCCATACACGAACACTGCACTCGGAACAGGATCACACACCACTATCCGTCAAGGTTTTGCAATATACCCGTGTTAAGAACAGACCGCCCGAACTCGACCATAGAGGCGTTGATCGCGCTTTGCTGTTAATGTTAAGTTACGACACAAATAATCATTAGTCGGCTAATAACTTGCTCTAGGACAGAGGCGGCGAGTGCAGGCAATATAATAGTCAGAAAAACCCACCGTTGGCGGCGTAAATCCTGTTTTACCTGCTTGTTATATGGAAAAACGTTATTTTGTAGGCATTGTTAGCCTATTTGAGATATGACGGGACACAATAGGAGGGCGTTATTGGGTTTGGCTATTTACCCAAATCAAACAGCACCCTCTGTTGTATCTGCCATAGGCTTATTTTGTCAAATACGCTAATTTCAAGGGCCCATGCAATGTAAATTTTCTAATGCTATCCCTGAAAATGTACCTTTGTGTCCCAGCTAACCTTATTTTTAATTTTCAGTTTGCCACTTTCAAGGGTATTTTTATGCTAATGCAAATTTCCATATTCATGAGCAAATGCGTGATGTCATTTCAGGCAGAAATCTCAATGTTAGAGGTATTTCTGCACCAACACTAATTGCAAGAATTGTGGATATTTTGCAGTTGTAAATCTTTTCTTTGGTGATTCGTTGTTGTGTCAGTACATGGCTGTAAGCCAATGAGTAAACTTTTCTCACAGATGTTTTCAATGAACAAATATTTGGGTTCACAATTTGAACAGAAAATCCCGAAACTGAACAGTGTCTTCCTGAAATGACATCACAGCAACAGCGCCCTCAGTTGTCCAGAAAAACATGGAACATTTTAAATATTTAAAAAAAGTATACTTTTCAATGAAATTAACCAAAAAGGAATGTAAAATAGTTTTCATACATTTTAAGAGGAATAGAAAGTTGCACAAAATGTTTTCCTATGAGAAAATTCATCGCGTGAACCCAATAAGCAGTTATACCATTCAGACCTTTTTGAGGGGCGGGTACACTTTGCAAAAAAGTATATAACGGGGTTCCCTCGAATAGTTACGATGCTAAGATCTAAATTTTGACGATATTGTGACCGACTTGGCGGAAAGATTCTTCCAGCTCTAGAGACGATAGTTAGAAGGGAAGACACCTGAACAAAATTGTTTCCGGAAGGCGGCAAAATTTGCATAAATCCTAAAAGGCCGCCACGCCGTATATTAATTCAAATATATTGATATATTTTCAAAAAATGTTTATTTTGTGGATTCTATTTCTATATCCTTACTTAAATAACGTTTTCTAAAGCTTATACGTGACTGGATTATTATGAAGACATATGAAAGATCCAAAATGACTACAATTATACCCCAAGTTCATGCAGTATACTAACACCTTTGTCCATTGCTTGTAACTTAGGTTCATGGTTTGATGTACACAATGTAACGATGACTACTCATGCATGTTAATACGATTTGTGGTACATGTTGACCTAGTGCATTTGTATTATTTATATACTTTCAGACGCAATTAGAAAACACATACATGTACTTACTTACTGGAACATTAACCCTAATACGATTATGTGGAAAATCATGTTAACAACGATAGCATGGTGATATTTGGCCCAAAGAGCAGAGGAAATTGGGGAGGTGTCCGTAAATAGGGATAACAATTATGCGAAGGGTTTCGAAGGGTTGCCAAAAAAATCCGAAATGTATTTGTAAAAACACTGTTGACATGTACATATTATAAACAACCATACAATCTCTTCTTTTGGGGGATGTCTTTGATTTATTTCAAGTCCCCCACGTCAGGCAACCCTGACCCAATTAACGGACACTTAAAAAACTCCTACTAAGGACTTTTTAGCACTTACCTGATACGTAGTCAGAGCGCTGAGAACAAACGTGCAAATACTTCTTCTCGAGAACTTGAAGCCTGCATATAGCGACAATTAAAGAAACGAGAGATCTATCAATATTTTTAAAAACATGAGGGCGCTAAGAGATTCCAACAGAAAGTTATAACATGCAGACCTTTTTGTCACCAAAGCGTGGTTGACACATTTTGCCAACCACGGGTTGCCAAACTATGGAAGGTCCAACACTACCAAAATGAAGAACAGTTATTAATGATAAGAAAACTATTATTTGATTGTAGAAAATACAAAATTATCAACAAACGCTACAAAGTAATTCCTAAACATGCCTTTTCCTTATGCAATGAGGTGTTATGAGGACTTTTTGGGGAGAAATATGTTGCCAACCACGGCTTCAATTTATGCGCTTGCGGCAGACAATACAAAATGGCACTCAAAGTTAACAAACAATAGAAAGGTCTATATAATGAACGGATGTTTGGTTCAAAGTGTAGTCACTTTGATGGATGTTCCACTGTATTCTTTTGTACCGACTGGTGAACACTGTAGCAACGGCGAGATTAAAGAACGCAATGTAGTGAACAGTTTTACTTGAATATAATCCTCCGAAATCCACTTGTGCGTCCCATTTATCCCGGCCGCATTTACATGTACAATCATTTTATTGCATTTCTAAGTTTTGTGGCCCCAGGCGCGGATCCGGGGGGGGGGGGTAAAAAAAAACCCAGCTCTGTCAAACAAGATTTGTTCCAATAGAAATTCCCCCAAAAAAGGCGAACCCCCCCCCCCCCCCCCCGCTCTGACCCCAAAGCAAAAATTATACTGGTATAATGTACGCCTGTTCAAAATATGGACAGAGGCAGCAGATAGGGGGTATTTGTACAGTATTTTGTAATCTAGTATTAATAATCGTCGAATTTGAACAGCGCCCCTATTGAAAATATAGTACCAGCACAGCCCCCCCCCCCCCCCCCCCCCCAGTTTTTAATTTTACGGAGGCAAAGTGTCCGGAGGAAAAAACCTGTCTACATTTTCAGATTGTTTGGCTGATGAAACCCCCCCCCCCCCCCCCCCCACGCAAAAATTTCTGGATCCGCCCCTGGGCCCTTCATAAGTAATGTTCCAAACCATGTGCAAAGCAGTTATGGTGACTCTTCAAAGACTCCAAATTCTTGTTTTGTAACTCGAAATTGCCAGAATTTGTCCTTTTGAATATGTTGTTGGATATTTGTAGAAATTATGTAGTTCAAATACGAAATGGAGTGTTGTGAAAATGACTGTACCTGGGGCATCGTCAATAAACTTTCGGCGCAGTCGCACAGTAAAGCTCACTTCACCCCTGTCAAAAAAATTGGGGGGGGGAGTTATGAATCAAATCGAAAATCTCTCATCTTCCATATTCGGAGGGATTTTCGTTTAAGTAATATACATGTAGTTGAAAATATTTACTTTGGCCCAACCAATTCGGATCAACGCTTTTTATGAAAAACATATCTAACGGGATCTATAAGTGATATGTTTGCGGTTAGGCCTACACCATGGAATTAATCTCTTCTGTGAAGAAGTGTGGTTCTGAAAAGGAGATGAGAATAATAAGCCTCAGTACTGATGACGTCACACTTTGTTTACATGTAGAAAATCCCATAGAAATCGCACATGTAAACAAAGTGTAACGTCATCAGTACAGAGGCTTAGTGTTCTGTGTCCGCGCTTAAGAATCTATTATACAAAATCAAAATAGGAAACTCGTTACTAAGAAATCCGACCAAATTGTCGTTTCAATGCCGAGTTAAAACCATCCCCCCCCCCTCGTAACAAGTTGTTTTGGCTCATCCCTCTGGCATGCAATCACCGATCTCTATATCCGGTATGCTGACTGGGTAATGTAATTGGATCACAGGCTGACGTCACCAGGGGCACCATCTTTAGGGGCATACGTATCGATTAATAATAATTATGCGTCGTATCTTTCTTTATCCCTGTGGTCATGCATATATGGGGTCAATGTAAGGTCGGCCATATTGAACGGGTCCAAAAGTGACCCGCGGTGACTTCAAGGCGGTGGACTAGTGGTGGACTAGTTGCAACTTTTTCGACATTACATAGTATAGATCAGCATATAAAATCACACGACGAGCGACCTCACACATCCAAAGATAGTAGACCATTCTGGTATTTCCAAACAAACGGTAGAAGGCTTCAAATGTCTTATTTGGTAATGAGGACTTTAGAGAAAACGGAGTCTCATATTTTGATCTTATTACAAACTATACACATAATTATCCAAGAGTAACCGTAATTAACTTACTCGGGTTTAACCGGAGTTAGGAGATATTTGACTCTCTTGTAGTAGTGGGTCTTAGCAAATGCGTCATCTCTCTCACCTCCAATCGTGACCATATTAACCGAAGATTCCTGTTAAGAATAATAAGTTTCCAAGACACTGATCTTCTTCCTTGCATTAAGAATAACTTTTGAAAACTGAAGATCGGGAAAAGGTTTTTGATTGGTTTTCTTTAACAGTTGAACATAGAAATTGAAGAGATTGACTGAACGAACATTGGGGCTGGATAGCGCAGTTGGTAGAGCACCAGTACGTGTTCCGGTGGTCGCAGGTTAAAACCCCGCTCCAGTCAATTTCTTTGTTCAACTTATTATACAGTACCTAGTCAGTTTCCTGTTTGTCTGAAGGATGTTTTCTTTCATTAGACTTACTTTTGCAGGGCAGAACATTTTACGAATGCTGACAACCATCCCGTAGAAGAAGCGCAGAAACAGGATCAAGTAGCAGATGTACACAGGTCCCAGCACTGCCGTGATTGTCTGTGCTTCCATCTAGAATGCCAAACAAAAGGAAATAACCTTCATTAGATTTTGCTTTAAAAGTATCCCTTTAAAACTATACTTGGACAAATACGCTATAGGTACAGACCAAGGTCTTTCGGTTTTCTTTGGTCCACGTTTCTTGAGCCAGTCAGCTTTTACCTGAACGAGCACAGATTTGAGACTGCCTTTTTTGTGTAATTTGTCTGTTCCCAAATTACTGTTTGGCACTGAAATGCATCAAAGACGTACATATACATGCTGAGTATTAGTAACAAAGGATCAGAAACAATAACATTACGTTACATGAAATTCGGGAGGGCATTGTAACTTTTTGGATATCCAAGCACGAACAATCTGGCTTTGAGTGGGATGCAGCCCAGGGAAATTCATACAGTTCCTTATTATTGCAATCACAATATTACAGGAAATGTATTGGTAATTATTTACTTCAGGTTTTTCTCCTATACAGGGTGAGTCATAAAAAAAGCGAAACCCATACCTCAAAAAATATATTTCAAATTTTAAAAAAATATTTAGCACCAAAGATAATAATGACTGGAAAGCCAATGTCATAAACTACTTTTAGATGAACAAAAATTAATTAAATTGCTAAATCAGTTCAAAGTATATCACCATTTAAACACAATGACCCTAAAACCTTTTTCGTCCAAAAATACGATTTCAAGAATCGTCGTCACAATTGTCTCCAAACATCACCATCGATAAAAACCTCAGTTTAAAAGTTAAAAATATCCAACAAAGTCCTTTTGAAGGCCCGTACTTTGAATTTTTTTTTATAAATCATATTGTTTGCCTACGCAGGGTTGTTAATAAAGATATTGTGTACTATTGTTGACAGTTGTTGAAACAAGCATTCTGTGTCATTTTCTTTGTTGTTCCAAACAGTCAGAATACACAATAAATTGCTTTCTTTCGGGACGAAAAAGGTTTTCGGGTCATTGCGTTTAAATGGTGATATTCTTAGAACGGATTGAGCAATTTCAGTAATTTTTTCTGTAAAGGTAGTTTCTGAAATTGGCTTTCCAGTCATTATTTTTTTGGTGCTACATATTTTTTTTTAAATATGAAACATTTTTGGGGATTTGGGTTCCGCTTTTTTTTACTCACCCTGTATAAGAAGCAAAAAATACAAGACAGTTTCGACGGGTTTTTTATGTCCGAAACTAAGTTTAGATATATAAAAAAAATCCCACTTACCCCGCCATCCCTCGGACAGGCGGCCAGTGTAGCAATGTAATAATACATCCTGCATTAAAAAGGATACATTTCAAGGTATAAAAATCGGTATAATAATAATATGGATTTAAATAATGCCTTCCATATATTGTAAAATCTTGATAAGCACATAATGCAGTAGGACTACCGATCTAGTTAATAATGGACCTATATTGCATCCTCTTTGAAATGTATCATTAACAAAGATCGCAAACAACTTTAGACAAGCGTCCGTGCTAAAAAAAAAAAACTGACGATATCATGGAGACTCACTGGCGAGGCCTGAAGGGAGCCCGCATGCATCATCGGACGAATGAAAAAAAAGAAAACCAAGAGAACAAATTGCACTTGCTAAGAATGTTTGCTTGCTGTCTGCGTGCGATAATGACTTCACTGGAGACATCTGAGATGACTCACGGCCAGGCGTCACCCCTCGAAGGAAATATGGATTAGAGTTTGTTTCAGAACTGAATGGAAAATCTTCAATTAGTTCGAAAGCTTAGTAATTGTTTGATATAGTAAGCTAGTAACACTTGTGCAATTGCAGTTCACACAATAGTAACGAGATCTTGTGTATAGGAGATCAGAATTATAATAATCCATAGATAGATGAAATGTATCTTTCACTATAGAATGCGCCTATTCATGTCCATAACTTTACAATAGATATGAACAACGGCTTTTGAGGGCAAGATTGAAGGTAACGTTCGATTATTTGCGTTTTAATTAATTTGTTTTTTGGGGGGATATGCAACAAAATTGCTCATAATCATAAGTAGGGTGCGTGCATAAACACAAACTTAGAGCAAGTTTTAGCTCAGTGGGCTGCTAAACATTTGGAGAAAACAAAGAAAACCTATGTACAATTTTGGTCGTGTAACTGGATTCCGTTGTTATGCATGTAAAACTACCTTCAATAATGCACGTCAGACTAAATACACAGACGACTGCGTGCTTGAAACCAATGAACAATGACCAGGTACAAAGTACACTTCATTAAATATTGACATTGCACTAGATTTGGACGTCGATTTTGCATGTACATTCATCTGAATGACATTTTACATTATTAACATCTTTCGTTATTGATAATTGCGGAATTGCTACCGTCCAAATAGTATTACTGCAAGTGCGAGGATGGTATAGCAGATAGTATCCAAATTAAGGAAGTGTCAATGATTTTCTTTTCAAGGTTAATACCGGCGGGTTTACAATAAGTGCAACCAAATTTCACCCTTTTTTTGGTTAAATTTAATTTTAAAATCCAATACTTTTAGTATGACATGAAGAACTTTAAAGTCATAAGCTTTTCCAACATTATGCAGACTGCCCGAAGGTTTACATTACATTGTCATAATTATTTTCTGAGAAAAAAAGTTATATTTCATTTTACCAGATTGATGTGTTGATCAGTCCAAGCGTGTTCCCAAGCGCCTCGTGGTCAGTGCTCAGGCAGAGCAGCAGCGGATAGTACGCTATGCTGATTTCCAACACGTTGACTATCGCAATGAATATCAGGATGGTACCTGTATTTTACAGAGAAAAATAGAATGCAAATACTCACAGTGTAGAAACAAAAAGCAATATCAGTTTGCTCTTCCATGCGATTTTGTTTGTCATTGTTTTCCCATTATGAATCTCTAGTTTCGTGTCGTGTCAATTCGGCTACACACAGGCCTGTACTTCGCGCTTTCGTTCATGATATAAAATTCTACTTTCTAACCATAAATTAAAATTAAAAAGTTCAGCTTTACATGTGATATATACAGGATGACACACAAAAAACTGCAGTCCTGAAACATTTGCCTTTTTTTTCAAAAACGTGATTGGTGTTTTTATGTTTTGGATAGCAGATTGAAGCTGAGAGCCTTTTCTTTCAAATGCTGGTGTTATTACCACTGAGGGGGTCACCCTGCATATAGCAGGCTTAAATGTAACTGCTAAGCATCACTAGGCATTTTCGTTGAATTAACTGCTTCCTTTTTATTAGTAAAAGCACACCTGATTTTGACCTTTTTCCCGCCGCGCATTTTGATGCATCGTAAGAAAATTGACCTGCGACACGACCGTTGAAGGACCCAGCAAGGTATCATGATAAATCACTCGAGCTGACCGCCATTAGTTTGGTTGTATAATGCACATCGTGGGAATACCAATCGTTCATCTCACGTCCAATATATTTTAGACTGCAGAACCGAACGCACTATATCAGGGCGTCAGATATTACCTCGACTCTCTTATCCAAGAGGAAGCCATTTTCGATCGTGCTCCCTCAGTGAATCTATTTTACAAATTGTAAGCTGTTGAATGGGATGGTGCCAGATTGTTTTATAATTGGAGTGCATGCAAAGCCTCACTTTCATTTTTGTTTAAATGTGGCTTTCATTTTTTTTTTAATGTGGCTGAAAACAGTAGGGTACGTTTAATCAAAAGTTCTAAATTCTAAATTATTCATCAAAGCATACTGGTAAATGCTCGTTCCAGAAATGAAGAGTTTACCTAGTTTAGGTAAACTACCTCGGTTTCAATTTAAAATGGCCGACTCGTGAATTTCATCTGTACGTTTGCCTTGAAGCGTAACAACTGGGTTTTGTTTTTAATTTCAAATTAAATATCAATCTGTATTTTTTTCCTTACAATAATTTAATTTAAGTGCACTTTTACAAGTTGTTTTCATGTATTCATGTATTTTTTTATACGCTAAAACTCATGTGCAAACAACTTTTGTTTTAATGAATATAAAATTGGAGTTGGCAGATCATCAACAATTACAACAATCCCCCTGTAGAAAAGTGTGCCTTTATCTGCTTTGTGGAGATTGTTAAATCTAGATGTACACATCTGGATTGGGAACACGGAACTGGGTTATTAAGGTAATACGTTACATATCGCTTTTCACCCATAATGTTTAATGTTGCATTATCAGAAACCGATACAGACAGTTTTGTTTGATGAGTCACAGAGTCAATAAATTTATAATGATAACACTTCCAATGAGCAAAGGTCATGATATTAGTACCTTTCAATGGAAAACAGAAAAACAAGTACATGTACACACTTATACATCGATAACAACATAAGTGCGGACAATAGTAATTTGTTTACATTTCGCAATGTACGGCCGCGCAGTGCCTACATTACATTTTCTTGTATGGAACGCCAGACCTAAACTCTCTGTGAAACGGCATACCAAAAGGGGAAACTGGCTATTGATTTTTTTTATCTAGTATGACGACGAAATTTTCTTGGTACCAACAGTAAAAACATCTCGTATAGCCCCATTTGCAAACATACATTCTGTACAATGTCCGTTCAGTCAAAATCAAGCAGGTGATGTTTTCAAACGTTAAGAGCTCCCAGCCTATATAAAGCAGGATTGACTGGCTGTGACTGTTTATGTATCTTGATACAACTATGCTTTGACTGAAGGTAATTGATAAGCCAGCTGTGCCTACTTCTTGCCTGTTTTTGTCTGTTGACTGAATTTGACCAGTCACAGTGCCTCCTTGAATATGATGTGATTGTTGGTGACTAGCCTGTGTAAAAGGCATGGTAAGAGAAGAGGGTTGATTTCTTTGACTGTCTGTGACTGTTCAAATGAGCAGGATCGAGGGTTGAAGCAATCTGGCAATTTTACTTCACTGGAAAAAATTAAAGTAACATACAAACTTTCATTAAAAGATTCACGTCTGTGCCCCCAAAATGGCGTCTCAAAGCTCCATTTAATGGAATCCAACGGAAAAGGGGGAAAAGGCATACCTTGGAACATTTCCGGAACGCTTGATATGTCAGGATTGTAGAACCACTCCCCGGTGAACAGCATGATAACACAGGTGGACATGGCCGCAAAGGCACAGGCAAAGGCCCAACGGTCATCGTAGGAATCGATCAAATTCGCCGGACTGAAAGCAAAATAATTACAACAGTTGGCGTCGATGATGTTCTAGACAGCTCATTTTCATACAGTAGTCCGAATTGGCCATAGTAGATTGTGAATACATACTGAATAGCCAAGACCCCAGCTGCACCACTTGGCCAATATGACTAGGATGTTGGTTACATATCCGGTGAATGAACCAATTTTCGGTGAGAAAATTTCATTCGGCAATTCTTAATTTCCAACTGATTACTCACATTAAACAATGCTGGACAAACAGCTCCCTTTTGCATTTACTTGGAAAATCATCAACAAGCCCCGTTTTGAGCAAAGAGACTATCGGTGTTTATAACAACTCTAAATTCTGTACCAATAGAGTATACCCACCAGTCACCCAATCTTACATGCAATTTTTACTGGACTGACACCTTACAGAAGCCCAACTGACACCCAAAGTACCCACCTGGCAATACTGGGCCTCATCTTGCAGCATTTTGGCCATAGACGGACTCGCGGTTCCAAGAATGAAAACACTATTATGATCGTAAGCTGGAGGGGGACCGAAACACATTAAGGGTTTTAAAACTACAAAAGAAATACTGTACTCTCCTTGATTTAAAGTGAGTTTATATGCTTAACAATTTGGTTTCAAAGGCGCTATTTACTGGAATCCCAACAATTTATTCACTTAGTCCCCCACAAGTGAATGCACTGCAGGTTAAATACTACAGCATACATGTTCCTTTGGAAATTGATTTTTTTTAGGGTGCGACTCTAAAATGGACCTAAGCAAATAACGACTGTTCCCTTCTACCAGTAACATGAAACACATTTTCAATAATCGTTTTAGGGAAAATCGGAACACTGTCGGGTAACATAATACTTATATCACACCTTTTCGATAATCTCGAACATTAAGAGCTTTTCGTTTCAACAAAAAGTTATTCAAATAGCATTAGACCTGGGCAAGTAGTGGATTTTTCTACTCGACTACTCACAAAGAAATTACTCACAAGTAGTCGAGTGTTCGCGAGTAGTTAACCGAATTTCCATAAAAGCAGAACATGAGAGATAAATTAGTGTGGAGGTAGAATTCCCTACCTCCATGGTATGACGTGAAGTAACATAAGCCCTTTTCACACTAGAGCTTCTCAACCCGGGTTGAACTCAACCCTGGGCGAACCCAGTGTCGCTCTGGGTTGAGTTTTTTTTTATTTTTCAACCCCGCGTTTAACCCCGCATCGTTTCACACTTGTTTCATGCAAATCAAGCTTATCATGCTCAGTTACTACTGTTTTGAACCCTGGCAAGAATTTCAACCCGGGTTGAAAATCTCAACCTTGGTCTGGAGCAGGGTTGAGTTCAACCCGGGGCGAAATCAATCCTGGGGTTGACGCAGGGTTGACGCAGGGTTGACGCAGGGTTGAAATTCTCAAGTGTGAAACGATGCGTGTTTTCAACCCTGCGTCAACCCCGAGATTTGTCTAGTGTGAAAAGGGCTTTAACGAAATAGCGTGCAAGTCACACCACATTCGTCAGCGCTGAGTTATCCCTACTGTTCGACATTTGGGGTCATTTACTTTTTTTGTGAACGAATGGAATCCCAGGGAGGGGGAGACGTGGAGGAGTGATTCCCCGTTTGCAGGGGACGTATGAAGCCATGAACCTTAAACCCTAAATTGCTGCTCGCGAGTACCTGCTTCTACTCGCGCCAGGACGAGTACTCGAGTAGATGAAAAACCACGAGTAGAACAACGAGTAAGCTACTCACAAATACTCAAGTAATGGAGCTACTCGCCAAGAAATGGATGAATATCTGTTCTTAAAGCTCGTGTTGAAACCCTTGAATCCAGAAGAACCTGCAAAATGAGCTAACTTACGGCCGGTATTAGGCTGTACTGGATCCAGGAACTAAGCTCATAGGACGTCTGAGCGCAGGCTGATAGCTTTTCTGACGGGTGTTCTTCGTGCAAATTCCCCAGTCCCGTTGTGTTGTCTCCGGGGCTGAATTTAGCAAAAAATGTTATTACCTTTGTGAAAGCAATGCTCTTTTTTGTATAGGTTTTCCCGGCCAAGTTCCTAATTTTTGTAATCACTTGCAATATCAGCCATTCAATTTCGCGTGATTTCTACAAATATCAAATTGGGGTTTCCTTATCATTTGGGGGCCAAGGTCAATTTCAAGTTTTAGGAAGCCAAGACTTTGTTTTGCTTTGAATTTTCGTTTTCGTTTTGGAGTATTCTATTTCAGTTTGGTGCACTCAAGACTTTATTTAAAGCATTCTTAAATGAAGTCTTTACAACATTTTGACGGGTTGACGCATTCAAATTAGCGAACATCGGCGCACTAATAACGTATTACGCATGCTTTTCGCTTCTTATTTGTTTATGGGCAAGCACTAATGTAACAAGAATTGGTCAACCCTACCTTATTCTTATCCGTTCATTGTATTCATTTTCTTGCTAACCTTCTCCCCTGTGCATAACATTAATTCGTCTGCGTCGTTTGCTATATTATAATTCACACTCAATACGACTGTCATTCCTTTTTCTTATGAACTTTCATGACAGTTTTCATTATGGCAATTTCCGTATATGAATTGAAAGTGAAATTAGCAGGTGTAGGCCTGTAGTGTTTCAGCATTCGATAGCTCTCCTTGTTCATATAATTTAACGTTGTTAATGAAAATTGTTTTTGTAATATGCAAATTGTTTTGTCAATCATTGCCTCATGTGAAAGCGCAACGTTTCTAAAAAATTTCCTAACTCTCGTTTGATTGAGATTGCTTCGCCATTTTGTTCAACTAAGAAATTTAGACAAAAAAGAACAAGCAAAGATACGTATGATTTAGGCCCATGAACCAGTAGAACACACTATCATCATCATATCACTATAAATCAACCCACATGTAGTTCATAATATAATCCTCAAACTATCATTGTCATTTCTACCTGCTTGGAACACGTGCGTGATAATTAACATCAGCATGGCAGTACCCAACTTCATAAATAAAATTCACAAATGATAACCAAGGGAAATTAAACACATATAAAACTCACCTTGGAGACATGGGCGCCACGGTCGTAGAGTTCGTCATGTTAGTCCAATCCCCATATTGTCGAATGTGTTATCCCGGAAGAGATGTGCCAAATTATGGTGTATGCTATACGGCACGGTAATGGATGTTCACAGCATTCACACCAAACTGTCACGGTGATTTAAATTAAAGTGGCTGCAAGTTCACGTTCAGTTGCACTGCCTTGTATACACAGGCCGACGTGTAAATCAAATAGGATTTACAGTACAATAAAGTAGCCTTGCATGTACCACTGTGTAGATGTAGGCCTACGTGTAACGGTATAGTTAGCATCTGTACGCGAGGTCTCCCCTGGCCCTGGCCCATTCATGCGAGAAATCCATACGGAAAAATTACTGGCTGCACGCGTGATTCAATAATAATGAAACTGCCACCGTACCGAACGCGTAAAATTTGATAGTTGTTGCACGTACCATACAGACAGAACACGCGTACTATGTATGACCTTTTACCTGAACTGCATGCAATCACTCTTCTCTGAAAAATACAGGCTGTGCAAAAAGCGTCAGCGGAAGGTGTGATACACAGCAACAACTACAACAGACGATTCGACCTTTGGCCGGTAGTCTTGTTTGGTTTTACCACTGCACGTTGTTGGATCGTGGTTCAAGCCAACCGGGGAGGGAAGGTCAGTTTTCTAATCCAAACAAAACGGGATGAATATAAATATGAACGTGTACATGTACATGTACTTCGAGTCTCTGTCAATAGGCCTATATAACAAACCGCTGGCGGGAACACAACCACTTGAACGATAAAGTCAAGGCCGTCTGTAGCTGTAGGTTGGCATTCTTGTGACATTTTAGGCTGCATCCTCTGCAAGCCGTTGGTCATATAAATTGGGAGGAAACGAGTATTAGAGAGAAACTATCAATTAATTTTTATCATGATAATGTATATATCTAGCTAGGTGTCATCCTGGACATTCAGTTTTGACGATTGCGTTAATTTTTTAATTCAACATAGAGACGTATAGCGTAGGCTATATAAGTTATCGTTTGCACTGCATCCATAATAGTGTGTGCAATTGTTCAACACGGGGATACGAATATGAGTAAACATTTCGTGCATGGTTAATATAACGAATTAACACAACAAAAAACACATCAAGATGGCTGATGCTGAATGCAATCGATCCATATAGGGCATATACTTTTTTTTATATAAGACAGACAAATTGTTAAGTGCATAACAGTCGCCAGGATATCGTGCGGTTATTATTCGCGTATAGTGACGTTCACGAGTAAAGCCACATATTATTAAATACACTGTTCGGTTTTGTGAAATGCGGAAATACTATGGAAGTATATACTATATCTAGCTAATTGCTCATGTCTGGTCCGATTGTCCACCCTTTATCAAAAGGAGAAGTTCCATGCCTTGTAGGTACATATAATTCAGTTTTAATTCCATTTAATTCTGGTTTATTTGATTAAAAGAATTCTGGTTTATGTGATTAAATTTTTTTAAAAGTCTAATAAAAAGTCAAAGACTTAAATAATTTGGTTTACAAAAATTACGATAAAAATGTAAAGTTAATACATACCCTTTTAAATATAAACACCCCATAATTTAAAAAGGTTCAATTGAAGATTACTCACACAATTTAAAAACAAAAGTGAGTGAGGACACTATTTAAAAATGGGGTAGGCCTACATGCATGTACATAATTGATTAATATTTCCCCCTTTTGAATAAGTGTTTAATTAGAGTACGTTTCAACATGTTCGGATTTCATCCTGGTTTAAATTGACTGAGTCAACTGTGCCAAAATCACTTACAAATGTTGTCATGACAAAATACGGTCAACATGTACACCTGTACTGTCTAGGGTTACTGGGACAAGGATGTGCCGGGTGGCCTGGTAAAAGAAATCGTGCCTTCAACAATAGCTTATTTTGCTGTTCAAATTCCAGAGGCCAGCCTATTGTCTCCATTGCTCCACCATGACTCACTCACTCGTCACTCACTGTCACTGACCTAATTTCAGTTGTGAGTTAGACTTGCTAAAGTCTCACCGTGTCCTAAAAATATGACTCAAGTTGCTAGTCCCATATAGGGTCAGGCTACATAGGGTCAGGCTAACAGTCTTCTTTGCACCTGGCTGACTGTTACTTGTGAATTAGACTTGCCTAAGTCTCACCTTGTCCCAGAAATATGACTCAAGTTGGCTAGTCCTAAAATTATAGGGTCAGGCTACAGTCTTTGCACCTGACTGGCTGTTACTTGTGAATTAGACTTGCCTAAGTCCCGCCTTGTCCAAAAAATATGACCCAAGTTGCCAGTCCCATATAGGGTCAGGCTACAGTCTTCTATGCACCTGATTGACTGTTACTTGTGAATTAGACTTGCCTAAGTCTCACCTTGTCCCAAAAATATGACTCGAGTTGCTAGTCCTATATAGGGTCAGGCTACAGTCTTCTTTGCACCTGACTCTGTTACTTGTGAATGAGACTTGTCTGAGTCTCACCTTGTCAAAAAATGTGACCCAAGTTGCTAGTCCCATATAGGGTCAGGCTACAGTCTTCTATGCACCTGAGTGACTGTTACTTGTGAACAGGGCTCAGCTCTATGCTGAGATGAAACCGTTAGACCAAATTAATTGATCTTGGACCATACTAGGTTTGCCTAGTTTTGGGTTTTTTTAAACGGAAGGAATTACATGGTAGTGAAAAAAAACTCCATCTAAGTTTTGATATAAGCCAATTTGGGATGCAATCTGCGTGCATGTGTGCATATCAATTACGATTTAATGTTATTCACTGTGATGTTTAACGGGTCTATATATACATGTTCATAATTTATTGGGCAATAAACTTAATTTGATGCAGTCTCCGGTTTAGAAAAGGAGATTGAAATATCACCCATATTGGAACATAAATAATTTTGAAATTATAGTGCAACGCTTGCTTTCGGAATTATGTTTTCCTAATATTTCCTCCAACGTCATCGGTACCCTCTGTGACTTTCCACTTGTACGACGAACGGTTTTTGTCCCGAAACAGAAAAGCAACATTCTGATGTGCGACTGCAAACTTAAAATACAGCCAAAAAAATTGACGGAATGTGTTTGACATTCAGAATTAACCGAGGGTGCGCTGTTTGTCACAACCGTCTATTAACACAGCCTGGGCCCAATGTCTTGGCGTTGCTATAACACATTTTCTGCTGACAGAGCCTCCGTCCATTTCAGGTAGATCATAAGAAGTAAGCACAGCAAGAACACGCTTAACCCGGAGGAAAAAAGGTTACATGCCATAAAATAGTGTATATAATGTGAGCACAATTTTTGTAGTAGTAAGCACATCTTTGTAAGCAGCGCCATGAAATTTGGCCAAGCAGATCCCCTGGCCATGTCGACGTTGCCTGAGTATTCCTACTCGCTAAAGATCGCTATATGCTATAAAGGTGTATCTTACTACTACCAAATTACTTTTCAGTACATGCCAGCATGCCAAAACAGCAAGCTTAAAACTTAGCAATTATTTTTTTCCATTAAAGAATATTGGTACAGTAGGAAATGTATGGCACAACTATATGAATAATTTAATCAGTATGATTTTATGAAGCTTAAATTGTTTTCTTGAAATGAAGTACCCTTTGCAATAATAATTGTCACAGAAAACTTGTACTTAAATAGTTTTGAGTTCAGTTTCGGTTCAAATGTGCACATGACAATCTCCAAAATCAACAAATATTTGCCTTGTCTTTATTCCCAATGACCCTTTCACCCTTCACAAACAAAAGTCTCTTCCTTAGCCTTGATATCCATCCTTTTCCATGAACCTCAACCCAAGTTGTGTGGGCGAGGGAAGCCCAAAGGCTAGGGCGAAGTTCAAAATTGATGCCAAATGTGGGTTTTTTCCCAACATATGTTAATTACTCTGTTAATCATTTACGGCGACTGAGGACCATCATTTTGCGAATTTGTGTTGTGTGTGTGTGTTGCCTAGGGCGAGGCGACCGTGGACGTGAGTCAGATCTGAAATAACCCGAAGTATATATAACGTCTGTAATACAACAAGTGGAATTTCTGACTCAAAATATGCTCGCTTGAGTTATGAAATGGATTTTCAGAAGTTCAATTTACAGGACCAAAAAGAGTAAAGGATTACTAACGATGTATGAGTAGCCACGTTCAATAGGACGGTACCGTCAAAGAACGACGTAACATGGCTACTCTCGATCCGTACACAGAACCAGCAACTTGGCAGTAAGTATTCTGATGATAACAATTTCAAGCTGAGTACCATCACTTTTAACGTTGTGTAAGCCCTACTTTAACGTCGTGTTTTCAATATGACGAGAAACCGATGGTTTGATTTCCTTTCCCATGTTTCATTTGATTGCAGGGTTACTGATGATTTCGATTTCGTCCGAGCAGAGTAAGTAACAAGAATATCAATTCCAGCACTATTTATACACAGCACCATAATTTATACAGTGATATCGCAACAACAGCTAACATCACCATAATCGTCATTTCTCATCACAATTAATAAAAATTTAGTGAAAGTCATTTATCAAGACATCATTTCCTTTCCTGAAGAAAAAAAAAGGGGGGGGGGGACAAATGTCGCCAGGGGGGCGGGGTGGAAGGTGGTACAATCCCACCTCATCCAAAACCTTCGCTTGAAACTGGTCATCAAATAACCGGGTGACATTTGTCATAATCTTTCCTGATTTGGGGAATTTTTGTCATAATTTTTCTGGGGATTTTCGTTGTCAGGATTTGCCCTTATTACAGAATGGGGATCCATGAGGTGTTGCCGTAGACCTCAGGTTTAATTTATCTATGAAAGTTTCCAAAATAAATGGCGATGATTTTAGGCAAATGTAAACACTCCACAAACCCTTATGTTGACCTGAAGCCCTCGGTGACACTCAAACCCTCTGCTGATTATTTCGTGGATTTTCAATTTCATTTTCCCCATTCTCAGCCCTGCCACCGTCACCATCATTACCATCAAAATGAACTATCACCCGTAACCCAATAATCATCTCAGAAACTTAACTTTTTTCTACAGTGAAATGCTGAATGCGACAGGTCCCCCTACGACCCCAGATCCAGGATGCGATAACCTAGCGGTCAGATTAGAATATTGGGTCTATGCCACTATTCCAATATCGGTAAATTTAAACAAAATTTTGACGATTTTGTCAGAGAGATGTAAAGTATCAGTCTGTTTGGAGTTTGGGTTTTAGTTTGCCCTACACCGGCGTAACTCTTAGAAGTGTTGCTAGTCGGTTTTCATTTTAGAAAAAAACCTTAACTGTCTGCTAATGGAAAAATAATTAATGCAATGCTTCATCCTAACTATTCCTATTTGCTGTGTATAGATTCTTTTAATGATGCCTCGTGTAGTTTCTGCTCCATAAACTGTACTTCATTTGTTTTTGTCTTGTCCTGTTTGTGTTAGTCCCTTGTCTCAGCAGCATGCGCAACTTAACGTTTACTTCACGTGTAGCTTAAAAGAACCAATGTAATTAGCGTTAACCATCATATGTTTTTCTTCACGTCGCCATTTTGCTAAGCATGCTTTTTGGAAACGCCCACCGCTTAATCTCATATTTGAATTACATGTATTGCCTTAAACTTTCCTGTTCAAATTGACTAAGTGACAATTATGAGTGAATTAAGTATACGAGACGACTTGCAGGAACAAAGTACGTGTTGACTGTGAAAGAAATACTTGAAAGAACAATTCGTAATCTGTCTAAAATCTGCAGGATGTAACGAAATGAAGATAATTTTGATGTACCATTTTCTTCTTTTCGTTTGCAGGTGGCAATCATATTCATATTCGCATTCTTTGAAGAAAGGGTAAAACTTTGGCCAACATGCTGCTTTCAAAGGCCCGCAATCCCCTAGTAAGTTCTTCGGGTTTTTTTTATTTGAAATGCAATTTTGTATGATACGAGTAAAAGTGTCACACGTACGCCATACAAGTCAAGTCTGCACAAATGTAATTTTTCTAAAGTTGAGGTCAATGCAAGATCTTCAATCAATATTCTGTCTGATTTGATGTTGGAGCCGATGTTCACATAGTTAAAGAGGAACATCGTCCTGAAATCGCTAAAATGTGTATGTTTAAGATCGTTTACTTATCCTATTTCAAAGGCCTGTTGAGCGCTATGCCTCATTGTTCCTGGGAAGAGACGGGGGAAACCGCTTGTTTACTTATGACGCGCTGAATGCGTTGCACTGCTGGAGCGACCGACTGAAATCACGACTAGCACCCAAGCGTCTCGAGTTTTGAGAGTAAAAAATGTTGACCCCGAAATTCGTTCTCGCAAGAATAACACAAAAAAATGGCCAGATTTTAAAGAAAGGTTGTGTGGACATTTATATTCTAATTTAAATGTTCGTTCCAATTAATATCATTTTCGTTTAAAACGCGTTTTGTAGCCCAATTTGGGCGCTTTCCAGGACGAAGTACCCTTTATCAGGAAATGCTGAAAAGGGTGTGTCTAAAGACAATGTTAGAATGTAATCACAATGTATGACTCACTGAAGGAACTGACTTCAACTATCACAATGCTATCTTTATAATGGAATCCAGCAGTCCTGTTCTCAGACAGTTTCTAAACCTCGGCGTCCTTTTGGCTTTCGGCGATATTTTAATGCCCCTGACTTGATGGGCACTGGCTCTATCCTGCGATGTGAGACCGATAGTTTAGACAATAATGGTTTGGACATTAAAGACTTCTAACTTTTGAACAATATCATACGAAGCCGAGCCAGAGACGAAGCCATGATTTGGAAAACTCCCTTCATCTCTGTGGAGGCAATAGTTTGGAGCAAACGAGTGCCCTGTATAACGATGTCATTTTCTGAGTGTGAACAGTACAAATATGACGTTCATTGAAGCTATAATTAAAGACTTTAATCGAATCCAAAACTTAAGGTTGTTCAAATGCAATGTGCTAATTATGCCAACATGAATTACGTCAATAACCTGAGCTCCATGTCCACGTTTACCCTAGTCTTGTTCCAAGACCGTATTTGGATTGTATTCCCCTCTGTACAGGCCGGTCAATGACAAGCGAAGTCGCTATCAACAAGATGAATCAAATCCAGTCTTGGCAATATTGGCAGCGCTACCCAGGACTCCGATCATACCCAAGCGCGCTGTCTTCAAGCCAATGCATGCGGGTTAGGTATGCTCAGAATTTCCTGGGTAGCACTGCCAATATTACCAAGACTGGATTTGATTCTTGATGTTGATTGAGACCTCCCACCGCTGCGGCAACTTAACTGCATTTGTCACGGGACTGGCTGCAAAATAGGGGAACAAAAATCTAGTCTTGGACTAAGCTTGACTATACGTTTACCCCCAAACTAGCGTCGTTACAGCGTCCTCACTCGCTCAATTCCAGCCTATTTTTAACCCCCTTTTTTATAGTCCGGTGAATTTAGTGGATTCGTACAACGATCGCTGGTCGTTCGCCAGCGCGTTCTCCGTCATGTCCACCAGCGTCCTGCAGCTGTTCTGGGGAGATTGGATCTTCGCTCCAGACCTGTCTGGTATTCATAACATGCTCCGAGGTATAGTAAGGACACTCCGTGTATACTAAGCCGGCGAGCAAAATTAGGAGCCAATACTGACGGTGCAACAGCTCATCTTGCGCACAGTTTTCAAGCTTTTATTTCAATTAGTCGAGGCACGTGCGCATTTCGGTAACCCAAACCGGTTCGCATGAAAATGTAACGTCATTTCATTTCAACTTAAACCACGCCCATAGACATTTCGAGCATGGGTAGGCAGGCCTTAGGGCTACAGTGTTTAAGTACACTTTTGTTTACCCTGGCCGGTTCGAAATGTTATATTGTTCTTGTATTCCGTCCCTCTATCTCCTCTCCCCTGTCAAACTGTCCACCCTCCCCTCCCTTCCCTCCCTCCCCCTCCAACCCATTCCTACTCGCATCAGTCTTTAGTCTCGTCTGGTCTTACTTTTCAATTTCTATTTTTTGTTTACTTTCTGATTTATATTTGCTTTGTCATTGTACTTTTGTTGGCCGAATAAATAATAATAATAATAAGTGGTGTTTAGTCAATGGGCGCTAGTAACCTACGTCGAAGGATTGGTCGAAGGAGCATTGAGTGCGTGCGTACCACCTGAATGCGCAGTACTGACTTCTAATTTTGCTCGTAGGATCAGGATAAGATTATAAGTTTATACGACTTCGTTCCCCTGACTCACTTGCAATCCAAACCTGGTTTTAGTCATTTTGTTTTAAAAGTTAAGTCTGCTTCAAAGTATGCCTAGTGAAGGGGAGGGGCCAGAGGGCGACAAGCTATACCCTATACCCCCGGCCCGGCGGCCAATATTTTATTTACACAATAGTACAGGGTACCCATTTTTCAGGCGACTTGAATCAAGGTTATAGGATTGTAGAGCGCCGCGTAGCGCGCGGCGCGCAAAAATCCGCTGTAGCCTTTAACCTACGCGTGCGCGCGTATACTCGCGCGTATACTCTCTCCACATGTGCGAAAGTAGGCCTATATAATTTAAGAATAGCAAGGGCTGATCGAGCACCGCCGTTGCCTAGTGGTTATGCAGGCTGGCTAGTAATCTGAGGTCCCGAGTTCGATTCTTTGCTGTACACACTTCGCATTTTGCAATTTTTTTCTCAAAAAGTCACAGTTTTATCTTAGAAACGTTATTTTTCAGTAGTATACTACTTGTATAGCAGCAATTTTCTTTTTCTTTTCTGATCCGAGGCTCTGGAGGATTTTTTTTAAAGGGAAATAAAGTCCGAAATCCGTACCAAGTTGAAAAATAGTAGCCTCCACTCCAGCCTGTTTATAATAAAAAATGTCCCATAGGAAAGCGCACAAAGTACCCCAGATAGTTGTGTAATAAAAAATATCGCGGCCCGGCGACATTTGGACATATTTTTAAGGGAAACAGGAACTAATACAAACAGACTGGTAACCAAAAAGCTGGATACGACACTAAATTCGAGGTTGAGTTTTGGAATTCCTGTCTAAAGTGCTGGTTGGGTTGGTAAAGTCCCACGTTAGAATTCTTTCGTGCATGTATTTTGAATATACTAGGAAATTACAGGATTTGTAATTGAGAATAAACATAGTCATCTTCTTGTCTTTTTTTCCTTCAAACTCGTAGGAACCATACTAATATTCGTTGGCTTGGCGAATGTCTTGCTGATATCTCTGGTGTTCTATCCGATCCTTCTGTGCCTGAGAATCAGATCCACGCATGGGCTTACTGGGAACTTCGTTGGTTTTTTGTACACTAATATCTGGTAAGAACGGCGTAATAGGTATGACATCCCTTTGGGATAAGGTATTGCCAATTTAGGTTAAAATTTACTCATTATGAGTAAAAACTGAGTTTGTTTACTTATTATGTTTCCTTCTTCCTATAGGATTTTGTGACTAAGTAGCTCTTTTGGTCTTCCGGCCAAGATCTTTGAATTTATCTACATGTACTCGTCCCTCGTCTTATAAATAAATGTCGTGTCTGCAACATGAAAATCCACGTTTTACTTCATGATCGTTTCTTTTTCCTCATTTCTTTGTTGTAGGCTTACCTATAATCTCTTGCTAATAGTCCACTGCGGAAGAGGACAGGGTGTAAGTTTTATCTGCTTTTGTCTTTTGTGTCCTCGTAAATATTGAAGTTTGTTTTTTATTCATTTCAAAGCATCTGATGTGTTGTTTTCTTTTACAAAAACATTCCTATGGGAAATATTGGTATACAAGCTAGACTCTCGTCCCAGCATTATTTATCCTATGGAAATAGAATTTTCCTTCCACCTTGCAGAAGAGGCTGACAGATATGAGCTATAATTAGCCAAACTTCACAAGTTAAACGCTGATCTCAAACTGAAAACAAAAAGAAAAACAAGACTTCAAGTTGTAATATTTTATTTTTTATAAACAGCTGTCCCGCAACACGATTATTGCCTTGACTGTGCCAGTGTATATTAACTACACCTTGCTGAACATCGGTTTTGCCATTGAACTCCTGAAGGCAATAAGAAGGAACCTCTGCAAGGTGAAGGTCAGTCAAAAGGCAATACAATTTTTTTAGAGATTGGGGATGATGTTAAGACGCAAATTCCAGGTACAAACAAAAGGGATATTACCGTTATTGAAGCAATTTAGCAACTTAACTTTAATCTCAAATTTAAGATTGTAAAAATGAAATTGTGGAGCATATAGCAGCATGTATAATCCAATTTCATCATCTCCTACGACATCGTTATCGTGAACATTATCACCATCGTTACAACTATCATTGCCATTTTTTTAGTGGTGGCGAGATCACAATCATCAACGCCGCAAATTTATCCAACATTAACAACATTATGACCCGTGACCACAATCCCCATCACTCTCAAAATGTGTTGGCTGCATCGCCATCATTATCTTAACACTATTACCACCATCATTGCCTCCACCATAAACCCCATCAACACTATAACCACCTCATCCAAAGTGGCGCATTGACTAAATAAACCTTTATCGCCACTATCCAGGCACGTCGTCAAGGGGGGGGGAGGCTGGTGGGGCCGGGCCCCCATTGGCGAGCACTTGGTCCCCCAACGGCAAAAGCCATACATATGTATTTTGTATTTTTTTTTTTACGGTAGTGGGCCCCCCCTACTTGATACTTTGCCCCTCCCCCTCCCCGATGCTCAGGGCTGGCAACAGGCCTGCCACTATCGCCCCTTTTATCGGCATCACCACCTTCAACCTCTTCACCCCCAATCTACCCACCACTGATCAATCTTGCTGCAGCAACAAACCAAAAGTTACATTTCTGTAATTTGTTCCTGGGTATTTATGGCATTGTCTGTACCAACCCTTTCCCAGAATATCACCGTACATGCAGAAGAAGAGGAGGATTATTTTAAGAAGACGCACTATTACGAACGGGTGAGGTTTCTCTTCAGTCCACCGAAGGAAGAGTAAGTCAATAGTAACTGTTTTTAGTTTTGCTTTTTTCTTAATCAAAAAATGCATCAATATTTTCTTGAAAACTTAATGTACATGTAAACCAAAAACACTCAAGAATCTCATAACTACAGTTAAAATCTCAATTTTAAGTTCGTATTGTCATTATGATATTTTCTTTATACTGATAAATTTGGTCCCAACACTGCTGGGTTGATTTTCTGTTTCATTTTGTTCTCTTTCAGGGAAGAAAAGGGACTACTGAATCGATTAATCAGAAAGATATGGATTGATGCACCAGGTATACGTGCCCATACAATATTATTCCGTCTTGAAAACATTGTTTAATGCATCACAATTACGAAGCCAACGATCTATACCAGGAACAAATTGTCTGGATATTGCCCAAACACTAGGCCAAGAGTCACTCATGGTGCGTGCGTACGAACTAGAGAGAGCAGAAAAGCATGTAAGAGGTCTCAGTGACAGAAGATATCTGTTATATATATATTCAATTCAATTCATTTCAAACTCACATTTATTTCCATACCAAAATAGCATAGAATACACGATTAAATACATAAATCAATAAATAGAGTTTGTCAAAAAGGTGAAAATGGCGAAAATATGGAGGCATCTTCTGGAAGCCTAGGCTTGTAGCGAGATGTCTAAGATGGACAAACACAAAACAGAAACAAAAAAAGTACTCACCGACAGTTGGACCAAGACGGAACCTAAGCATGAAAACTTATAACCTGTAACAGAACGTAGGCCTAAATGTATTAAGAGAGAACCAAAAAACAAACAATTGCTGAAAACCAAATAAGAAGTAAGCTATGTTACATATATTTTTTGTTGTTGAAAGATTGTAGGTATAGAAGGCAAACAAGCTTGGGGTTGTTTTTGCATTCAATGGGGGACGTTGTTTAAAAGAGGACAATAGGGTCCACAATTCCCGCAGGTCCACAATTGACGATCGTGTACAAAACACATGGGGAGGTCTTCCTAAAAGTACAAGCAAACGAGGTACAATAGGGGGTCTACGATTGAAAGAGTTTACACACTTGCTAGAGGGAGTACCAAAGAAAGGTTGTGCAAGTAATGGACAAGCAAATTCACGAATATCTCGCAGTACTTGCCATAAAATTAACTGGAGTTTTTTTCATTGCCACAGGTTTCCGATATTCCACACGCAGCGTCTGCACCATGGTGTTGAGCACAATCACAACCTACCAGGTGCGAACAGTATTCTTTCCAAATATGAACTCACAACTTTCAAAACCAACTTTGGAATTAATTTGTTTCTCTTATTTTGGGAGCTTACAGATGACAAATCTAGCAAGAAAATGACAATTTGTTTTGCTGGTTTCACATGGCACTTAAAATGCAAGGTACATAATGTTTTTTAAGCTTGAAATGTCATTCATTCTGGTGAGCACATTAAGAGCCGATTTTCCGAATTTATTTTTCCGTCAGTTTTATGTATTTTGAGAGAACTTGCGGTTGATACCATTTTCATACAAAATAGCGTTCAAGACTTGTGCCGAACAAAATTATTCCGGACACAGAACCAACTAAAAATGTAATTTAAAAAAGGCGGTGTTCTCCCTTTTTTTAATAAAAAAAAAGTGTTTCTTTTGTGCTTGAATTGTCAATCCAAGATTGGTTTGTTGTACATCACCATCGTGAATTCACTTTGGGATATCCCAGACGAACTGTTGAAGGAAGATGGTCTACTCTACCAGGCCTTCAGCCTCGTCAATTCCACTAGCTACGTGATGGAAGCCAGGGCGTTCTTCGACATAGCTGAAGGTTTGTTCCTAAGTTTGTTCCTAAATTTAGACTGGTAACCAGGCGCAGTTCTACGGGGGCTAGGGGGGGGGCTGTAGCCCCCCCCAAAAAAAAATTTTGTCTAGCCCCCCAAAAATAAATTCCGTAAAAAAAAAAATTGCATTAGCAAAAAGAAGGATTAATGTGATGTACATGCGAACGGTCTCCCCCTAAAGAAGAAATAGCCGTGACAAGGGTGTATTAGTTAATATAGTGTGAATGATTTTAGGATTTTATTGGCGTTCCCCATTGAAAATATGGCATGACCCCCCCCCCCTATTGATTTTCGGAGGCCTAAGTGTCTGGAAAAAATAACCGGTCAACATTTCAGCACGCCTCCCTGAAAAAATTCTGGATCCACCGTGCTAGCCCCCCCCCCCCCAAAAAATATTGGTTCTAGAACCGCGCCTGCTGGTAACTGATAGGTCTACCTCAGTGACCCGGGTTCAAATAGGCTCGACCAATCGTTCCCATGCATAGCTATGGTTCCAATACACCAAATACGCGCTCATAGAAAACAACACAAAATCGGACAGATACATCGCCACCTGGTGACGATAAAGAGCAAGGCGGCGAGGTTTCTCTCGCTGAAAATTACAGATTGTGACCCCAGGACATTTTTCTTTTCAGTTTTATTAGTGGTAACCGGGTCAATCTTTTTTCTATTCCCCTCCCCCAAAACGCCCCTAAAATGGTTGCCAATCTCTAGGCCAAGTTCTAAATGAAACCCCCCGCCTCTATGCGAAATAGGCCCACGAGTTAAGGCTTTCTGTGAACCAAATCCCCAAGCTGGAAGCCACAAGTCACAAATGCTTGATCTCCAGAAAATTTTCTACAAAATGCCCCAAGTACAGGCTGCAAGGACCTCTTATTTGAAATTAGCTGTGGGATCCTACATATTAATGAGCTCGCACGCACTGAATTTTCAGGTTTTGGTAGTGTGCACCCCTCATACATGATGCTTGGATTTTCAGACCCTATCTGATTGTGTGGGTCAAAATGATCCTAATTTGGTAATAATGTTATTATATTTTTCCAGATATGTTTTGGATTGCATGTTACTTCGCCATTGCGTTGGCAGTGCTGTACAACATCCATGTCCAAATATGTTACAGGTATGTGTCCCCTGATCACTACACACGGAATTGACGACTTGGAACGATTGCATGCAAAAGATTTACGCCAATTATTCAAGGACAAATGACAACTGAAGTCAAATCAGCCAACGTGTTGGAAAAATACAAAAGACACTGACTGTGGAATGTATGTGTACATTTTCTCTTCTTTTATGTTTGTTTTTAATTGTTGTCAGGGTTTTTTGGGGGGGCGAGTGGGTGGGTATATTTCATGACAAGTGAATTTTGTTTGCCAGGCTTACTAAGATGTTCCTTTTCTAGTTTAAACTCTATAACTTGTACATTTCAGGGAACACACTCTATTGCTATGGAGGGGCGTGAAGGATTTCTGCCCGAAGGAAAAGTTCAGCTTGCCTGCTCTAGTCGTAAGTCCATAGGAAATTCTTAATGTTGAATTATGAATTTCAGATCATTGTGATTTAAGACGAGGCACTCCATACTTGAATAACTTTGACGAGTCTTCGAAAAATCATGACCACCTTTGCCATTTTTTCCCAACAACTTAAAAGTCAAATTCTTAATTTGTATTCCCAAATTGAGTTGTGGTTTACTTTTCCTTGTCTCACACGTTCATCTGTTTGAGTCATTTGACGTCTGTGTCTTCTGTGTCCTTTGAACGTCTAGGTGTCTGTCTACAGTCTTGTTTGTAAATGGATGATGTGGTCACGCTGTGCCAACTTTCAACAAACATTTTTAGGCTACACTACATGTATCTATTGAAAATTATATGGTTTCAAAAGCGTTGGCATAATCTGTGTGATGTATGCACAACAACATGCAAAAGATGTTTGAATGTCAGGGTTGCCTGTTGGATTTGACGTCACAGGTAACATGTGTTATAGGTTTAGGGCACTAATAATTATGCTTCACCTTAAACCTAAATGTTACCCCTTTGTGTTCTTTATCACTGAAGATCTTTGTGTTCATTGCAGCTATGTAATCGACGTACTGTACACATTACAATATACTTACTGTACACATTTTATTATACGTGTAATGGTACTATCACCATGATAAAATATCATGTTTTATATTTACTGTTTGTATACGTTGACCTTCAAGAAACAGGACCACTTTCCTGGTAATGAGACACATCTAAGGAATGGCCAGTTTAGCCACAAGGTCAGCGTGGGTGGATGCTGGGCTGCACCGGAAGGCCACAGTGATTCAGCCCACGGACTTAAAAAGGAAATCCGATTGTTCTATCAATTTGCCTAGGCCTGCCCCCAGATACAAGTTGACCAAACACCTTCAATTCTGTATTATTAATATTCAGTAGTTAGTGAACAACTCCTACTAAGGCAAGAAACCTGTAAGATAGCTGTAAGATTGGAATGTTCATTTACTGTATAAAAACCCAGTAGAATCCAGAAATCAGACAGAGAGCGTCACAGCCAACCGAATAAACCACATTAGCCCAAGTTCCACTTCGTCTCTTATTGTCTTACTTTGTCTATATAACCTCACGGGTTATGGTACCATTAAGGAGACACGTTATCATAATTTCTTCGCACGATCATGAGAGACATCGGTCATGTCTCTCTAATGTCACAGCCCCCCTTTAGAGGCACAATTAGTAAACATACCGACATTCGCGGAAAAAGGACAGGGACAATTGGGTTAGGCCACATTTAAGTTTGAAACATTTTGTTCACAAGTCTATGGGGATGTCTCCCAAATGTCCATAATTATGATAGCATTGAAATAGATTTCTGAATTGAAAATGCATAGTAGGTGGGCTCATAACTGAAATATCAATGACAGATATTAATTAAATCTACCCTTTTGCCCTAAACATATATGGCTTAGGTTAAGCAAATAGAACATACCGGGTAATAAATTGTTCGAATCAATCATGCAGGTATATACCATTTCTTTTTATAGATTTGTTTTGTTTTTTCCTTTGTCGATTCTTTTCCACAGGTGGCGAATCTTCGCTATTCTGGTTATGCAATTGCGTTTTCCGCATGGGGTAAGTTTTTTGTATCTAATTCATAATTTTCCGTAGTTTCGAAAATGAAATAAATTTTCAAATGTTATTATTTTGAATTTCTATCTTTAACTGGCAAAGGGCACCTAACAATGCTGGATAAAAAGCTGAAAGCAACCACAAGGACGTTATTGATATAAATAGATATTCCTATTTGAAATAGAGATATCTCTATTGAACAATAACAATAATAATGCGTATATATAAGCGCACGTATCCACCAATATTGGTGCTCAAAGCGCTACATCATTATTACCCTGCTCATTTGGCCAATGAAACATTCCAAAGACAATCTCAGCTCCCCGGGGAGTATACAGCTCCATGCTGCCATTTCGGCGCAAAGCAGCTTAAAGTAATCACAATAATCATCTCTGCCGCGCCCTCAAAGGTACCCAAAATACTCCTGGGTGGGGAGAAGCAATAAGTGACAAAGTGTTTTTGAAATAAGGATATCTCTCTGTCCGGGTTAAATGATATAACTTTGTCTAGAAATTTAAATATTTCTATTAAAATAGAGAAATTTCTATTTCTGGATTAAATGTCACATTTGCACGCCATAGCTAGCTTTCCACATTCTTGCCTTTGGTCATTGTGGTGCTACACAAGAGAATCAAAGTCAATTGACATATATTCTTGTACTGCATGTCATTCTGTTTCGTTCATTTCGTTGGGCCTGCAGGTTTTGTCATCACCCAAGTCGTCTCGTGGTTGTTGCTGTTCTTCGTGGCGTATTTCATTGTTCATCAACTGCAGATCCGCGTCCCCGGCGAAGAACTTTCCTGGCTCCTCTCATTTCTAGAAGGATATTGGTAACTGACAATCGATATTTGATTGTTGACATAGTTTAAAATCGGTGCACTTTTCCTTCACCAGAAATGGAGCAATAGACCTAAGACCTAATGGCGTTATGGATTTGTTTACATATTCACTTTCCCGTGAGAAGTCAGGACGCCAGACGAAGCAGAGACAGTCTACCCACTTAGGAAAGCGCACATGTAAACAAAGCGTGACGTCATTAGGTCTCAGGCCTATTGGACCACTCCGTCGTGACAATTGTGTGAAGACAAATACATGAATTATACATGGCAGTGAGTCTCAAATGGCCGTTCCCACTTAGGCCGCATTTGAGCAAAAGATACAAGCTACAAGACGTAACACATGAGATAACAGATGAGGTTTAAACGATAAGATAAAGCTACGATATAAGATATACAATATGATGTGGGTAGCCTATAAGATTTAAGATGCAATGAATAAAAATAAATAGAGATGTATTAGCAATAACATATATACGAGATACAAGATTTAATTTATATAATTTTTATTATATAAACTACATGATAATAATTATGAGATATGAAGATTTTAGCCTAGACTGGCCTTCATTTCTTTCTTTCAAATCTATATACATGTATCAATTCTTTAAAAATAATGAACATTCCATTTAAAAAGTTTGCCACCGTTATTTTTTTTCCCATCATTTCACCATGAACCTCAGTAGACTGACATGTCCAGTAGACGTGACTTCCCCACTAGAATGATATCTCCATTAGACTGACATCCCCACAAGAATGACGTCCCAGACATTTGTTCAACGTTGCGCTAACTGTGGAGATTCAACGTCGGCCCGACGAGATTTTCGAGTTGGGCCAACAGTGGATTAAAACCGTTGGCGCGACGTTTAATCGCCAACGTTGAGACGACGTGACCAAAGCTCATACGGCGCGTTGGCGTAAGGTCAGCCTGATGCGATTTTCGACGTTTGGCCAACAGCGGATCAAAAATATTGGCACGACGTCGTCAACGTTGATATGGGCCTTATTCACGAGTCGGCCATATTGGATTGAGAGTGAGATGAAATCTTGATTTCTGGAACTGGTGTAGAGAAATGAAAGCAAGTTAATAACTAATTAATTCCAGTCTGCTTCAATGAATAATTTCAAATTTGTAATTACACGTTCCCTAATGTTTAAAGCCAGATTTTAAAAAGAATTGACAGTAAAAAAAGGCTGCATTGTGCCTGCATAAATAGTCTGGCGCCATCCCATTCAACAGTTAACATGAAATACATTCAGGGAACTCAACAATGGCCAACTCATGAATATGGACCATAGTCCTGTTATATTTCACCGTGTTCTTTCGTCATTTGTTTTGTCCCATTAGGCTTACCTTCGTCATGGGGTTCGTCTTCTATTACCTTCAGGTCGCTATCGCTAATTTGACTTTCTTGCAGAAGGAAAAAGAAAAGGAGCGCGAGAAGGTGCACTTGAATCTCAACAACAGGTTGGTCAAATCGACACATCAAAGACTTCACGTGTCTTTGGGTTTTTTTTTTTCTTCTAAGGCTGTATAATATTATACTTTAGTATCGTACGCATGTTCTGTGTAACACTGCTTTGATATCCAGTCCTACTCACAAACTCTCATCCGTGGTTTTTCTGTCACATCTTCCTTTTTGTTACGTCGCCATTTTATTTTTGCCAACCAATGATCGACAAATTATTTGTTGCAATCAATGCATCAGCAAAGGAAAACATGAACGTTCCACTAAGTATTATTAAATGCTTTTTTTTTTACTTTTTACATGCCTTCAACCACTAAAAAATATAATTTTTTTGTACAGACACATCAAACACTTGATAAATGTAGGCCTACCTTTCTCTCCATGCAACGTGTTCAGTTTTTAGCAGAAGCTTTTGACAATCATGGTTAAAATTCGTCCAGAATTGCACCCAATTTGGTTGAACAACAAAAGTGTCAATAAGTTTGTTCAGTGACATTATGAAAGTGAACACAAATTTCAAAAAAGAAATTTGGGGGGGGGGGGAAACGTGGTGGTTTTATTTAATGTACGTCGGTGATTGCTCAGGTTTTTTTTTTAATACTGTACCTTGATTCAGTCCCGTTTCAACTTTAGTGCTTTCAACATTTTGCTTGTTTCATCAGACGGCTGTTTCATTGGACCGTTTACATCACCCTTTTCATGAACGTCGTGGTGGGTTTGGTGTCCTGCCTCATGCGGATCATCAAAGCGGTCTTCTTCGGCGTTCTTTTCATCGGCAGAATCGACAAGTGCACCTTAATGAGAGGCTGGGAACTCTGGGATCCAGGTAAGCTACTGTTCTAGGGCAAGTTCGATCGAGAAGCACTGGTCAACAAATGGTTGATTCCTGACTAAACTTATACGCCTGCGCACTAATAACAACGTGCAAACGTCTCTAGTAAAACGATGCTGGAAGGGTGATCACGAAACTTCTTAGTCCTGGCTCCCTGCTGCGCATTATGAAGCGAGCGGCCATTGTAACCAGCGATGCGACTGACCTTGGTAGGTTTCGAATAGTAAGATAGACTAGTTCAACTAATGTCGACAAGCGTTGGTTCGAGCAAAGATAGCTGAACGAGACTACTACAGTTCTTGCTCGAACTTGCTCCTTGATGTCGCATCTATGGACTCCGGGCACAAAATATTCCATTATTCTGTGAAAGTGACCGCGCATGGGTGCCGACACTGAAGGATCATTGGATGCCACCTTGCGGTGCGTAATGGTTTGAGTAAATTTTATGCAATTTGTGATATGAAAAACCTCACGCGTGATCCAATGCAGTGCCCTTTATAACGAATCAGCGCCATCTCTTCTTTTTTCAAGCAGGATTCCAAGCTTGTGACCTCAACATTAAAACACGTTTTCTTAAATTTTGTTGGAGGACTTTGAATTTCCATTCATACAGATATGTACGCACTGGCGCAGTTGAAATAGTCTAAACTGACTTCCTTGATAACCGTTCATTTTTTGATTGATACAGGTTTCAAGTCCTATCTAGGTTTTCTGCAGCTGGAGGTAGCCCACACACATCCTGTTCTCATCACGTTTTGCCATTTCCTCTGGAAGTCCGTCGGCAAGGACATGAGGGAACACAGGGTGCCACTTGTCTTCTGGAGACGGAAGCCGGCAAAGATGGGTTGGTTCTACACTAAAATAATTAGCTTTGGAAGTCTTCATCATCTGAAAATAAGATTTAGCTGGGGCAAAATTCATAGAGCTGCCCAGAAATTTGATTAGCGCAAAAACAGTTAACAATGACCCAAATGCCCGCAATTTGTTGAAAGGTTTGCTGCACTAATTTGAATAAAATAATGTAGTCCTAAAGTAGTTTTAAGAAGCTTTTATGCATGCACAACTTGCGATGTCCCGTAATACGAATTACCAGTGGATGATATAATTTGTCTTTTTTTGAGCAGTTAATGGCAGCAACGAGTTAAGCCTGGTAACCAGCTCGGGCCACTCCCGGAAAAAGCTATGGCCTCGCAACAAGTGGTTCGTGGCGTTGACCCTGATGCGGAACCGGGCGCTGACCGTGGACCGAATGCGAATCTCGCCCGAGCTGCAACGGGTCAAAGAGCAGCTGGAACGGGAGCGACGGGAGGCGCAGTCAAGAGGGGTACGTAATCAGGCTGGCATTTGGTGGTGCTCATACTATGAAATTCGGTCTCTTTTTCAGCTTCGGTTTTTTTTATCCTGCTCTAAAATTAGTTAGGATCCTTTCATGCTCGAAATGAATGTAGGCCTACTTTACAATTTGGTTTAGTATTTTAACATACGATGTCAAAAGCCAGAAAATGTCACTGGCCAAATAGTGACCAAGCTTTTAATTACTGGGGAAGTAACGTGAAGCTGAAGCCAGAGACGCTGAAGCCACGGAGGGAAATAAAGACAGATGCGTTAGAAAACTAGACTATGGTATTTTGGTTTTCGTGACAAAGGAAGGGTGATGGGTAATTGTAAGATGTTTCAGGTCAAGTATGAATTTCAATATATAATTGGCACAGGCGATGAATCTCTTAAATTGGCACAAACAATCTCTTAAAAAATTGATCAGTGTCAGCATTTTATCATCGCTATTGGGCAACTACAGTAAATGTAAGTTGCTTGAAAGACATTTCGTTTAATCCTAACTATAATAAAGGCCATTTTCCCCCATACTACTTTTCTAACATTGAATTGGGAATGCTCCACTTGGCTCACAAATTAACATACACACAAAACCGATATGGTATGGAATGCCCACATGACTTTACTAAAAGAAAATGAAATCTTAAATTGTGGGCTTTACGTACAAAATGCCATATTTTTGCCTTTTGCATGAAGTATCACCATTACTTCCATTTTGCAGAGTGACAAAACTGATACAACGGAGCTGACGATCGGCCTAGACGAACAAGATGCAAAGAGCATCCCCGTGGAAGAGGGCCGACTGCCGGCGGCCGACGAGGGCAAAAAAACGACAGTCGATGCTGTGCGTAAAGGACAAGTCTCAAATCAAGTCCCGACTGAGGCTGAAATCTCGCGAGATTCGGGCACCATTTCTCCGGAGCCAAGCAGGCCGGCTGCGCGGCTTAGCACGGTGGCCTGGGAAGGACAAGCGGCAGCAGCAGAGCCCAATCATAACCCTGTTGTCTGATGCTGCAGTACAGAGTGAATAGCAGTTAGAGTCCGCATACTGAAGTCACTATGGGTGCCATCATTGAGGACCATTGTTGCTGTGCGTCAAATTAAAAAAAGTCTGAAATCTTTAATTTTTCAACTGTTATTTTTAAGCACATTTTAATTATTTTCGGTAGTAGGCCCATAGCAAATTCCATTTCGTTAATATATCGAGCAATTACTTCTGGAAACGCGAATTCCATTGGGTCTAATCTCATTTATTAGACAACTTCATAATGATGGTCGTTCAGTTTTGCACATAACAATCAATACCAAGTATCGTAAACATGACGTGATTAGTAGTCAGGTGACCGGATATAAATTATCATCGTTGTTTTTATGATTTAGAAGTGGACGTACATGTAATTGCAAACAAACAAGTTGAATCGGGAAATCCCTTTTTCTTTTACTTTCTATGTATTTCTAGGCTATTTATTGACGTCTCTTACCGATCTGTTACCTTTTACTTGTACAAAAAGCTCGTTGTTACCATTGATTGATGCCGTGCTCTTGTGTTCATTTGTGCGTCAGCCCAAGACAATTTAAGTGATATTTTGTTCCGTCCAATGTTGTTTTTTTAAAGAGGATATCTCAAGAAAGACGCTTTGGTAATTTACTGGTGGTTTTGTGTGGCGCGATTTGCGTGAGTGAAGTGTGTTTATCAAACAAGATGTGGTACTATACTACGGTAACTGTTTTCTGCATATATGCCACCATTGTACCAATTTGGGAATAAGACTAAAAGTCATATACGTCAGCTCAGTCAGTTTTTTCATTATGGTTTTATTTTTATTATTCTTAATATTAGTTTGTGTCATATTAATGCTACATTCATAAATACCTCAGACAGTTTAGCTATTCCTATTGGTCGAGAGCCCGTCACGTGGCCGGTATTAAACGGATGATAAAGACATGGCTAGCTGGTCTTAAACACTTTTCCAGTGTCACAATAAAATGTGGACTCCTAAAAATCCAGTGCCTCTTACCGTTTCATTGGTTGAACGTTCACAATCCTCACGTAGGCATGCGCAACACAACAAGCGAGTCAGAATTTTATAGTTCTAAATTCAAAACGCAACGCCCCAGGTGCGTTCTGCGTGACATCGCGCAGAACATGTTACGCGCGCGTCAATCTCCATAAAAGGGTTGTTTACATCTTACTCGCCAGCTGAACACTCCATTATTTTGCTAGAGGGATGTTTCAAAAAGCATGAAGTGAACTTGTTGAACAAAATCGGGATTTTTTGAACGAATTATTTGATATTTTTTTACGGATAAGGTATTTATGAATGGGAATAAATATTTGCTCGGTCGGTATTTATCACTCTGTTTAATACCGCTTAGAGTCTGGGTGCTGATAATTACCCTCGCCTCCGGCTCGGGTAATTATCAGCACCCAGACTCTAAGCGGTATTAAACGAGTGATAAAAACCTCCGGAGCACACATTTATTCCCTTAATAAAATGCATAATGAAGCATTGGCAGTCCCACACTACAAGGAGACAACCGGAAAACATGCGGAGCGGGAGGAGAGCAGATGGATGGAACCATGAAGGCTTTTTGTTTGCTGGTCCCCATCACCCTTTCCAAGTGAAGTGCGCTGGTAACCTCGATTTTTGTTCTCTCAATATAGTATAGACCATTATCATGTTGCGGCCAACTTGATATTTCCCCGTTCAAGTCAACGTAACCAAAGCGAGGCTGGAAGGGGAAATAGTCTGGTTCCCTTTAGCACCAAAAAAAAACCCCAATATTTTCTGTACTGTTATTGGATACAGGGAACATGACTGAAATGGTGGCAGCATGATAAAGATCTATTGCATAGTGACCCGAGGTCAGCACTTCCGTGTGCGCACGAATTGTATGTACATTGCCTATGGAAAATGACCTACTCACAATCCTTTGGTTGTGTTTCCGATAAGCGGGCATCAACATCCTATAGGGCGGTGGGAACGAGCAAGACAGCGGAAGGAACTGGACACCTTCTGAAAATAAGGCGGTTCTGTTCATGCTGGCATACATTATTTTTGCCGATAGTGACACCATGTTGCCGTTAAAAACAAATAGGATTTCACACCTACATCCCCTCTAGTGACTCCCGCTTAGAAGGAGGAGGAAAGGTAGACCTAAACTGGAAAATGCCTATGATAGAATATTAGGAGAGGATGAAAACAAAAAGCATTTTCTGTTTCAATGGCATAAATTAATTAAATATCAGGTATATTTTACATACTACGAAAACGCAAATAGGCTGTAGGCCTGGGAATACCACCATGTGAATGCGGAACTATACCAGTTGCTTGTATCGTAACACCAGAACTGAAAACAACGAGGGCATACACATGCATCCCAGGAAAAAGAAGGGTGCGTTGTAGCTACCACTGTAGTCATACATCAACCCTGAAATGGAAAAAGAAAGTTAAAGCCAAATAAGCTTCAAAAGGCTATGCAACTTAAATGTCAAACTTCTTTGTACATGTATAATGGAAGCCTAATGATGTAAAGGGCTCTCAGAACATTTTGCTCTTTGCACGACATTGCCCTATTGGACCAAAAGCGAAGCGAAGGTGCGTCATAAATTCCCGTTTGTGTTTGCATCACGAAATGGCGGATAAACTCATCGCAACCTACGTCGCCAGTTACGCACTTTAAACTAGATTTATTACGGGAAAGATCTGTATACTCGACCTTTATTTTTCATTCATAAATACATATGGCATTTTACCCATTCCTATTTTGTCGAAAGCCCGTCATGTGGCCGGTTTCAAGGTTGATAGAGACCGGCTGGCTGGTGTCACATGAAATTTTGTCTCCTTTAAAATCCAGTGCTTTTTAGTTAAACCGTTAAGGTGCTTTTTAGTTATACCGTTTTATTGGTTGAACGTTCAAAATGCACACGTAGGCGGCATGCGCAATACAACCAGTGAGTTAGTATTTCATAGTCCTAAACTCACACTTCACCGGCACAGCTGCGTTCTGCGCGACAAGCGTATCATACGCGCGACACGCGGGTCATGATCTCCATATAGGCCTAAGGAGTTGCATGTTTACAACATGGACACTACCATAGTGCAGCTAGAGGAGTGTTTCGAAAAACTTGACTTAAAATTGTTTAAAAAAATAGTTGGAAATTTATATTTTTTGACTTGTTTCAGTGACGTTTGGACTGAAATTTTTGACATTTTTTTTACTGAAAAGGTATTTATGAATGGGAAAAAATGTGCTTGGCCGGTATTAAACACTCTGTTTAAGACCGGTTGGAGTGCTGATCAGCATCCAGACTCCAACCGGTCTTAAACAGAGTGTTTAAAACTGGTCAAGCACACATTTATTCCCTTAATATAATGCTTTACCATTATCGGGTAGGGCCTTTGGTAAATCAGTGAAACGGTCTTTTCAATCAGTATACACAGATGGGTATTTGAGATAAAAAATAAATATTGCACCGGTTAATTACCTGGCAGGAAGCCGAGAGTGCACCGCAGTATGGTAGTAAGAATCCCGATCCAACCGTAGACACCAGCCAACAAATCCACTCCAAGCATTTGCTTGACAGCGACATCTATGCAGATTGTCAGACCGTAGCCGGTCATAAGCAGAAGCGAGGACAACAACATGATTGACCAATAAGACTTCAGCCACGGAGTTGTGCAGAAAGACACAGTGCCACACCCAAGACCGATAGCCATCACAGCCCAACACGGCAGTATACCTCGGTCCACGATAAACCCTTGGGCAAGTTTTGATACCAAACTCCCCACGCCTCCAACCGCCACGAATGCAGCCGCATCCTCCAGAGAGAAGCCCCGAGATACAACGCTTGAGACAAAATAAATTTTCCACATATCGATTGCGAACTTCGAGTTGCAGTAGATGATAGCCGTCAACCAGAAACGAATGTCGAGAAACAGTTTCAGATCCAAATTGACTACGAAGCTCTTCCATATTGTGCACAAGGAAGACAGCAGATTGGCCGGGTGTATTGCCGATGAGAAATCACTGACCCCTTGTATTTCCTGATAGTCCTCATTTCTTGGTTTCGAGCTACCATACTGATGCATCAGTGCGCCACACAGAATCATATGTGAACAGATTGCTCCCATCAGTAGCATGGTTCCTCTCCAGCCGTACGCATCCAGGAGTATCTGGACGACGGGCGCGCTTATGAACAGTCCCATCGATGCTCCGGTCCGTGCGATGCCGATGGCTGTTGCGTGATTCTGATCGAAGCAGCGTCCGACCACCTGTTTGGAAATAACGTCCGACATTCCCAATCCCGCACCTGAAAATAAGCGAAAAATATACGACTATTACTACAATTACTTGTTCAGTTGAATTCAATTAATTAGCGAAACATTTTGACCAATATATTTATCATGCAACATTTTTTGTTCTAATACCGGTATAAATTCAGCTGCTTAAGAGATATTTCTCTAGATAAGTTTTAAACTACCAATTGACCTAAAGGGGGGGGGGGAGAACATTCCAATAACCCTATAAAAATATAAGTTTTTTTAAAGTTCTTGTGTTCTGATGGTGGATGTCTCAATTCTTTATGAAGAGACCCGAGAGTGAAGTACAGTAATAAATTGCTATCAAACATAATGACTCCAATGTAGTATCTCATATCAAGCAGATGGTCACAGCAAAGCACCCGGGTGCAGCCTTACCTGCCAAGAGGGTGTAAGCTAAAGCCAGTTGATAAGTAGCGATTGCAAAGGACCCAGCAATGCTAGCTAATCCAAGCATTGCACCGCACGTCATGATGACGCCACTGGCTCCGAACCGTCGTACCAATGGCCCCACAAAAGGACCTGTGACAAAAATTGGGATTAAATTATGATGGAGTTCAGACATTTATGATCCTGCCATAGGCATTTTAAATTGCGATTCATAATTAATGTTCCATTTGGGAGATGAATTGGCATGGCGCCTACTGACAGGTAAAACAAACAACATCTGTTTGCTTCTTGTTATGTTGCTCTTCAACAACAACGTTCGCCTGTACATACAGTATAGACGACAAGTCGACGCCAATACTCTTACACCCACACTTTTTGTAAGGGTTGGAATTTCGATAACATCGAAAACAAATAAATTGATCACGGAAATGTGTACGGTGTAGAGGATAATTCCATTGGCGGTATGTAGCCTGAATGTATTCATGGCACAGTCTACAATAAAAAGCATGTACTAGGATCATTTGCATTTATCTCAAAAGTAACCTTGACGAATTATTATTTATTTTTTTAAACATACTTGAATTAAATATCGTATACTGGTACTGAACACACTGTGAATTCATTCCGTCTGGCTTGCTGAAGAAATACGATCAGTCAGTTGACTGTTTTTTGAAAATAGAGTGCTAAGGATGAACTCGTGTTTCCTGAATTTCGTGATTAAAAGGTATAGTACGTGTATGTCTTTTCACTATTTTCCTGAAATTTGTAACTTAAAGGGAATGTACATCATTGGCTTTTGCTGTAATTTTCAGAAATTAACTATTTGAGGGGTTAGTATAATAGATCAAATATTGTTGCCCTGACATGTCTGAAGTTTTGTGTTCGAAAATGCTTAAAAAAACAAGCAAAACAAAAATGTTCAAGTAGTCTAGTTCCCTGACTCCACTAAGGATAAAATGGATCAATTTGTAGATGCCGGAAAATTGTAAGGTAAGGGAACCAGTGCAGCTGGCCTGCACTTGACCATGTAACAAATAGCAAACAAAATTTTTTTGGACTGTAAAAAAATGGTAAATTTGGAGCAGTAGTTGAAAAATAGTTAGGTTTTTCCAACGGTGGTCGGCCAACCACCGTAGGAAATACCATTTTCTTGAAAATGACTTCACACTGTGTGCCATAATTTTACAGGATGCTTTAGACTGTCATTTACCATCATCCTAGTAAGGTATTTTGTAAAAACTTGATAGTTTTATTTTTCGATGTTTGCAAATGTTGTTTATTCCCTTTAACTGAAACTTCAACAGGTTAAAAGGTTTTGAACGTTTTTCTTTCGATTTTAAGTGGTGTTATAATTGGAAACGAACTAAATACATGCAAAGCAAATGATCCCATATAATACGCCTTTAAGGACTTGCAGTACTAAGTCAAAAGCAACACTTTTCTATCTAGGCCTAATATAACTTCCCTATAACAACTACACAAATGAACTTGTTTATAAGAAAGATGTTCAAGGTCATAGGCAAAATTAAGCCTATGTCCCGTCTTTGGTGGACTTGAAAGGACAAAGACTTTGTTGACTGCCTGTATGCTATCTCCCTATCGTTACCATGTTGTAACGTTCGACCAATGAACGCCAATCACTAACATGTTCAGCGTGTGACGTAATCAGACAGAGTAAACAATTAACATGTAGCTATATGTGGTTTTAAAAAAAATCTGCATCAGGGGTCTTTTAGAACTAATTCTCGAGATATCCCCGCGTCAAAATAAACTCGATTATTAATCATAGTGAATGTTAAATAAACCGAAGAAATTTTACCAATGAACCCACTCATGGCAACCACCATGGATGTTATCCAGCCAATGACCCAGCTTTTCGTTTCAAACTGGTCTCGCAGCGTCGGCAGCATGACCCCGAGTGCTTTGATAACTCCGGTCGACATGAAGCAGTAAGTCCACATCGTTAAGACAGCAACCGGTCCAGCCCAGCCGCCAGCTTTCCCAGTCAGTCGGCAGCTGATTTTCTGGCCCATAGTAGTGGAGGACTTCGTTGACGATGGGTTTTGTTTTGAGTGGTACAAAATCCCGTCTGAAGTGCAGTACAGTCAGGCACCCAATTGATTCCTCCTGTCTTCTATTGCAGGCCCAAAATAACGAACTCGTTTCTACACTCTCAAAACGCTGGTTAAAATTTTGTTGGTTAAAAAGGTTGGTTAAATTTTTTTAACCCCGCGTGCAGGAACAGATGGCGATGTGCGGCCTAGCTAATTTCAAGATGCTGCTATGTCTATCGATTGCCTGGAGCCTGAACTCAAACCAAACGTACTCGCCCTCAGTGGTTCTGAAATCTTATTGGTTGCTATGCGTAGGCTACGTCATGCCGATGTCACCTTCCCTATACATTGTATACTGATTGGCTAAGGTTTTCAGCACGTTTAGACGTCTCGTGGCTAGCGATTGCGGTATCAATAATGCCTTGTTCGTACACAGTGAATAAGTACTTGTAAATCTGTTACTCGGAATCCAGGGGGAGCCGCCTATATGTAGCCGCGAATCCTTCCCCTGCCCCCAGTTGCATTAAAACACCAAATCGTACCATAGATCTCGAGTAATGATAATACAAAGCGGAGTTTTAAGATGCTAAGAATCAAATCGGGTCCACTTTTGGTGGTATACAACTCTTGAGTCTTGACGGGTGAAGGGAAAAGTCCATGATTATTATAACATTAGCAGCGGCTGAACGGAGGGGGGTGTGCAACCTCCCCCCGCCCCCCCCCCCCCCCCCCCAGCCGATCCGCCACTAAGGAATGAATTTGGTGAAATCATCACAATATCACGAGTCATCCCATTTTGGAGGCAGAGTGCAAATTAGTCCGGTACCTTCTCAATAAATTCGAGAGATTACAATATAGACAATACCACACATTCGGGGTAAGGTCAATGACAATGTAATGTACTAGATCCAGGTCAGGCAACATTTTAATAGACTGAATACCACTTTCGTGATGATTGTGTGATAACTCAAGACGGCCTGCCTGTCACTCGTAGATCTCGTGTTGCCAGAAATGCCTCGTTAATTAAGAAATCCACAAAAGTGACATAACAAGGTGAACATTCGCTCGGATTATCGGAGTGGGACGCCGAAGATGAAATAACATCACTGATACTGTATGTGTCGAGCGGTAACCGCGGGCAAAGATTGTACTAGATATCAGATTCCAAATATCGCTGTCATTCATGTCAATTCATGTCAATTCATGGTTCATTTGCTGTAAATAATGAGCAGCTTTGCAACTTCGAAGACACGATCCGATTGATGCATGCTCCCATTTGTCCTAACTGTCAGATTCTTTCGGCCGGCGTTTAATTATCTCCGGTTTCAGTGGCATGGAATGACTGAGAGTATTTCTATTCCGCCTGGATTGGATGCTAGTCCATCGCAGCGGGTTACTCCTCAGCTCATGCCGGTACCCTACTCCTTGGTGGAGAGAGGCAAGTGGTGGTGACCGCAATGGACATGCAGCTCGAACCCTGACTTGTTTATCATGATCGAAACACATGGCCATATCCCCCCCCCCCCCCAATCCAAGTCTGGTATAAAGATTGACCTCTATAGATGGGAACGCAAAAGGTGGATCTGATCCGGCAATTTGACCTGTTAACATCCGCCCGGTGCACGAGTGGCGCGAAAATGTTGCGGTCTCATGAACGAAGAAACACGTTTTCAGGCGTGTAGCTCATGTGAACATTTCCAGCGTATACAACATGCACAATAAACAACCGCTGAACTACGGGCTAGCACCGCGCATGCAAAAGCGCACGTGGTATCCTAAAACTACACTATAGGCCTTATTTTTGTTGCGTGTTCGTCCATTACTAAACCTTTTTCATTCCTGAAATTGTACTTATTTTTCCATCCATAAATGACTCTGAGTCCGCACTCACCACTGAAAGACTTCACTTTGGCACAGAATCATGGAAAAGCTTACGAGTATGCGATGAGAATAGTGCCGATAACGCGGTACGTACGGAGGTGACAAATCTGAAGTATTGATTATAGAAAATTGGAAAATGATGTCGTAGTACATCATGTGACCGTTTCTAACCAATGAGAAGCTTCAGAACCAGGGAATCTCTTATCGATGCATTGGTTTCTGCCGTGATGTCACACAACGAGCGGCTCTGTTGGATTTCACCTGTTAATTTATGCACGCACGGATCCTCTACAGATCCGTGATTTATGTTGGTGAATTCGCGTACTTTTTGTCGGTGAATTCTGATAGTGCTGTTTGAAAACTGACCCATCCTGGCCTAGCATGCAACCATGCAACTATGGCACTCCCACAGAGCGCGCGTAATTCCGAACTCAGTGACCTTTCGGACCCAACATTTCCGTACGAAAAGGTGGATCAAGCGTAAGTGGGAACGCGACTTGCGGTTTCGTTGCGGTAAGATAACGATCACACCAAAATGCCGGATCTTGATCCACCTTTTTCCAATTCAAGTGGGAACGCGGTGTATGACGTCCTTGGAGCTTATGCAACACATGATTATCTCAAAAGAAAAACTAGAGGTTCGCGTTTGTTTGAGTTACAAACGCAGAGTGGTCGGGCGGACAGCCTTTTCATTATACACTGCCCAGTTAAGTTAGGAATATATGTTCGTGTAGAACCAGGATCACGAAATTAAATCCCTTCCAGTACAATTGATTATTTTGTTACTGGTATCTTTAACGGTGTTATAAATTTCAGTAAACATTTTATGTGCGCAAAAAATGTGTTTTTTTTTCTGGTTTGATGACGTCATCAGTCAAAACGGTAAGTGAATACTGATAAATTTCGGAGAGAATACATTTTCACTGTGAAGTTAAATTAACGTATTAAAATATGGGAAATATAATTGTTTGTATTATAACACCTAACTTCCGGTTTGATGACGTCACAGCATTATATATCCAAAGGTGATCATTGTAATGGATATCTTTATTTAGCCTACGAAGATATGACAGGGATCAAATGATAGAATTAAATTAAAAATATTATCCTTTCAAATTCTCCTTAAAAGTAACTTCCGGTCTGATGACGTCATGAATTTGAAACCTTGGCAAGTTATCTGTGGTTCAGAGAATATCAAGGAGTGATTTGGTAAAATTTGGAAGGATGGTTTAAAAATTAAAGAAAGCAAAACTCGCTTTTTATGTGCCGCTAGGGGGCGCCCTTTCGGATGAAAGGTCAAAGTTAGGTGAATTCAAAATGAAGACGTTAGCCTGATACATCCAAACAAAGCAACATTTCTTCCGAACGGTTCACGGTATCATCACAAAACCTTGTGTGAGCTTGTACCATGTTACGAAGATTTTATACATTTTGTTACGTCGTCATGTCGTCATGTTCGTTTTCTCGTGAGGTTGTAGACTATGCCGTGAGAAACATTTCGTGTTCCCGGACGCAAAACCGCTTGACCTTTACTTCCGGTATTACCGGAAGTGCAATAAAAACTGAATATAAACTCAAAAGCGGAAGCATATTACTACGGACATATATATTATGCAAGTGTTTAGTGAGGAAAGAAAGACGCAAAAAACAGTGATGACGTCAACATCCGAAAGGGCGCCCCCTATCGGCACACAAAATAGAGTTTTCCTTCATTAATTTTAAAACCATCCTTCCAAATTTTACCAAATCGCCCCTTGATATTCTCTGATTAACCACAGATAACTTGGCAAGGTTTCAAATTCATGACGTCATCAGACCGGAAGTTACTTTAAGGAGAATTTGAAAAGGATCATAGTTTTAATTTAATTCTATCATTTGATCCCTGTCATATCTTCGAAGTCCAAATAATGGTATCCACTGCAAAGTTCACCTTTGGATCTCTAATGCTGTGACGTCATCAAACCGGAAGTTAGGTGTTATTAATACGTCATCAAACCGGAAGTTAGGTGTTATTAATACAAACAGTTATATTTCCCATATTTTCATACGTTATTTTAACTTTACAATGAAAAATTATCCTTTCCGAACTTTATCAGTATTCACTAACCGTTTTTGACTGATGACGTCATCAAACCAGAAATAATTTTTTTGTGCACATAGAATGTTTACCGGAATTTATCACACCGTTAATAAAGATACCTTTTTGAAACATTGATTGTACTTGAAGGGATTTAATTTCCTGATCCTTTTTTCTACATAAACATATATTCCTAACTTAACTGGGCAGTGTATAATGAAAAGGCTGTCCGCCCGACCACTCTGCGTTTGTAACTCAACAAACGAAACTCTAGGGGTTTTTTTAGTTTTTTTTTGTCTTTTGCATGGGCATAATAAAATTCTGCACTAAGGTTACGACATTGGTAGAATTGACAGAGCGTCTCACGTCGTTAAAGTTTATGAAACATAATTATGCTAATTTTAAGATAAAATGGCCTTTATGGGGTTTTTTTTTGGTGGTCTTTTGCATGGGTATAATAAAATTCTGCACTAAGGTTACGACATTAAGATAAAATGGCTTTTATGTTGTTGTTTTTTGTTGGTCTTTTGCATGGGTATAATAAAATTCTGCACTGAATTTATGACAACGGTAGACTTGACGGAGCCTCTAACGTCGTTGGAGTTTATGCAACATATGCTAATTTTATCATAAAATGGCTTTTATGTTAATTTTTTTCTTTTGCATGGGCATAATAAAATTCTGCACTGAGTTTACGACAGAAAAGTTTGTGGCTACACGCTGTAGAAATATTAATTTTCAGCATTCAGATATGAGAGGAAAACTGGCGAGGCGCGATTTCAATCGGTTATGGCGAAAAATATCAGAAAATGGACGAGAATATTAGAATTATATTCATGGTCAGAATCGGAATCGGTAGACTTGAGGGGGCCTCTATGACGTGTTTGGAGCTTAATATATGCAATATTTGATTATCTCAATATCAAAAATAAAATGGCTTGTCTTTTACATGCATGGGCTTCCTAAAATTCTGCACTGAGATAACGAGAAAAAAAAATTGTGGCTACACTGTCGAAATATTAAATTTCTGCATAAAGGTACGAATTAAAGAATCAGTGTTGATATGCGAGTTACGCCGAAAGAAATCAGAAAAAAAGACTAGAATATTAGTATTGAATGCTTTGTGTGATTTTGTACAAATTCCTGGATCCTCCCCTGGGTTTATTCTTATAAGAGCTGTGATTTTGCAGTCCCTGGTGAACAAATATGATTAAATTATGTGGTAGCAGTACTATTATTGTAAGCAGTCGCTTATGGGGATTTGATCACACTACATGAGTTTTTTTTTAATAATGATCTTTTTAAAAATACGATTTTCAAAGAGCTGATTAAAAGTTCAATGATACGTTGATGACTTGGTGTTCAATTATTTCAGAATTAAATACAACGCGAGTCCAGACATCATGTTAAAAACTATCTATGTTGAGGACTTTGTTTTCTACTACATAATTAAATATAACTCAAATCAATACAGCATGCTCTCAATAATATATGTTGATGACTTGGTGTTCAATTATTTCAGAATTAAACATAACTCGAGTCCAGACAACATGTTAAAAAAATATGTACGTTGTTGACTTGGTTTTCAATTACTACATAATTAAATATAACTCAAATCAAGACGGCATGTTCTCAATAATATCTGTTGATGACTTGGTGTTCAATTATTTCAGAATTAAACATAACTCGAGTCCAGACAACATACTGGGTTTTCAATTACTACATAATTAAATATAACTCAAATCAAGACAGTATGTTCTCAATAATATCTGTTGATGACTTGGTGTTCAATTATTTCAGAATTAAAATATAACTCGAGTCCAGACAACAAGCTCACTCATCCAAGTTAAGTTAAAGTACTCATTGTCTTGTATAATAAATTACCTTTGACCCATGTACAAAGTACAACTAAAGGTATATTTATTTTGATAAAATAGTTTTACACAAAGCAAAAACCAAAGCGCACATTTAAAAAACTTCATCCAAGTGTTAACTTTCAAAACGTGAAGTATTATGAGAGATTCTTTTGAAATGGAGACTTGTAGTTGTTCCATTAAACAATCATAATTGCAACCTCGTCCCCATGGGTACGATCTTGCTGCACTATGTTGGTTCCCACCATGCCTTGCACGATCTTAACCCCTGGTATTTTGTAATTCAAATCTCCCACTATGTGGGAGATTTAAATCAGGACGGCAGTCAACGTGTGAAGCAGTACTTTCAATTTTGAAGAATCCAAATTTTTGAATCAATCCTAGCAAAGATGAGATTTTGACGTCGCGTTGCTAGAATTTATAACATGCGTACCTCTGTCGTCCCTTTCCAACACAAGTTGCAGGTTTTTTTGGTGAAAAAAGAGGCTTCCACACTTTCCATGGCATAGGCAGCGCAGTCTTCAAAAAAATGTTCATACCTGACGAGCAGAAGTCAGAAGATACAGGAGCACATATAGCACGTGCAGCCTTTGAACTATGCATGCAATATGCTCTGAATAGTCAATCAACATTGTTTTCGTATTCTAGACAGCCAGGGGTTAGTGACTGAATGAGCACACAGCCTATGGAGTCGAGGTTGTCACAATTGCATCTGCATGGTAGAACTGACCATTTTCATCCAGGTGAACTATATTTAATATCCACAGCGTGCGGTTTGTCTTCAATGATTATGTACAAGGCAGTGCAGTCTGAATAGAGTGTTGCCCCATCAGGACTTTTAAGGCATGATTTGAGAAAAACCTTTCGGCCTTCAATTTTGTCGACGTTTGCCTCCATCAGTACAGCAGATCGCAACGGAGTGGGTCTGGAAAAGAACGGAAACCCCAAAAAATGCAGCATTAAAACCCATAAACTTGCAATAGCATGACAACTGATTACTCTTGACCTTTCTGTACAAACATTCATTCTGTGCCAAGTCGTCCTTTCAGTCAAAATCAATCAAGTGACTGTTTTCAACACTAAAGAGCTCCCAGCCAACACAAAGCAGGATTGACTGACTGGGACCGTTTATGTAACTTGATACAGCTGTGCTTTGACTGTAGGTGATTGATAAGACAGCTGTGTAACCAGTTGCCTGCTTTGGTCTATTGACTGAATTTGACTAGTCAGAGTGCTTGCCTAATATATGATCTGACTGTCTGTGACTAGCCTGTGTAAAAGGCATGGCAGGGGAAGTGGATGGAATTTTTGACTGTGTGACTGCTAATAAACAGTAGGAGGGTTAATGTTTTTATGTGCACAACCTATGGAGTCTATACAAGCAGAACAGTAGATTGCGCTTTTTCCTGATTGGGGGATTTTTTGGGAGTCTTGTTCTGAACATGGACTCAAAATGGCGGATTATTGTTGACTGCCATTTAAAGTCTGATACAGAGATCAATGAGCCGGACGCATTGATTTGTCAGGTTGATCTGTTACGGAGGGGTCGACCTTATTTAAATATCTACACACATACCTATCGGGTGCTGTGTTAAGCACGATGCAGGTGAGTGTGCAGACGAAGTAGGCCAATCAAGGCAGCACAGCCAAGACAATCTTAGATATCAATGGGTCATGTGACACAGTCTAGGATACGGTATCTTGGCTATGCAACTAAAACAGTAACACTGTCACGTTGTCACAGATACACGCTCTTCCAGTACATAAAGAAAAAAGTTACCTCTTAAAGTTAACAGTTAACGACGCTGTGACGGTAAACTTTGCATATACTTCCTGTGAGAGCAGTCCAGTGATGACATCATGTATTGTGGCTGAAGCACCCCCTTGAGTAAACCTAATGAGTGGATGAGAGAGAGTAACCAGAAATGGAATAAATAGATGCAAGGAGCAATCTAAACTTCCTCCATGACAACACTGTCTTCAAGCAGTGGTGTAGTCAAGTCTATCACGGTGCAGTCACAAGTCCAGCAACACGTAGGTCTAACAGGAACTGAGTAATATAAGGAATGACTTTGTCACTGTACTATTTGTTTGAACAGATTTTTAGATTGACTTGGGATGGCAAATCTTATGACTTTCAATGCCTTGTGAGGACTTGTTAACCACTTAGCACCGGATGACGGGTATACATGTACATGCAAAGGTTTTGTGGTATTCGGAATGGATGACAGATAAACACGCAGGGAGCGAGGCTGGAATTATCTGTCAGCGACCTGCTCTCAGTGAGCGCAGCCAGAATTAGTGTGCTAGCTAAGGGTGATGGCTTCAACCCGCCTGGCTTTAGGTCGAGTGAAAATTAATCCCAGGCCTTGTTCCATTCTTGTCGAACTGGTTAAAGACTCAAATACGAAACTCTAATTGTGGCAAATTCAAAGTTCAGATGGATCAAAACATGGAGGAAAACATTTATGAGTATTTGGAAATGTAACTCACAGAGTGCATTTAGTTATTTACAAAAGTAAAAAACTCACCCCTGGGGCCCTTGGGCTTCCTCTCCAAATTGACAAACTCCCATCAGTTTCCTCTCGTCTTTCTGCAGAAACATGGCGTACTGCATCACGGGCCCGTTTTCCGTTGCGACCCTGGAAAAATACCTTGACGGTCTGGGGTCCGTGGTAGTGTTCCTCACTTGCACCCATCCATCTCTGTCTGCTTGGGCTCGAAGTCGGGAGTACAATTCGTCCGTCTCCGGGAGCCATTCTTTCCGAGCTGAGGCCGCGACTTTGGATGTAGTCTGAAAGTCTCTATTCTAAGAAATTCAAAGATGATAGAACTGGATTTCAATTAAAATAGAAGCATTTTATTGAGTTGTACCATATCATGGAAGGAATTATGGTAGGCCTATTCTGGATACTGTAGGACAAAAATATCTTTCTAAAACCCTTCATTCCATAAGGCCTATTCAGGGTGATCCGAGTATGAAAAACATAATTAATTTTACCTTAGCTCCACAAATGCGACTCAAATACTGGACTTCTTCAGTATTGTGAGCCACTAAGTGATGTACGTTCAATCTCCTGGAACACAACTTTTCAGGAAATTTAGCAAGCATCACTGAGTGGCAAACGATACATGCACAGAGTTCAGTAAAGTTTGAGACACATTTATCATGGGGCTAATTTTACCTGTGAAAATCGCCCATGGCTGTAACTGGACGTGCTTCTTGGATGGTTCTGGTCAGCTTCGTGAAAGCATCTACCACTGCTGGCTCTGGTTTCAAGATGCGACTCAACTGACATGACTGATACATAATCATAGGACTTTAGTCTGTGAGTGGCTCTTGTACTTGTAGCTCGTAAAAGACAGCGGATAAGGCCTATGTGACTTGCCATGATGAAGTGTAGGACACGGTACTGGTCAAACAAGTAAAACTGATCATCACTCGTTCACTTGATCATTGTGATTGTTGTGCCCATTCTTGAAAATCACGCATTCTCGAGAATGGGCATGCACATTCTTGAGAATGTGCAACTGGATCCTTGCTCAATCTTGGCAAAAAATAACTCTTCCAGATTGAGCGCACATTCTCGAGAATGCGCGACAAGATAACGGTCTTGTCGATGCCGAGCACCGGCTGCGCTTGGCAAGTCTAGCTGAATCCTCGTTCACTGATTCTCAATAATTATACTATTGCAACGCAAGGCGCTGAAAAGTAGAGTGGATATGATAAGTAAAGGCGTATTAATATGGGGGGCCCACACCGGGAAATTATAAGAGACATACTAATACTAGTGCAAAGAATTCTGATTTTTGGGATAATAAAAGCGGGGGGGGGGGGGACGTAAGAATGAAGAATGTGAAGAATGAAAATGAATACTGCGACATCCCATAGTGCTAATGCTATTTCCCATTTAAATTGCCATCAATTTAATGTTCACATCCCACCATAACGTCGCAGAGCTGGATTCTATCTAGTCAAAAGAGCAATTTTGGCAGCTTCTGGACATCGTTTTTTTTCGTGGCACGCATATGATACATGCAGGGACTTGTAACTTGTCTAGCCTAAATAAAGCACTTCCCAGACTAGTTCCCAGTCCTCCGTTATTACAAAACTTCCCATAGTGGGCAGAAAAAAGCAATAATAACAGGTTTAATTTGATTCAAATTATCGTAGTTATACGAGTACAGAAGCTTAGCACATTTTCTTTCCTCTTTATATGAATTGTTTCCCTTTTTTTTAACCGCTATACAATTCATTTAACATAATTATGTCGTGCAATGTTTGTTAAGATTGGGCAAAATTCATAAATTGTGCACGTGATATTCCCACCCAATCTTAAGAATGAGCGCTCATTCTTAAGAACGCGTGCTCGTTCTTAAGAATGGGCGCTCATTCTTAAGAATGCGCGCCCATTCTCGAGAATGTGCATGCCCATTCTCGAGAATGCGTGATTTTCAAGAATGGGCACAACATGATCAAGATCATGATTGATGTTTATGATGATGCATGCCCGGACGTACCAGAAAAGCGCAGCGAGGAGCAAGCTGGTCGCGGGCGGCCGACCGGCTCATGGTGTCAAGGTCATTGGGAACTGAGTGAGAAATCAGGAATGATCAGGAAATGTCAAATCCTATAGTCCATACATTTATCCGTGCACGCATGCTAGCTGCGGCTGCACCCGGTGTCGTGCCAAAACCGTCCGGTGCCAAATAGTGTCCGCTAATTAGCATAATGCGATCTGATTGGTCATGCGTCTATGACGTCACATTGTTTACGGACGCTTGCCAAATAGTGTCCGCGCTTGGCGTGCATCCTATTGCGTGCCTTGTCGAACTGTCAATACTCGTATAGAAAAGATCTCTTTTCACCTGAATTTGCTTTTTACAATCTGTTTTAACGTTTTCCTTGTTATCTGTGATAACTATCTGACTTGGTTTCCCTAATATTATATTTGTGCAAAATGTTTGTGTGTTTTTTCGCGTCAGTTCACCTGTTTGGCATGCAGTACGTACGTAGGCCTAACGCCGTGTGAAGTGTGTAGTACGTACTGTGCTGTGTGTAGCATTATAACCAACGTTATATTTTACGGTTTTTCCCACCTAATACTGTCCGATTTTTCCTGCCAAATATTGTCCGATTCCGCCCTGCCAAATACTGTCCAATTTTTCCAGCCGAATACTGTCCGATTTTTCCTGCTAAACAGTGTCCGATTCCCCCTGCCAAATAGTGTCCGATTTCCCTGCGAAAAAAATGTCCGATTTTTCCTGCTAAATACTGTCCGATTCCCCCTGCCAAATATTGTCTGATTCCCCCGCTACTGAATATTGTCCGATTTTTCCTGCCAACAAATACTGTCCGATTCCCCGCCCTGCCAAATATTGTCCGATTCCCCCTTGCAAAATACTGTCCGATTTTTTCTGCAAAATACTGTCCGGCAGGACGTACGTACGTGCGCCCTTGTTCTCTCTCTTGATCGACGGCGCCCGGACACTATTTGGCACCGGACACTATTTGGCATGTATTACATGCCAAATAGTGTCTGGCGCCTATTGCGCATGCTCAGCGGACACTATTTGGCACCGGACCACGGTCTCACTTCTCCGGCGTGCTAGCTTCTCCGGGTGGATTCGGCGGATAATTGAGCACGTTATAGTGCACGTTACATGAGCACGATTCATGCTCATGTGTCCACTGTGCTTACTTTTCCTAGGGCTGTTGAAGTCTACCAAGCCCATTAATAACACAGTGAAGGACACCTAAGAATGTGTTATGTAACACTTCCTGTGGGTCAAGTCATTCCATGGTCTTGCAAGCATTCTGATTGGTGTTCCCAGCGTCATGCATGTGTGTGTGTTCATGGAGGAATAATTAAGAACGAACTCCTTGGTCCGTGTTCCTTGCTCGTTCGTGGTCCATTTTGTCTTTATTATTGCAACCATGGCTTAAAATAAATGTGCATTTCAAGTCTTTTTTTGTTATTGGGAGTTAATAGTGCGTGCCACGAAAATTCTGGATTCGACTGATACCCTGTAACCATTCATACAAATAAGATCTTACGTGCACAAGTACAACCCCGAGGAACTCGGCACACTAATACAGTGACGAAAATGTACACTACTGCGCAATTTTGTGCATGCGTGTTGAAGCGAAATTTTCCTTTTGGAGAAGCTAGCACGCCGGAGAAGCGAGACCGTGACACCGGACGGTTTTTGGCACGACACCGGTACCGGTGCCAAGGACATCCAGGGTGCGTAATTTTTATTCCTAGGAGGGTTAGGGGCAATGTCATGAATAATTCATGTTTATCCATGAGAATGGACAATGACATCAACAGCATTGTTGTCAGTTACTCAACTAGTTACAATACATTAAAGCATTTTAAAGAACACTTGTTGTCGAGCTACCACACAGTAGCCTAGTGGATAGCGAGATGAGCTATGGATACAAAGATCCCTGGTTCGAATCCACGTCGTCGCTGCTCATTTTCATCAGCTATTTTTCATCACCAAATTTATCACCGAGATAATTTTAAATTAAGGGGAAAATAGAACGAGAACCTAAGTCTTGCAATGATTCAAAGGAAAAACTGAATTATTCATGACATTGCCCCTAACCCTCCTAGGAAAAAAAATTACGCATCCAGGGTAGCATAAAATGGTACGACAGTAGAGCGCGTAATGAATATGCATGACTATGACGTCACTAAAAGCTCATGCGTAATATATCACGCACGGTACTGATACACATGTAGATGCACACTGTATGTGCTGCATCCCACTTACCGATGATATCACATTTAACAAGTCCTCTTTCTACTGTCGCGCCGCCACCCTCTAGTGTCGTCCCACTTACCGATGATATCACATTTAACAAGTACTCTTTCTACTGTCGCGCCGCCACCCTCTAGTGTCGTCCCACCTACCGATGATACACTTTTAACAAGTCCTCTTTCTACTGTCGCGCCGCCACCCTCTAGTGTCGTCCCACCTACCGATGATATCACATTTAACAAGTCCTCTTTCTACTGTCGCGCCGCCACCCTCTCGTGTCGCCCCATTTGATGATCATCGGTAAGTGGGGCAACAGTAGAGGGTGGCGGCGCGATAGTAGAAAGAGGACTTGTTAAATCGGTAAGTGGGACGACACTAGAGGGTGGCGGCGCGACAGTAGAAAGAGGACTTGTTAAATGTGATATCATCGGTAAGTGGGATGCAGCACATATGGTGGTGTACCCTAACGTGGCGCACTTCGAAGCATACCCAAATTTCCTCGTGTAGTGTTGCCAAACCTCTTTGTTGACAAACCTCAAATTCATGCAGTGAAATACTGGTACTTTTACCTTATTAATGCTTGCTGTTTAACCTCTGTGAACAATTTCGGTTTCATAAAATTTAAGCCGAAATTAAAAAACGGTGGCGTCCGGAAATTGGGCACAATTTGGCGGAGTGTTCCCTAACGTGGCGCACTTAAATAAATCTCGGAAAATTCCAAATTAACATTTAAGAATTTCTGAAAACTTGATAAATTCTGATAAATCATTATTATCTCTACTTACATACCCAGCCAGATGTTTGTCACAAAATTATTTTCTTATTTTTCGGGGCATTTTCAAAGGGTTCACTTTGCACTTGAAAATAAAATCGGAAAATCACGCCAAAATAAGTTTTTCTTTTAACTTTGTAGCGGGTGAATAAATTCGCGATTTATGAACGGGAGTGTTTATAACTTGATGAAATTTCACTTTCTGTGAAATTTCAGTTAAAACTTTTGCTCTAGCTAGGCGCTACAGGCGAAAAATCAAAGTGCGCCACGTTAGGGGCCGCGCCACGTTAGGGTACATCAACAATACAGTGTGCATCTACATGTGTATCAGTACCGTGCGTGATATATTACTCATGAGCTTCTAGTGACGTCATAGTCATGCATATTCATTACGCGCTCTACTGTCGTACCATTTTATGCTACCGACATCCAGTGGATAGGCGCGAGCAGTGTGGCACGTGTTCTGCACGTTGCGCCCTCAAGAGACCTTTTTGACCATGCAGCGCGCGCTAGACATGCTAGAACGCTAGCGCAGTATTGACATGATTGACGCGTATGACGGTGTCACGTTTTAATCACCGGCCTAGCTAGATTTGACGAGATCGAGATCATCTGGACTTGCTACATCATACATGTTTCGAGCTCTGATTACCCGACGGTATGTTTTCATTGGGGTGGGGGATGATTGGTAATTTAGTTTAGTTGCCCAACAATTGCTTTACTTTAGCCTTCAGTCATTCAGTCTTTCGGCATTGCCAATGGTGACGGTAGATATGGAAATCAGCATTCAATCATTCAGTTCACTTGACACTCTGTGCGTATGTGTCAGTATGTGAAGAAGTCCCCCTTAGGCTAGCACTAGCAGCATGCTATAGCGGTGCGATGTTTACCGGGAACATGTGTGCTGCGGTAATCCCATAGAGCTATATTAAATTAATACTAGTTTAACTAGAGCGCTAACTCGTCATTCTTGCGTGCGGAGAAGCTTTGAAGCTGCTCTGGGCGCAGACATTTTGAATATATAGAACACAATCAAAACAGATGGATTGAATTTTAAAAGTGTACTTTAAATGCAATGCGCAAGTAGAAGATACGCAAACAACTTAAGTGCGCCATGACGGTTAAAAAAACATCACGACGAAAATCATCTGCAGTGGAGGGACGCGCACACGTTGCGCTGTTTGCGTAGAGCAAAATGACACACTCATTTGCTGATCGTGCATTTCGGTTTTGGGTGTATCGGCTTCAATGACGCACCGGTATGGAATCGTCATCAGATTCAAAATAGAACACCACGCAGTAAAAGTCGCCCCTAGTTACGATCGGAGTGCATACTTGATGCAAAAAGTCATCATTGAATTTCAGGTTTTTTAAATGTGAGAAATGAATGTTAATTATGAAGGTCCGTCATTTTCTTGGTCTTCAAACATTTATTTTTTCCATAATACATCTTAATTTATATTAATGAAAGGCAGTGTATATTTTGCCGGAGACGGCAAACCTTCAGTAAACGTTAGTTTGCCGGATTTGCACTGAACATGCGCAGTTACTGTTTTTTTTTGTACTTAAACATTTTCCGGTGACAAATTTTAGTCTGGCTCCATGCCAATATTATCGTTGTATTATTATATTTACAAGATGGGAATCAGACCATTTTATAATTTCGGACTTTATTTCCCTTTAAAAAAAATCCTCCAGAGCCACAAATCTGAAAAAGAAATAGTAATACTCTGCAATAAAATGTTTGAGACATATTAAAATAATAAAAGAAGAATATTCTTATTTATTTGGGGATGGGAAAAAAAACCCTTAGAATTGTAGCGGGGATCAGGATTCGAACTCGTGACATCCCACTCACTAGAGCCATTGCTTAACCACTGCACCGACTGTGCTAGACAACTTTGATGGGGATTTAATGCATGTTATAATTCAGCCCTATCTTAAAGAGTACAGCGCCCTCTGTTGATATGGATTGCCGCCGGCAAACCTTTAGTAAACGTTAGTTTGCCGGCGTTACCTCCGGCAAAATATCCACTACCTTAATGAAATCCTCATATCTTTAATCATATTAAATTACACTTCACAAATTAAAAAAAAGTCACACGTTGCTTTTAGAGAGGTTACCTTATTATTTTGATTTCACCCAGGGATGTTGTTTTGTCTGCAAAATTGTGTATGACTATGACATTATTGACGTGTCACTATTTGCCTGACAGACAGTGTCCACCTCCAGCTTTTATTTGAAGCGTCCACGTGACTGGGGTCAAATTCCTTGCTGGTTTCTAGCATGGAATGCTCTGTCAGCAAAAAAACAAATGGTCTAGTGATGCTACAACTTTACCATTAATTTTCCCCTGTTTTCCTACTCATGAATTTCCTATTCAGAAATATGCAGATGGCAACGGGAGTTGCGAGCTCGGCTCGGAACGACTGGCTTCCAGAGACGGAACAATTGTACTCCCGACTCCGAGCCCAGGCAGACAGAGATGGATGGGTGCAAGTGAGGAACACTACCACGGACCCCAGACCGTCCCGGTCTGTGTTTTCCAGGATCGCAACGGCAAACGGGCCCGTAATGCAGTACGCCTTGTTTCTGCAGAAAGACGAGAGGAAACTGATGGGAGTTTGTCAATTTGGAGAGGAAGCCCAAGGGCCCCCAGGGTGAGAGAGTATGACTTGTAGAATGTTTAATTCATGAGTAAAAAAACATCAACTGAAAACCCAATCCACATGTGGTCCAGGGCTCCAGGCAGGAATCGAACCCGGGCCATAGTGGCGAAAGGAAAGGAAAGTAACCACTGCACCAACCTGACTCCCCATGGTATTGTTAAGGTCTTCTACACTTCTAAGTCACTGAGACCAAATATCAAAAGTCCTGTGATTGTCTGCCCCAATCGCAGTTGAGTTTTGATACAATGTACAAAATGTAACTACAGTCGAGTCTCGTTAATACAAACTCGTTCGGACCTCGCCAGATTGTTTGTTATATCAGAATTTTGTATTAAGAGGAACATCAGTCCCATTCATTTTGCACATAAATGCACAGTCGGGACTAAGGCTTTATGTTTGTTATAACCAGAATTTTGTATTAACAGAGTTTGTACTAACGCGATTCGACTGTTTCACAGGACAGCAGAAAAGAAATACAGTGGACTCTCGTTAGTACAAACTCTGTTAATACAAATTCTGGTTATAACAAACATAAAAGCCTTGGTCCCGACTGTGCATTTATGTGCACAATGAGTGGGGCTGATATTCCTCTTAATACAAAATTCTGATATAACAAGCAATTTGGCTAGGTCCGAACGAGTTTGTATTAACAAGACTCGACTGTACTGGTTTTTCAATAGATGAAGACTGTATCTTGCAGTTTTACACTTCAGATTTGGTGTTCATTACTTTTTTAATGTCAAAAGAAGTCGTGGCCCAAGACTTTGTATTGTGTTCCCCTATTGCAGCCAGTCCCGATCCCTAGCAAGCATGGTCAAACTGCCGCTGCAGTACCAGAGGGTGCTTTCAACAACATAAATCAAATGCAGTCATACATGTGACTAGCTTGGAATTTCTTGAGTCCTGCTGCTGAAGTTTTCCAGGGCTGGGTTCGATTCATTTTGTTGATAGCACCTTTCGACCACTGTGAGTTGCCTTGGCACTGCATGAGTTGTGATCTACTTGTGATTGACTCGTGACCCATCACAAGTAAATTGACTACAGCACCGGTGTTTATCAAACTTGGGTTTCATCCTGCTTTCAGATTTGCCCATGGTGGTGCCCTTGCCACAATGCATGATGCCATCACTGGAGTACTGGTCGATAAATCAATGGAGAAGCCCATAGTCACAGCCTCACTAACAACAAACTATAGGAGGTAAGTTGTGTAGTAATGAGCATGGCCCAACTTTATACTTGGAGCTGTTGAGTATTGAATTTTACTAAGCTCAAAAGAATACATGCTTAGCAAAAAAGGGTGCCAGACCAAATGTCATACAGTTTTTACCCATCAGCCGAGAGGCTCGAGGGGTATTGTCATCGCCTACGATGTCTGTCCGTCCGTAGTTGCGGGCGGACGTCCGGGCAGCTTAGTTTCCAGATGATAAGTTGAGTTAGAAAATGTTGTTTGGGATTGTAACTCCGGTAGGGGGTTGCCCTTGGGAGTAGGCGAGCTGAAATTGGTTTTGGGGAATAAAGGTCAAAGGTCAAGGTCACCATGGTGAGTTAAAGGTGAATGGTTTCCGGAAGATAACTTGAGTTAGAAATGAGATTTTGGTGTCTTACTTCGATAGGGGGCTGCCCTTTGGTACAGGCAAGTTGGGATTGGTTCTGGGGTCAAAAGGTCAAAGTTTGAGGTTACCATGATGAGTCAAAGGTTAATGGTTTCCGGATGATAACTTGACTCCGGCTGAGGGGTTTCAACAGAACTGCTGTTATTTTTTGTTGTCTTATGACTGGTTGAATTCCGTTAAGTGCACATATTTGCTAAGCTCTATCTTCTGCTTAAAAGCTCCATGAAATTGGCCAAAAGTCTTGGCACGGCAGCAACGATTTTAATATTTTTTAACCAGGAATATTCTGTTATTCCAAACCCTGCAAAAGTAGCAAGGTCACCATGATGATGTGTTTAGAAGGTGTGAGACAATTTATGGGCAACTTGGATAATACAATTTTTGAGGGCTGGTGGGGGTGAGCTCACTCCCTAGTCTTGCTCCATGACTAGATTTGGATTTGACTCCCTTAAAAAAAGCTGGTCCCTGGCATGAGTAGTCAAGCCGCCACAGCGATGAATCACAGCCAGTCTTGGGAACTTTGGCAGTGCTACCCAGGAAATTCTGAGCATACCTCACTTGTGCTGGTTAGCTTGAGCTCACTCCTTGACACTTATTCCCTAGTCTTGGTCCAATACTGGATGTGGATTTGATTCCCTTAAAATAGCCGGTCCCTGGCATGAGTGGTCAAGCCCCAGTGGCAGTCTTAGGAAATTTGGCAGTGCTACCCAGGAAACTTGGAGCATACCTTAATCGAACTGTATTGCACGTGTGTGTGAGGTCTGCTCAGAATTTCCTGGATAGCATTGCCAATGTTCCCGAGATCAGATTTGATTCCTCCACTGTGGCTTTATCATGCTTGTCGGGGATCGGGTGTATTAGGGGAATAAATCCAGACTTGGACAAAGACTACTACTATCCCCCAGCCCCCCCCCCCCCAATAATGATTGATTTATTTCATTTTGGCAATGCTGAGCAGATACAAATTTCTTTTAATTCACACATTTAATCCTTACTTGTTTCAATTCTTTTTCCAGACCCACTCCTTTGATGACTGCTGTTCAGATGGAGGCGCACGTTGACAAAATAGAAGGCAAAAGGATTTATACAAAATCTTCTTTTAAAAGTCCTGATGGGGCCACACTCTATTCTGATTGCTCTGCCTTGTTTGTAAATATTGAAGACAAACTGCGTGCCTTGAAAGAAAAGTCTGATTCAACTTTATGATGAATCAGTGTTTAGGCTTCTGTATATTTATATAGTCGGATATTGCAATGAATTTTAAATGCGTGATTTGAACTTTGTTTTCAACTTTGTAGGGCGCAAAGGTTTTTATATTTCAAATAGCTGCTGTCAACTTTTGGATGAAATACAGGGTCCAGGCTCAGCTGTGCCTGGACGTGTTTGCATTAACATCAGTTAAGTTAATCCTCCAGACTTTAGTGATATAATTGGTAAAAAGTAATTGGTTTTAACTCTCTAACATTACTATTGTTTGTATAACAAAGAGTTTATTGAATTGGACCCCCTATCTGTAATTGTATGATTACATCTCTTGATCAAACTGTGTTTACCTCAGGTACACATTTTCTTAGAATCTGTAATTAGCTCAACTTATGTTTCTAGTTGTTAAAGGGAAGATACAGCATTTGCAAACATCAAAATACTAAATGATCAAACTATCACGAAATAGCTTACTGGATTGTTAGGTCAGCTGACCAGCGTTGGAAAAAAATGTTTGGTTTTTTTTCAAAACTGCTCCTAATTTTTCATATTTAGTTATTCCGCATTTACTTTGCAATGGATTACACACCTGTGAAGGGGTACGAGCATGCTAGATTGATTCTCGAACCTTACAATTCCCAAAGTCTATTAATTGCTCTGTTTCATCTTTAGTTGGGAACCAGACTACAAGAACATGATTGGTTTTCTTGGTATGGGTTTTCCAGCATCTACAAGCCCAAAATGTCAAACAAGTCAGTTTAACAATACATGTATTTGCTGTAACACACCAAAGGCAAACAATATTATAGTTCAGAATTTTATAAGCTTCCTTAATAAATGAAAGAAAGATATTTTTTAAATATAGAAATGTGTATACCTTTAATTTTTCTGTCATCTGAATTGGTTGCATTTATTACAAACAAATAATAAAATCATCTTGTTTGCACACTTATGTTTCCCACACCCATAATTGTTTTCATTCTGATAAAGTAGACATTTTGATAATATGATAGATAAATTGGTAATATTTTTTTGGGGGGGGGAGGAGGGGTGGCCAGGGGAGGGGGAAGGACCTCAGCAACCCTGGAATTAATGTGAGTTGTGGAGCACCTTTGAAGAAAAAAAACCCTATTTTTTGTTATCTTCTCTGCATCGTGTGTGAGGATAAAAATGCCCCCATTGAAAAGAGGGAAATTGTTACAGAATCTCCTAGAAATTAATTTAATTCCTCAAAACTCAAGAAGAAATTTAAAAGCACCGCCGCGCCCCCACTAGTCAAAGTTGTGTAAATTGACACCCCCCCCCCCCCCCGATTCTCGGCAACGCAGCCATCGATCGAACGTTCTGCATCGGCCTCCGTAACTAACCACTTGCAAAGCAGTTTGGGAAACAAATTTGAAAATGGCCGCCGAATTGCCGAGGCAAACAAAGTAACGTGGTCCTTTAAAAAATTAAAAATAAGATACCTACAATGGCCACTGAAGATAGACATTTTAAAGTGGCCTTCCTCATCGATGCTCGGAGGCGAATAACACCGACAGACAAACCGATAGAAGTGGACACTTTTTCTCGGGGAGTTCGTTTGTGTGTGCTGAAACTGCTGTCGTATTTCACCCACGTTCGGGACGACAGTCAGCGGGCAATCGCCAACCTGCGGTGGGGTTTTAAAGTCTTTCACTCGTACGATTACCCGCCTTGCAAACGAGATTATCTGAAACAGCTGTCACTGAAAAATTTCCAGGACTTCGAGGATCAACTTTCCGGTGATTTGGAGGGCCTCGCGTTGTCGGTTCGAGGCAAACGGGCGCCGAAAACTCCGCAGGTTTTGACGGCGACCTCGCTGCGGCAGGCGCTGGACGATGTCATTCACGATTTTCAGTGGGACGGTCCCGATGTCTGTTCCCCGGTAAAACGGAGCGCCGCTCCGTCGCCGAGGAAGGCCTCGAGATCGCAGGGTTCCAACCTCCTGTCCAAGTGTGTTTTCTTGATGATGCCCTGCCCAGTCAGTCGATCAGGACTGGAGGAATTCTGTGATTTTGGTCCGGACGATCCGTTGCCAAGGACTTCGGAGTTTCTTGAAATGATCCTCCCAGCAAGCGGATCACAACAGATATTTCAAGACCAAAAAATTGCGTTGTTTTGGATCGACACAAGTCCATGGATTGCAACAGAAAAGGTTGAAAAAACCTTTAAATGTACCAACTTCATTGAAATTACTAGAATTGTCGAATATGTCTTGCTTTCCTTTTTTGGGCTCATTTAATTTAATAATTGTGTTTCAATTTGTTGTATAGGTCTATGTAACATTGGTAATGAAAGAGTATTAAAATGATACCAATTAAACAGGAAGATGTCAATGAATACAACCTTTACAGTAACTTTGTAACACGCCTTACCTTCACATTGCATTTAGTAATTTTGTCAATAGACAGGGGTGTGAAATCTCAGCTTTGAAGCTGATTTCAGCTTTTTTTCTTATGGATTTCAGCTTTTTTTCCTCACTTGCTGTGTACAGAAGTATAGGACTATTTCCGAAGTTCAGCTTTTTTTTTAACGCCTTTTCAGGTGTTTTCAGCCCTTTTTATCAGTGGTCACTCACACCCCCATGACCCCTGCATAGACTTGACGGATCAAGAGAAAATTTTTCAATCAATATTTTTAATTTTAACTACAAAGTGTCTGTAATATATATTTCTGTAATATTTGGAAGATAACCTTTTGTGATCTTCATGTCTGCTATCATAAAGCCAAATGACATCAAAGTGTAAGTCTGCGCAGTGCAAGCCATTACAATATCCAAGTACAGTGACATAAATGACGTTGGTTAACACAGTATCAAAGTTTGCAGTTTAATATGCTGTTCCTGTTGACTGCTCAATAAAGCAAGAATCTAAAGAATTGTACATTTGTGATGAGCTGGGTTAGGGATACTTTCTAATTCCTGAAATAGGTTAGGGATAATCACAATCTGGGAAAGATTTCCATATACGAAGTTCACTAATTTTCCTCTGTATTGACTAACAAGCCCCCAGATAGCAATTTCATGTCATCAACGTCAATTTGAGCAGTGAGAAAATACAAGCATTTTCTCAGAAAACACTTAGAATTTTTTTCAGTCAAATCTCATAGGGTTTGTACACAGGGTGTTGAGTGAACTTTCCACAATCTGTACTTAATTAACCCAATTCCTGCTCAACCCAACAGGATTCGACTACTGTATTTGACATACCCGCTGGGCACTGTTGCAGTAAACCCCTTGTACAGTCGAAAACCTTTATAAACAAGGTCCTTTGGACTTTACAAATTACCTTGTTATAACAGATACCTTGTATTAATAACAGTATTGGAAAACAAAGATAAACAATGGTATTGTATTAACAGTGCTCTTCTTATCAGGATTTGACTGTATACCTGTTGAAATCTGTTGGATTCAGCAGGCAACTGAAACCATTCAGAGTCAGATTCTGTTGGGTACTACATGTAGTAAATAACGTCAAGTTGGACTCTGCAGTAAACAGAAAAATAAGGCACAGTTAGATTCTGTTGGATTGAGCAGTTAGATTCTGTTGGATTGAGCACCCCAGTCATTTCATATGTTCAGGTACCCCAGTTAAGAAGAACAGTAAAAAGGCTAGAAAAATCACAAGGGAATGATTGTTTTTTTTTCTTTATTATTCATTTTAGCGGGACCAGGATGGGTTGTCAGTCGTCGCACCAGCCATGCAGGAGCTAGGTGGATGCGTCATACCAATACATGCCCTGGTCAGTCAAACGGAGCACATCACGACCAGTCTCAAATCAGAACACCCCATCAACAGACCCAGTGAAACACCAGGATCCAAGGCCGTTCAAGAGGAGAACGATTCTTCTTCGTCACTGGTAGTATCATCACTGGGCACAGGGAAACTGCACTCGGGGCAATGTCCAAGCAAACCTAAAGACAGGAGAAAGACTTGTTCGGAAGGATGCATTCAGGATAACAAGAGCGGCAGTTCTTCGTTCCTTCCATTTTCAGCCGTCGTGGACCATTATGTGAACTCTGAAAAGACAGTTACATCTGGGAGAGGGAGTTATGTGAACCTCAAACTTTCAGCAGTCACAGGTACCGCTCAGCAATGCACAACCAAAACAGTCTTGTAAAGTGGATTTTTCGCGTCAGGGAGATACACATTTTTATGTTAGGTTTTGCCCTTCGCTGACGAGTAATTTGGCGATTTTTTTCTCACACGCCCTGAGACAACACTATATCAATGTACGTCCCCCAATGCAAATTCCATCCTGTAAATAATTTAGTTGCAGTACTCACTGCTGCATCAGACTCAAACCAGCCAGCTGACCCTGGCAAGCTCGGTGGTGAGGTGGCAAGACATCTGCACTAGTAAGCAGGAAGTCGTGAGATAGAGTCCCACCCGATTAAGCTTGTCATTTTTCTCTTGCAAGCCCTCAGACGACACTGATTATATAGTGTTTATGAAATACACATACGTCGGCGAAGGGGGAAACCCCCCAAAAGTCTTCTTTCAATTTCAGATTCGTTGTTGGCACGATGCAAGTTATTATTAAAGGGAAGATACAACATTTGCAAACATTAAAAAACGAAATGATCAAATTATCACGAAAGCATCCTTTAAAATCGTGGCTCCTGGTGTGCTGACATTTTGAAGAAAAAGTGTATTTTTCCAACGCTGGTCGGCCGACCAGCATTGGAGAAATTTTTTCCAACAACTGTTCCTAATTTTTCATATTTAGTTATTCTGACTTTTCCTTGCAATTGATTACACACCTATGAAGGGGTACAAGCCTGCTGGACAGATTATCTGACCTTACAATTCCCCAAAGTGAATCATCTTAAGTGGGGTCAGGGAACCAGACTACAAGAACATGATAGGTTTTCTTGGTTTTTCCAGCATCTACAAGCCCAAAACGTGAAACAAGTTAGTTTAACAATATTTTCTCTAACATACTAATCCTCCAAATCCATTTGTTTTTTAAATATTTTAGCAAAAGCAAATGTTGTACATTCCCTTTAAAGCTATAGTCCATCATTTGCAGCCATCCGAAAAGTAACTGGCGTAATTACTGTTGAAAAACAAACTTGGTTGAAAGATAGTAAGGGAACTAAACTCCCTGTGAAATTATTCTTTCTGGGAAGCTGTCATTTTGAAGTAATCAACGAAAGAAGGCATTTCCAAAGGTGATTCTTAAGAAGCACCGTAGGAAAATTCAAATTAGTAGTTCGTTTTGTTATTCAGCGCAGCGCGCACAAGTATTGGAACGACGCACACGCGCGCACGGTTGTTATAATTCGTCGGATCAGTGCGCGACGCTGCGTAAAGCTGCAATTCAAAACATGATTCAGTAACTTTTGATTTGAAATTGAGATCTTAGAATGCTGCTTTTCTCGGAATGTACAGCTGAAGCTTAGCTGAAACTTCATCAGGTTAGTTGCTCAGTATCCTTCATTAGATTTTGAACACTTTTGTTGCTTCAAACGAACAAAATGCACTAATTACAAATGATGGACTATAGCTTTAATCATAATTTCCTTGCTTTGAAATGAAGTGTAGTTTTGTAGTTAAATCCATCGCAAGTCCATCACAAGTCATACAGTCCCAAGTCGAGTCGTAATCTATTCAAATGAACTTTGACAAAGGAACAGCATTCCTTTGTTATTGTTCATCCACTTTCATTACTTAACTGAACTAATGAATTGACCTATGATTTATTTGTGACTAGACTTCTGATTGACTGATGTAGTGTAACAAAAGGCTTTGAAGTTTCAAATATTTCATTAGGACGAAATCCTCCTTTGAGAGGCTTCCTTTAACTTTCAAACTTAAATCACCATTTCAAAAAAAAACATTCCGTCAATACCTTTTGGACAATTTCTGTTCTAAACATTATTTCAAAGTAACACATTTGTTCAAAATACCTTCTTTCTTTTTTTAAAATCCCCTTTTTCATTCCCCTTTTTGCAGATGGCCAAGCGACAGATTTGTGTTGTCTTGAACTGAATCATCTAACTGGAAGACCATTGACTCCTGCAGAAGCTAAATGTGCATCACCCCTTAACAAAACAGCAAGTTCCCCTAAAGACCCGCCCACTGATCTAACCATCACAGCAACGAACTGGTGCCGTACTTTCAGTGTAACAAATCTGGATGCAAAATCAGAGGTTACCAGCCCTGTAGAAACAGTGGGCTCACCTTCAACCAGAACTCCACGTAAATGTGGGGCAGAAAACCAGGCCGTCGTGAAAGCTAAGCTGTCGATCGGTACAGTTCCCATCTCTCAGTACCAGGACAATGCAGTGTATACGTGCACTGGTCTGGCTTTGGATGCGACATCTGCAGAAGGGAATACTGACGTCAGACTTTCGAGTTGGTTCAAGGAGGCCATGGTTAGCCTCAGTCGGCAGAGAAAAGCCTTGGTGAGTATTGTTGAGAATTGCTCAGTTCAAAGTTTTCAGCCAAACACATTCTACAAAACACCATAATTAATTCCCTAAGTTTTACATTGCGTGTCTCGCACAATACTTGCTGAGCAGTTTTGATGACCCGCACAAAAATAACCAACTTGCAGTAAAAAGGTTTCTGTTTAAAACACAAGATAGTCAAACCCAGGAAAGTTGGCTCCAGAATACACAATATTTTATCCAGTTGAATCAGGATAACTTAAAAGTTCGTAGAGTAAGCTGTAGTGGTAACGCGATGACAACAAAAAATCCACTTTAATCATTTGCTAAGAAAATTAACTTAGCTGCTATACACTTGTGTCATGAATAACATGAAACAAGTGTCGCTAGACTAAAACATGTGGTGTAGATGCTACAAAACATAGGCAAGCCTTATAAATCTGCTCTCAGACCAGTGTACATGTAAGTCAGTCGGTGAGATTTGTGACCAGTCCACTTCATAAGTGGTAGTCCGTTAGTGAGTCAGTTAGTCAGGTACAAAGCAGCAAAAAATCTGTAGCATGGGACCCTTTAAAAAAAGAGATTGCATGTCAACAAGTGTTCGTCATGGAATGAGTGCATGTATGTCCTAAGGTTCGAAACTTGCCAAATAACAACCAAAATCTGTTGATGCAAACTTACTGGGTTCCCCCCCCCCCCCCACCCCAGTTGGTTGATATGCCGCATCCAGAGACTGGCACGCCCGTCATGGCTGTGCTGGAGCCACTTACCGCAACCACTGCATCGCTCCGCATGCTGAAATCCTGGCCCCTGCCTGGACAGAGCACCACCAATCACCGAGACGAGGCCAGCAGGGCAAGGAGAGCCAGTAGCAGGAGGAGAAGTGGTACTGAGGATGCAGGGACCCGGATCAGGAGAATCGCTGAGGAGTGTGTGAGGAGGCGCAGCGGCATGGAGAAAACTCTGAGAAACACTCAAGGTATATTTGGCAAAGGTACCAATAGAAATGATGCGTTTCCTGGAGACGTTTGCAGCTCAGATAAGTTACCGATTGTATCACAGCTTTTGTAATTATTTCACATGGCCCTGATAGACTAATTTGGCGATAGCTATTTTCTGTGGTGGCATCGGGCTCGCGCAAGACCCGCTCAGGTAGTACGCACGCACTCCGGGCTCCTTCGGCCAATGGGGAAACCAAGATGCGCACACGCCCCGTCTTTAAGAACACGTGCTGCATGCGTGTGAGCGTGGCACCACCACAAAAATGGCTTCTAATTTTGTTTGGCGAATTCCAGTATATCCAGACTGCAAATTGTGTATGCGAGAAGCACATTGCCTTGTAAAATAACCTTGCAAAATGGTGATTGAACAGGAAGATTTGTCCAAGCGGCATACGTCTCCCATATTGGTATCATTTCAAGGCTCCCTGCGACTACAATACATTACCAAATTGGTCTCAAACACTCCGTGCACAAGCACCCCCCTCAATGGCTACTAAATGAAAGTAAAGCGGGACTCCTGAATGTATGCCTATTTAATTATGTGTACTTTGCATTGTATACGTGCAAACCAGTGCGAGCAGGCATTCCTGCGCACAGAGCTCTCACGACTGGTCACAAAGCCCAATCTAATGTCCATGCACAGAGTTTATAGAGTACTTTGGGATTGATCCCCCAATTGACAGTTTCCAGGTTTGCAGCATTGCTAATAAGCCAGATCAGTATCTCCATGAAGCAGATCAGGTCAAAGGTCATTCGGGATAAAATCGCTGACACGATGTTACGCGATGTAACGCAAACGCTCATTCTGCTCGTAATTAACACGCGAGCGTCGTGCACCCGTCTCCCTGTGCGTTCATACGCCTTCAGTGAGCGTTTGATTATCCCGAAGGACCCGTGACCCATATCAATGTGCGCATGCACCGTTGAAATACCAAACAGGCTTATTGCAAAGTCACAAAGCCTCATTCCTGATTATGGCTATGGCTTGCTATTTCACATAGTGCCTGTTGAGATGGCTGTAGCCCCTTTCCATAGACACGTGTGTTACTGCTAACCATAGCCAAGTAATTTGAACCCTTCCTCAATTTCACATCATTTTGTGTCAAACTAAACCTAATGAGAATGCCACTCTAACCCTAACTCCCTAGGCCTTTTTGCTAGGATGTAGCCTCAATCCTGCAAAATCCTCCAATTGGCCTCATGGAAAAATAGCATATAGCCTCAATCCTGCAAATTCCTCCGCTATTTCTTGAACATGGTCCATGGAGGGGTGACCACTGCCTGAATCCTGCAAAATCCTCCGGCTATGACTGTCAATAGGCTGAGGCAGAGGCAGTGACATCCTGGAGCAGTGCGGAGGATGTCAAGTATAATCAAGGGCTAAATTTATGCACGGCTGAGCGTAAACAACACAAGGTCCGGCCCAAGACCTTGACACAGTGCGTACTCCGAAATCAGCAACCCACTTTTGCCATGTAACCTCAATCCTGCAAATTCCTCCAATTTGCAAAAAGGATTTTGGAGGATTCAGGGCAGTTAGGGTTCTAATGTAGAAAATTCTTGATTGGTTGACTATCTGTAGGTGGCCAACAGAGCCCCCACCCAACATCCTCACCATCAAGCCCTTGTGAGATGGTCTCATTCCGGCCTCATCTCTTGGAGCCCTGGTTCTCCTACTGCCCGTCAGGCGGAGCATCAGCCAGACTAATTGATAAGCTACAGAGGTGAGTTGCTGATGTTGCTTTGCATTTATCACTATTATTATTGATATTATTTATTGCTGGTATTGAAGCCAAGGCTTCCTCAAAAGTGCCCTCGGCACTGTAGCTCACAAGCCTGAAGAAACCTGTAGAGAGAAGACAATGAAAAGAAATTACAGTTTTAGAGGCGGGAGAAAACCCTCAGAAGAATATTCTGGGGAAAACCCACAGTATCAGGCAGGGGCCGTGGGCCAGGGCAGGAATCAAACCTGGGCCATAGCAGTGGAAGGCTAGGAAAGAACCTCTGCACCAACCTGACTCCTCTTGACTATTTTGAGATGATATAAAACCACGCAGTGTACTTGAGAGGCTAAGAAATACAAATGTATGTCAGTGTTATTTATTATGGTACGAGATTACTCAGAATTATTTTGCTGAGGGAGATGAGGTGCACAAACGTGTGGCCATTATTGCAATCAGACCCCATTTCACCAATATTGATTTTTGTGGCTTAAGTCTGTCTTTTGTTTATAGAGCTATATTAAATTACTAAAGCACTAACTCGGTGTCCAAAGTGAAGCCTGCTGGGCGCATCCATGTTTATGTACAAACCTATGAAAAACTTGAAATTTAGTACAGCTTTAGTAGGGCTATTTGCATATCTGCATTTGTATTCTATCTATACCGGTGTGTTATCGAAGCCGATGCGCCCAAAACTTAAATGCACAATCAGTAAATGAGCGTTTGATTTTGTACTGCGCAAACAACACAAGCGCAAATGCACGCGCATTACATGTAGAGTACATTATTCAAAATTCATTCCATCTAATTTCATTATGTTCTACAAACACGCACATGAATTCAAAATGTCTGCGCCCAGGATGGCTTTAAAGTTAGGGCTCTAGTAGTAATTTAATATAGCTCTATGGTTTTGTTTGATTTGGTTTGATAGATTCGGTTACATTTCATTAGCTGATTTTGTGTTTGGATTTTGTTTCTACATTTGGCGAATTTAACACCAAACTACCCTGGATTTTCATTACACTGTAACTGCTGTGTTACACAGTGTACCAGAATTCTGAAATAGCCATAGAGAATAGGCACTTGTGGTCTCCACCATAAGTGAAAATTTTGTTTGCATTTAATAAATAAAAGCTTATCTTCGTACATATGAAGGTCTCCATCCTGAACAATTTGGCAAGAGGAGTAAATGACTTTGTTTTACATATTTCTGTGTTCTTTTTTGCAGTGTTCCACTGTATGACAAACCTCCCGGCCCGACAAACCCCACCCTACCCAGCCAGCTACTTCAGCAATTAGGGGAAAGGTACAGCCGACAGCCTGGCACTGTCAGTAGCCAAAATATTGACATGAAAGTCACTGGACAGGCAGACATCAAGGCAGAGACTCAGGCTAGGCAGTCAGCAGCTGGTAAGAAACAAGTGGTTGGAAGCCATCCAAAAGTTTCAATAAGTTATTGCAATCAGTGCAACACATAAATGACAATTGTGATTTTTTTCTATAAAGCCATTTAACCCTAACCCCCTAGGCTCTTGCACTAGAAAGGATACCAAACCTAACAAATTTCAACAGCTGCATACAGGTCTGTAAGCACTGGTACCAAAACTGCCAAACTCCAACAGGCCTTGTACGGGGAACAGTACTAAACCTGCCAAACTCCAACTGTTGGAGTTTGATTGACTTGGTATGGATGGGCCTATGCATTGTCGAGTGATTGGATAGGGATGGTACCAAACCTAACAAAATAAAGCAATATATTTGACCAGGAACTGTACTGGGGACCGTGGGTGAGCGTACCCACGAAGAAATGCCTGTGAACTCCCATGTACATGCACATTTGACCACAAACTGTGCTGAGGACCGTGGGTGAGCATACCCACGAAGAAATGCCAGTGAACTCCCTCAAACTCCAACGTGTTCACAAATCTCATGCCCTTCTGCCCCGAACCTCACAAATTCAACAGGGTCTCCCTGGGCCTTTGGTACCCAGTCAATCAAAGTCCAACACCAGCTGGCCAGTGTTCAGTACCAACCCTGCCAAAATCAAGCAAAACCCGCTGTTGGAGCTTGATGGACTCAGGGTTGTTAGGGTTAAACACCTACATATTCATGTACACAGTTTTATATTTAAGTCCATTGCAAGTTCAGTCACAAGTAAATCACAAATCTGTTCACAAGTCCAGTCACAAGTAACAGGGGAAGAACAGTAATAAAGTAATGCTTACATGTATGTCTCAGTTATTTTTTTAATAGCTTTTGACTTGAATTGTAAAGTGTGATTGACTTGTGAGACTAAAGACTTGTGATGTCTTACAATTGACTACAACGCTACAATTAAATTTCTAGTCATTATGCACTTACTAAGAAAAATGTGACAGAGCACATCTGTTTTTGTTTGGACAAGTGCGACTGCAATCGCACAAAGTCGTTAGGACATTTGTTTTTTGAATTTACTCATTATCCATCTGCATTAGAAAGAGCATACTCAGCTGTGCATTTGATAAATTACGCTAGTTGACGTTCTGACGTTGGTTTGTTGAAATTAAAGTGCCAGTTTCATTAAGTTTCATTATGCAATTTTTTTCTGGGCCTGGAACCCAAACACAGATCTGTTAACCCCAAACACAGATCTGTTAACCCCAACTCATCGGGGTTGGGTGGCATTTTCCATCAACAGTTTGAAAATGTGTGATATCTTACTGTAATTTCACCATCTGAAATAACAGTTAGACAGTGGACATTTTCTGCCTTTTTATGCTATTTGTTTATACCCAACACATTCAAATGTGTTATGATGTCACTGGAGCTGTATTCGGAAAGAATTGGTCACAAAAACTGATGGAAAATGTCCAATATCTGACCATAATTATACCACATGAAATGTAATGCGTCTCACATGTAGGACTCGAAGGACAGGTCAGGCAGAGCCCTCGCCTCAAGAAACGCAAGAGCACCATGAACGTTGGCTTTCGTACAGAGAGGATCATGAGCAACAGCCGGCTCATACAGACCACAAAGGAACCCAGTCCTGTGAAGAAAAACCAGAAGGAGAACAGAGTACCGGGCAACACAAGGAACAAGACCTCAACGTTCAGTAAGATTTGTTACAAGTACTTGCTTATGCTAAACTGTCATTCAATTCAGGGGGGAATGGATGGGGGGGGGGGGGGGAGCCAAGCGAGTACGGTGGTCTGTGTGCCTCTTCCATTCGTAAACAAAGGGGTGTGCAAAATAGTGATTAAGGAAATATCCATTTTGAAGTCGTAATTTTAACACTTGTTCTACAGACATTCAAGCTCTTGTTCTATACCAAACATGTATATTAGTCCAGTATCAAAAGACCAATTCTAGAAGCTGTAGTCGCTTCATTCTATCATGCAGTGAATCCTGCATGCGACCACGGGCCATTGCACACGGGTCAAACACCGTAACCATTGGACCACACAGCTGTGCACCGGTTAATATTGCTTAACCCTTTCATGCCCACATTGTTTATTGACTTGGCTCTCCCCAGGACCAAATTGTTTGCTCAGTCATGCGGAAATCACTAGAGCGTGAACAAAATGACCACAAGTCAAAAAATCAGATTTTCACTGCCAAGGATTGATTAAAATCATAGGTGTTGTGTGTAAAGTTTGTTCCTTGAACCTTACTCTTTTATGTGATGTAAAAATGAAGTCCATACCTGCAAATATAAGAAAGTTATGCCTTTTTGTTCATTTGGTCCCAATTATCAAACTGCAAGTGCAAGCCATTTCACCACATGACAAAATGGCACTCCATACCTCAAATTGTGCGTGGATACTTCTGAAGCACTTTTCTCATTTTTTTTTTAATGGTAACACTATGAATAAACCACACCAATAGAAAGATCCGAAAACACTCTTTCAGCTGGTGTATAGTTGATGTATGGGCGGCCAAACATATCAACATGCCGCCTTTCTGAAAAGTAGTAAATATATCTGTGCTGAGGGTGTTTTGTGTGTGGTTTCCTGGTCGACTAAAGTCGCCCATGGGAACCAGCAGGGGGGTACTTCTTGTCGACAAAAGTCGCCCATGGTAAGGAAATGGTTAATATTTTATATTAATCGAAAATCAGCTGCAAACCAGTCATAAGCAATAAATAGGCCATCTTAGAGAGTATCTTTTGTTATTTTAATTTAAAAACATTGAGTGCACAAAAGGTTTGGTGTGTCCCATCCACGGGGCTCTCAAAAGTGGTAAATAAGCGCCCTCTTTTGTTGACGCACGGCGTCCATAGAGTATCTCTTGCGTCTATTTCTTTTTGAGCCTGTTTGTGTAGATAGAACCTGTTGTTCTGAATATTTCTTGTTCGTTCTCTATCTGTTTCCCCCTCCCAGAATGTCCAACATTTGAATCAGAACAGGACGTGATTGACTGCATTCAGGCTGCCTATGAAAAGGAAGTCACAGAGGTAAGCAGCAGACCACGCTTGTGGTCAGTATCTGTTCTTTGAATGATGCTAGTGTGTTCATTGTGTTTATTTTCAGTATTAATATTGCTGGAACTGAAAGATAGTGATCAAGTTTTTTCCCCTTGTACTGCCACACTTTGGAACTCTCTACCTGAATCTCATTTCTTTTCTCTCTATATCTTTAACAATTCACAAAATGTGCGCAGATAATTTCCGTCATAAGGACTTCTTTCAGTTTTGTGTTCAGGCGACGTATGGCCAAAAAAAATCAGCGTCAGCAAAGCCCAGTATTAAAAGTTTTTGCCTTCAGTTGAATATATGGTGTTTTTTTCAACAAGTATTTTTTTTGCCCTGTTTATTACCAAACCTGGCAAAATGAGCCACAAGTCGCCAGACTGAGAATGGGCCATTAAGTCAATCTTGCACGATAGAAATCTGTAAGAAATTTTCATTCACATAATATCTGCAAATATGTCAAAATGTAAAGGAGAGTGTGCTCTTCCCACTGCATATGAGTTACTAATAAGTGACAAACCCATAAGACTTCTTTCATAGGATCTGGGTGCATTTTATAGTTGACAAGAGATTGGTTTTTTGTTTTTTTTATAGATTAACGGGTCAAGATTGTTTTGTTTCACTTGTCTTTGTAGGGTTCCTGTGCAATGGACTTTGTGCAGTTCACAACCAGTATTGTGCTGTCCTATATGAAGTCTGGTTGCACTGAGGCCGCAGAAAATGATCCCGTGGTAAGTTGGGTTGATTATGCCGGAGACTCACCAAGTTTTGTATACTTTGGTTTGAGTACATAGAAAGCAAACTTATCCCTAACCCTGCCGGACGTAACACAGTACATATGGTGGAAAAGTCTGGTGCACTTTGATGCATTCAGCTACCAACACCAGTGCATGAACAGCCAGATCTGAGACAATGAGAGCTAGTCCAATTGAACAGTACCACAGTTGTATCCTACTGTGGTTGGTGACCACAGACTCTCAGGCAGTTTGGCCTTGAGACTTTTGACCTGATGGATCTTGCTACACTGGGGTAGGCTTTTCATAGACAAATGTTGCATCTTGCTGCGTTCAGCAGGATTTCTAGCCAGAATACCTTGGAGGGTTAGGGTTAAAATTTTAAAACGGAACTTGATACTTATGTAGTTAAAAAAAAATGAGCTTGTCTGTCCCTCTAGAACTCAAAATAATGGGCTTGAGATTAGTAATGAAACCAAAAAAAAATAGTGCCCTCAACTTCGTCACCATTATGGGGATATTTTCAATTCTAATGAGTGGGTGGCCTATTTTAGCCCAACAAAGGATGCATTCCATTCCACGAAAGCTTACGCAAACATTAGCTTGGCTTTTGCAAACATGTCAACTAAGTCGAACAGAAATTCCATCAAAACCTTCATCCAAAATGGCCGTGCCCAAAGTTACAAGGGTCGTTGTGTGGCAAGCAAGCTTTTCATTTCCTTGAAAAAAGTAACTGAGACTGGAAGTGAATTTTGTCAGTAATGGGTTTTTTATGTAAAAAAAACGGCAAATTTCAGCCCTGGCAGCTCACTGTGAGCGAGTCGACCATCTTGGAAGACATCGCCAGTGCTGGTAATGCACAGTTGGTCCCGCTTGTGTGAACGTTGCCAAGGTTTTCAAACATTCGCATTGTTCACGTGAAGCACATCTCAGTTTTCATTCTAGATTTCCCTCCCATATACCACCAGACAGGAGCCCGGGATCTGCTGACCAGCTGCCTGCTAGTCTCAAGCAACCAGCTGAGGGACAAATACCAGTCCCAGACCGACGAAGCCAGCAAGCTGCTCAGGGTGCAGGAGATTGAACTGCAGGTCTTACTGCGGCTGGAGATGGAGGCTATGTCGCCCACCGCGGTCACGCCGGGCAAAGGAGGAGACGGCAAGGGGGACGAGGAGAAGCAGGAGAGGGGCGGAGACAGCAGTGCAGAGGAGGAGGGGGCAGAGCTGCCGGAGAATGTTCAGAAGTTGGTGGATGAGGTCAGCAGATGTTTCATTGGTTCTGTGCAGGTTTAGGCTTTATAGTCAATCCTCATTAAGTCAAAACGAGTCAGTTATTAGCAAAAGTCAATCACAAGTCAAACCACCAGCTTTTCAAATGAACTGCGTCACTCACAGACGCTTCCTTGTGATTATATTTCCCCATGTTGCTTGTGACCTTTTCTGGTGACGGACCCAAGATTTGACTTGTGATGGACTCGACCTACAACTCTGGTTCTATGAAGATCTTCTGGATGGGTTGTTGCCTGCCTCCTGTGGATAGTTGTAAATTGCTGAACCATTCCCCTAAAACCTTTAGCAAAGTGTCCACCAATGTCCAGTAATGCCCACCGCATGTGAATCCTCCTGATTCCTGTTTTCTTCTAGATTGTGAAACTTTTGAGAGCCATTCCCTTCCTGGCTGATCCCAACAGGTTGACCTCCTTCCTCGCAGAGACACTCCTGCAAAAGTAAGTTCCCACAGATATGAACTGAACAGTGCGGTAAAGAATTGCAATATTCAAGGGCCTTAATTTTCTGAAAAAAATATCTACTAGACCACAGGGTCAGGATCTCAAGAAAACTTCTGGACCAAAAAGAAAGAGTGATAAATTGGGTGAATTATTTTTCACATGTACTGAAATGTTATGAAACTCCAACTAACTAATGTGAAGTGGAATTCTGTTATGACCATTTATTTCTTGGACATTATACATCTTCTTTGGTGCATTCATAGTGGCGGCAGGTCATACAGGACTCCGCAGTGCAATTTTTTTTTTCACTTATGATCAATGTGTGCTTACAGCTCTGGCAAAAAGGCCGCAGTCAATTTTTTTTCACTTTTTTTTCAGCTCTGGCAAAAAATTCTGTGTTAACCCAAAAGGCCAAGTTCTTTGTAAACTGAATTCCTTGTTAAACATATGAAATATGCTTCACGTAAGCACAGTATTCTCCGGTATAGATAACGGAGAACCTTTTTTTTTTTTTTTTTTTTTTTTCTGGTAAGCAGAGCTTTTAAACTGGGCCCTTACACCATCACCATGGGCTTTATTCACGAGTCGGCCATATTAAATTGAAAGCGATGTAAATTTTTCATTTTTTGGAACTTGCGAAGAAAAAAGAAAGCAGCAATGACTAAAGTAAATTACAAATTAATACCAGTCTGCTCTGATGAATAATTTCAAATTTGTGATAACACATACCCTAATGTTTTAAGCCACATTTCAAAAAAAAAAATGAAAGTGAGGCTAGAGTGCATAAATAGTCTGGCACCATCCCATTCCACAGTTTACAATTTATAAAATACATTCAGGGAACACGACCAAGATGGCTTCTTCGTGAATAAGGTCCATCAAGCAAAAAGATTTTCAATAATACTTTAATAGATATTTGGCTTGAATAAAAATTTTGAATGTGGTTCATCTGAATGCAGCTATGCCGAGTCCCTACCTCACGTCCTGCGAGCCATCTATGATGACCTGATGCAGCCGGTACCCTCCATCCTGCTGTCCCCAAGCAGCGACGTGACTCTGTCCTCAGTCAAGACCCAGCCCCCTCCTTCCTACCGCTCCTCCTCCCACGGATCGTTTGCTGAGCCATCCGTATCAAGCACTAGGTATGAACGATATTTTATTTTAATTCTTTCTCGTACTAAAACACAGAGGTGCACCGGTGTTGTGTGAAAATTGGCCAATATGAAATATGGATGCATTGGTTGTATTACACATGTCAACAGTGACAATAATGAGGACAGTGACAGATCGTGTGTGCGCGTTACATCCATGTAAAGTAAAAGAGACCAGATTTCATAGGAGTCCAATTTTCATACGACACCGTCACTGTAGCCAGTAGAAACCTTGTTGAAAGCCAGTAGAAACCTTGAGGGAGAAGACAGTGAATAAATGAGGAAATGTTCGAGATCACGCGGCAGCCCATATCAGCGCACATTCGGTCCTCTCCCCTCACATGTATTCATTCATACTCCTGGGTGGAGAGAGGCTATTGTAGTTAAGTGTCTTGCCCAAGGGCACAAACACCATGTTACTGGCAGCTTCGAACCCGCCCACCATCGTACATGAGTCAAACACTGTAACCACTGGAACGTTGCATTCTGACTTTTAGACTAGTTTTTTTTATTAGAATACATGTGCACAAACCTGCAAAATAAAATAAATTGTAATGCTTATACAGCACTTTCCGTTGTATTAACAATCTCAAAGCACACTTAGTTATTCACCCATTCATCAAGCCATGAGACCAGAGCACGCAGCAGCCGATTTCAGCGCACATTCGGTCCTCTACCCTCACAGGTACCCATTCATATTTCTGGGTGGAAAGTACGAATGCAGTATGCTCACATGAGTACCTGGCACATGGCAGCAATGCCATCTGAGTTTCTGTCGTATTGAGATTTGACAACTACTTTGTCACCGTTAAGAAATAAGTCCTTAACCCTCTTCATTACACTAATGCAAAGAAAATCCATTTTCTTCTTCACCTGCATTTCATTTACACATTGTAAATGGTTGAGTGTAGAACACAGAGGTCGTTAGTCCGTCATCCGAGTTTGGCCGATATGGGAAGCAAGAGAGTTATCCCAGTACCATCAAGGAATGTGGCCAAGAAAAAGGTCAGTCAATTTGCTGGTTTTTTTATTGAAGTTGTGAAAAAAGCTCAGATGCATATATATGGTTAGATTGATTATTGCCCATATTTGTGATCATTTTCTATGAAGTGACAAAGATTAGCGTTCGAAATTTTCCCAGTTTAGAAACAACAGTTTTAAAGGAAACATGCAATAGGATTTTTTATGACTGAAATACATTTAAAACAGCTTTCTTTCCATGTAACTATGACTTTCCAGCTCCTTTGTAGCAGTAAAAGGGAGAAATTTCAACATTTTAGTTTTTATGCTAATGAAAATTTCCATTTTCATAAGCCAAAGCGTGATGTCATTCAGGGCAGAACAGTAGTGTCTCCATAGCTTTGTGTACAAATATATATTAAACTTGTCTTCATTTTCTGGGAGTAAGTTCCACTTTGTATTTGTTTATCATGTTATTGTTAAACAGCTTGTTTGGACAAAAGTAGTGGTAAATATTTCTTCAAAACTTTTTTTGTGGGTACTTTTGAAGGACTTATTTTTGTACTAGGAGTACCTTGTGTGACAGCAAAATAGCGCCCTCTTACATGTATTGATGAAAGTATTTGCTAATAATTGAAAAATTACCACTTTCTTGTCACTTCCAATGAAAAGTATTAAGAACTTGTATGTTTTGTTGCAACACATAGTAATGTGCATGAAAACAAGATGAGCTGAATTTCCACTGCATGTTTCCTTTAAAGCCGGTTTTCTTTAAATGTTCCATATCTTCATAATGTGACGGGTTTTTGTATATCGTTTCACAGATGATGTGCATCTATTCGCCTTTTGTGTGTGTATTGCTCATATCTATGGGAGAGCAGTTTCATTTTTTTCCTTTCTTTTTGAATTCTCTTAAAAAAAAAAAAAGGCAAAACTGTATTCGATTTAAAAAAGCTTATTGTCAGATATTGTGTGTTGTAAAATAAGTTCCATGGTGTGTTCTGAAAAATGGGGGGGGGGGAATCAAGTGTAATTACCAGTTTCAGGACACTCCATGAAGATTGACTTGTTTTGCCTTTTGTTGCAGGACAAATCAAAACCGAAAGATAAGGAGGGGAAGGAAAAGTCGAAACTGAAAGAATCGAAGGAGGGTAAGGTTCTTTACTTGATTTGATTTCTTCTTTCAAACGAGTGCAGCTTTTTTCCAACAGGTCTATTTTTCAAAAGGAATCTAACGGCTTTTCCGAAATCTAGGCATTATCTTTGGCTTTGGCTCTCCCACTTAAGCTCCGTGATCTAAGGTTTCTCATTGTAGAAGCACAGTCTGGTTCCCTTTTCTGCCACAGGTACTTTGAATCATGTTGTGAAGCCAAAAGTAGCATTATACAGGGCGAGTAAAAAGAAAACGAAACCCAAATGGCAGGACCAATTTTTGAATAACATTTTGCCTGTAGCACTTGCAAAATCTAGGATATGAAAGCCCAGTCATTAAAGGGAAAATACAACATTTGCAAACATCAAAAAATAAAACTACCAAATCATTTTGAAATACCTTGCTGGACTGTTAGTGAATGACAGTGTAAAGCATCCTGTAAAATCATGGCACCTGGTATACTGTCATTTTCAAGAAAAGTGGTATTTTTGTATCATTTTCCAACGCTGATCGGCCGATCAGCGTTGGAAAAAACTGGCTTTTTTTCAAATACTGGCCACAATTGACCATCGCACTTGTTTGCAATCGATTACAAACCTATGAACGGGCACGAGCCAGCTAGACTGGTTCCCTGACCTTACAATTCCCCAATGTATGTAAACTGCTCTGTTTCTTCTTATATGGAGTCAGGGAACCAGACTACAGGAAAATGATTGTTTTTCTTGGTTTTTATAGCGTTTTCGAACCCAAAACCTCAAAAAGGTCAGTGTAACTATATTTGCTATATATTTCCAACCCCCCAATTCCATCCATTTCTGAAAATTACAGCAAAAGCAAATGATGTATATTCCCTTTAAGCTTTCTTTTAGTACAAGAATCATTCAAATCACTCATGTACTTTTCAAGTTACAAAATTTTGAACACAAACACCCTTCTAAAGTTCTGTCCACAGATCAAAATAAAAAAAGGGGGTTCTTTCAGCAAAACGAAAACAATTCTTATAGGGATGCTTTTGAATTGTTTTTGTTTTGCTGAAAACGAAACACTGAAAGTGCTGAAAGAACACTTACCTTTTTTTGTGATCCGTGGACAGAACTTTAAAATGGTTTTTGTGTTCAAAATTCTGTTACTTGAAAAGTACATGAGTGATTTGAATGATTCTTGTACTAAATTTGATTCTTGTACTAGATTTTGAAAGTGCTACAGGCAAAATTTCATTTAAAAATTGGTCCTGCCATTTTGGTTTCGGTTTTTTTTACTCGCCCTGTAGTTTGGTTTGCATGCAGTGATGAGAGGAAGCCACAGTTAGTGGAGAATTCTAGATTTCAGAAACACTTGTGGCGTTCTATAAAACCTGTTGGAAAATGTTATTATCAAAATCAGACGATAGATTTTGGAGACCTTGTATGAATGATAGCATTTTGTCTTGATGTTAATATTGTTTATGGTGATGCCTCATGGCTTGCAGAGGGAGCATCTAGTGCCAAGACGGTGCGGAGGAACCTCTTCATGGGTGGAGCTAAACACAGCCCAAGGAAGGGAGGGAGCAGTAAACTCCAGCGACGGCAGAGTGTGGCAGTCATGCAGAATATTCACGGCACTAGGTATTTAAAACCGTCCAAAAATCCATTATGATTGAAAATGTGATTACTTATTGGACTCAAATCTTCTGAATATCGTGTCTGTAGGCCTACTCTGCAAAAATGGCAATCATTGAATTTTACTTGGAAATGTTATACTTGGTCAGTTGATAATTGTGGAGCATCAAGGTCCAGTGGTTGCAGTGCCGGTCTCATATGCGATGTTACATGGGCGCACACCCTGGCGGGAACAGGAACATCACATTTGTGTCGTTGGGCAAGACACTTTACCACAATTGCCTCTCCAACCAGGAGTATAAACAGGTATCTGTGAAGGTTGAGACCAGATTGTACTGATCTCAAGCTGCTGCAGAAAAAAATTGGTCTCGTGGCTAAATGGTAAATGTGAAGTATTATTGGACATTGATTTAATATGCCATGATAAGCACCATTATCATATTTTCCATTTTTATAATTTTTGTAGAAAGAGCCCACGGAGAAGGACCCCTCAGAAGACCAAAGCGCCCCTGGTGCTGAAGACCAAGGTGGTCAAGGAAACGCCGGGCAAGAAACAGGTGTTGCAGGCAATGCTGAAGAAGCAGGAAAGGGCAAGGTGAGTTGTGAAAGATATCTAAAGCATCCCAGATCCTACAAAATCCATTCGGAAGATTTGGAGGATTTTGAAAGATTTGAGGATGGTGGAACACAGGTAGTGTTTCGTCACATGGGGCTCGGTGTCTTTTGGAAATTACAACATACAGAGAATGGGGCCATTGGATTACTGCACAGTGTTGCATTTGAAAGATTCAGGAAGGATTTTGAGCTAAAATGCCTAGGGATTTTCGTTTAAATACACAGACAGAAGACGACTTATGTGATAGAGACATCATGTCCCGTGTTGTATGTTGTATCTCTGTGTATATCTTGTCATCTCTTAAGAGATTTGAATGCTTGATGAGGTTTAACTTGGGAGAAACTGTTCCAGACTTTGGTTCAAGTGAATGCAGTACGACTTCACTATGATAAACACCGAGTTCCACAAGAGATTGTTCGGTATAGGGCACATTCGTTACAAAAACATTAACTACCAAACGTTAATTACCAAACATAATAACCAAACATACCTGGCAAAATAAAAATAGATCCTGCTGGAGATCTTGAACACAAATATCAATTCCAGTTGAGCAGTTCCAAGCAATATAATTTCTGATTCTCACTACTTGTGATTATTTTCATCTCCAGGAGAATCTCAGCAAGCTCCGGGGATGCCGTAGTGCCACCTACCCCCATGAGAGTGATTGAGGAGTCCCCACTCAAGCCTGTACAAGGTGAGTGGATTCCTGCAACAGCATGCGTCTAAATTCAGTGTCCAAGTGCAAATAGCTGATAGGAAACTGTCAGCGAAACGAAAACAAATCACATAGGGATGTGTGCGAATTGTTTTCGGTTTGCTGAAAGAACGCACACCTTTTGTGTGATCCGTGGACAGAACTTTAAAACGGTGGTTGTGTTTAAAATTTCCGTAACTTGAAAAGTACGTAAGTGATTTGAATGATTTTTGTACTAAAAGAAAGCTTATCAATTGGGCTTTCATATCCTATATTTTAAAAGTGCTACATGCAGAACTTCAATAAAACAATAGTCCCAACATTTGGGTTTCGTATAATGAACCTGTATAATAAACCCTTCTGAAACATACTTCAAATGAGGGCGCACTGATCATTTGTAAGATTCACCCAGCTAGCATCCCGCTAGTTGCATAACACATTGTTTATCCAGCATCACATTAATGACAGTGTGTCATAAAGACAAACTACTCATCATTTATCCAAATGCTCACTTTTCCCAGGGGTGATATTTGTCGGGATTTGTTTCTTGATTTCAGGAATTTAGGCAAATACAAACATATATATCACAGACCCAATAAATGTTGTTATATAACCGAGATACAGATCCTTGTCATTTGATTGGTGGAACTCCCATCACGTGTCATTCGTTATTACTGCCATTCACGCCAGGGCTCAAAAAGTAGAATCCGCCCTTGGGGAATGGGAAATACTATTGAACAGTTAGGATCATTCTTGTTCCATGACGGGGTATTTGTGTGCAAAGGCATGCTGGTGTGCGCGTTCAGCGTTGCGCGTAGCGCGTATTGTTCCAAAGAGCCAGCGCTACAGCGTTGGGTTCATACATTTTTGTGAAGGGGTGGTTTGGAAGAGAGAAATACATTTTCACCAATTTTGTATTGAAATAAAAGTTCAGATATATCAAATGACATATGTCAGTCATATAAAACAAATATTGAGTGGCTTTAAATTGTGTGGAATCTCGGTAGAATCTGGACTTTTCCAGTTCACTCGGCTTCGCCTCGTGAAATGGAAAAGTCCACATTTTACCGTGTGATAATATTCCTCCCATTCCACGCTGATCCACTCAATATTTGTATACTATGATGCCCTCGGCGACCCTCAAACTCTCCGCCGATTCTTTCATGGATTTTTCATTTTCCCTGGTCTTGGTTGAGCACCAGTGCCACATTTCAGAGATAATAGAATCGTAATTATCCCAAATCCAAAAATTTCTTTGCTGACCTTTATATTTTTTCCATTTATTTACAAAAAAAAATTTCAGAACTGAATGTTCGGCGCAGTCCACGTATCAAACCTCACAAACCAGGCGACAGGCGCAGCTTCTATTCAACGAGCAGCATCACCGACCTGAAGCGCGCCCGCGACTTGGGCTCCAGAATTGCTGGCAAAGTAACTCCACCTCCCTCCAACAAACCACTGAAACCCTCAAGCAGGAAATCACTGCTGAGTGAGATCTGTAGTCCAGGGAGCATGCCCGGTATCTCTGTGAAGACCTCGGAATCCCCAAGTAGGAATACCAGGTCCCAAGTTGGACGGACACCATCTAAGGATCCGCCCGGGAAAGTGGACCCAGTTGGAATAAGCCCAGATGGGATAGGCCAGAAGGATGACATGGTGTTTAAAACTCCTACAAGAGCTCCGAGAAGGATCAACTTCAAGTCTCCTCCTAAACACACCACAGCTGTAATTGATAGCTCTTCAGGTGCACCGAGTGAGAGTGTCATCCCAATTAAGGATTGTGGTCAAGTTGGAGCTGCCACCCAAGTGCCAGTGGTGGCTGGAAAACTGTCAAATGGGGATCAGGTTAATTCACCGAGCAGAAGAGGACTAAGCCCGTCTTCAAGAGCCACTCGGCAATCTGGCTGCAGAGCTCTGTCAAGTCCAACACGGACAGAAGCAGGACTTCCTTTACCCGCCGTGAAAATACCAAGCCCCTCCCCGACTCCCAAAAGACAAGGATCGCTTACAACTGCCCTGTCCATGACAGCCACCGCCATGAAAGAGCCATCGGAGCATTCCACTTCACCCAAACAATCTCAAACAGATGGTGAAAACGTAGTCACACCGGGTCGCAGAAGTCAAAGACTGCTGAAGTCACCTGCTGCGTGTATTTCCAAACAAGCTGAGATTTATGATAAACTTACACAGCCACCAGTAATCATAGACACTGTTGATGCAAAGGACAAATCTTTCAGGAGTTCTTTAACAACCCAGGACAACTCTCTCCAACTTCCCAGAAGTAGAAAGCGTACATTGGCAGACAGAAGTCCCTCCCCTAATCCCACTTCGGTGGTCAGCACCCCGTCGCCACAGAAATCTACCAAGTCTGTCACCCCAAGTTCCCTCCAGAAATGGCAACGCAGGAAGAAGCTCAGGCGCGATTCCCCAGAAAAATCCAATTCTCCCATTTTCCCAAAGGTCACTCCACCCTCTGCAAAGGGTAAAAGTAGAACCGCCACTCCTTCGCCACCCAAGTCGCCCAAGTTTGGTCGTGTGACGCCCTATTCAGAGAAACGTAAACGGGCACCGAATCTCCGAACCTCTGCCAAGAAGGAAAACTTGGAATCAGTGGTGCCGGAAGAGTCTTTGGGAAAAGCCAGACAGTATAAACTGGGCAAAGTCTGCAAAGCAAACGTAAATCTGCTAACTCTCATGACTGATGAGGATGATACGAACGTCAGTCAAATGCAAACCCGTAGCCAGTCCCGCGAGAGTGCAAACTCAGAAGGCACCGCAAAGGACTTAACGGAACCACTTGCAGAACCACAGGTCGAAGCGTACACCTTCTTAGACACACATTTGGATGATTCAGATGATGATATTGACTTCCCAAGAATTATCTCCCCGCTCCGTCCCAAAGCGGGAGCGACGTCATCAGACAAAGTTTCTCCAAACGGAGTTGGCAAGCACGCCGCCGCCTCTAGAAGCCCTGAGATGTCAGCCAGGAGTTCAGCCTCAGTCTTTCTCTCCGAGGATGAAGCATCCATCTCCACGGACGACGTTTTCCTGCTATCATCCCCCTCTCGTGCCAAGAGGAAGCTGATCACCACCCCACTGACTACCGGCGGCTTGTTTGAATTGATCAACTCACCCATGCTGGCGTCGGTGAACAAGACAGAGAAGTCTGGATCAAGAGTTTCATTCATTCAACCAAGTAAGTTTTAAATTATAAAAAAAAGGGGGGGGGGCTTTTTTTGTGGATGATCTTTGTCACATTTTGTTTCCAAAGATTCAACAGAGTACAGTGCTAACTAGTTTTATTCCCAACCCTCAGGATGCCATTTGTGTAAATAGGTTAAAAAAAATTGGGGTGTGAGTGTCGCCCAAAATTCTCAGTAACACACTTGTGAAAGAACAGTCCGCTGCTATTTTTTGCACTCAAAGTCTTTGAAAGGACGACCATTCTTAGGTCCTGTAATCTCACAAGAAATTGGAAATAAGACACTTTCTCAATCCTCCACAGGGAAAGGTGGTCGTCAGTTGTATCCAAGTGGTTCGCAGTCGTCTTTAGGATCTCCGGGTCATACCATGGCACGACGGTCGTCGTCACTAGGCCTCAAACGCCTGAGTAGCGACAGCCCCTGATGAAACGTTTTGGACCACGGAGAAGATATGGTAACAAAGTGACTGACAAACAGAAATTGCTGATTAACTCATTGGCACCAGAACTACATTGTATAACATTGTGTTTATTTACTGATGAATCCGCAAAACCATAAAAGTGCTTGGGCGAATTCAGGTGCTACAGCGATTAGAAGGCAGGGAGGTGTGGAGCTGTACAGCGATTGCTAATCCTAACCTTTCCAAATCTCCCAAAATCCTCTTTGCAAAGTGGAGGATTTTGCAGGATCGAGGCTACATGGCAAAATGTGTGGCTGATTTTGAAGGATACACCGAGTCATGGTCTTGGGCCAGACCTTGTGTTGTTTATGCTCGGCTGTGCATTAATTTAGGACTGGATTGTACTTGAAATCCTCCGCACTGCTCCAGGATGTCACTGGCTCTGCCTCAGTATATTGACAGTGATTGCTGGAGGATTTTGCAGGATTGGGGCAGTGGTTTCCCTTCCAATGACCACATTCAAGAAATAACGGAGGATTTTGCAGGATTGAGGTTGCATCCTAGCAAAAATGCAATTTTGCTAGGGGGTTAAAGGGTTATCCCTACCTCCAAGAAGATTTTTGTGCTAGATTTAATGTCTTCTGCAGGTGGATAGAAAAAAAAAACAAGAAATCTGTGCTTAGCAAAAAAGAATGCTTTATTATGGACTCCGTGCCCAAATACCCCTTTATGTTACCAAGAAAGATCTAGGTGGACCTTTTGAGCACATTGCCACTGTATGCTTGGTGCACATGTGATGATAGTTGAAGTTTGAACACAATCAGAATACAATTGGGTGCTTCGTGCCATAGCCCACCAACCAGATCATAATGCGTTCACGCGGAGCTGTAACTAGTCGTCACAAAACACCATATACTGTTCCTGTTCAAAATAGCCATCCAGTGGCATGTATGATTAAAGCTATAGTCCATCATTTGCAGCCATCCGAAAAGTAACTGGCATAATTATTGTTGAAAAACAAACTTGGTTGAAAGATAGTAAGGGAACTAAACTCCCTGTGAATTTACTCTTTCTGGGAAGCTGTCATTTTGAAGTAGGGCCTAATCAACGAAAGAAGGCCTTTCCAACGGTGCGTCTTAAGACGCACCGTAGGAAAATTTAAATTAGTAGTTCGTTTTGTTATTCGGCGAAGCGTGCGCAAGCATTGGCACGACGCACACGCGCGTGCGGTTGCTATAATTCGTCGGATCAGTGCGCGACGTCGCGTATAGCTGCAATTCAAAACATGATTCAGTAACTTTTGATTTGAAATTGAGATCCTAGAATGCTGTTTTTCTCGAAATATACAGCTGAAGCTTAGCTGAAACTTCATCAGGTTAGTTGTTCAGTATCCTTCATTAGATTTTGAACACTATTGTTGCTTCAAACGAGCAAAATGCATAAATTACAAATGATGGACTATATCTTTAAGCCTCTGTTGAGCACTATCATCAGAATTGTTCGCTCTAATTGTTTTTTTTTATTTGATTTCCACCACCACTAATAAGTTATTGAAACACAGGACTTAATTAAAATGAAGAATGTAACTGTTAGTCACTTTATTCCATACGTTTTGCACCATTGATCAAGTAAAAATATAATACAAAGATATGGATAGTTAAAAAAAAAAATTGTTCCCGGATTAAAAAAGGGCATAACTTTAAAAAAAAAACTTCTTTGCGTTCACCTTTTATTTAACTGTAAATTTACTGACCCTGCACAATCAGAAAAACAACTGTCCCACATTTAAAAACCGGCTTAAATTATTATTAAACATGATTGTAGATATTTGTAAATATGCACATAATTTAATTTTCTAAGAAAAAAAAGCTTTGTAATAAATACAGTTTTTAGATGGACATGTTTTGAGGTTTGTATAATTCAAGTTTTGTATAAGCACTTTTGGTAAACATCAGCTGCATCTTTAATAGTCAAGAGCAGTACTTCAATCTTAGGCCCCCCAAAAAAATACTCCGGTCTCTGGTCAGCGCGCGCGTCGATTTTAACCATGCGCGTCAACCTTTTTCTTCTTCAAATTAACACAGAAGCTACAACAGCGCCCTCTATTGCCGCACCTCAAATTTTTGTACCAAGGAGCACTAAGGAATGGGGAAATTGCACCAAGGCAAATGATAAAGGGCGCCAAGGCAAATTATGGAAAACACCAATGTATAATGAGTGCACAAAATAGCAAAATATTACCCACCTTGTCTGTACAATTCAAGATTGGGGAAAAAAAAAAAACACCAAAAAAAAAAAAAAAAAAACGCGTCGCCGCATCAATTCCGGAACTTCGGTCTGACCAGAGACCAATTTTTTTTTTTTTGTGGCCATAGCACCATTTTTTAAGCCCTAAATTACCACAGGATTTTTTCGTACGAAGTGGCCACTCACCATCGGCTAGGCACACTTTTAAAGATGTGCCCGTATTCGATGTTCATCGTACTGAGTGATGATACTATTTAAGGCCCGAGTCCATCATTTGCAGCTATCCAAAAAAGTAACTGGCGTAATTATTGTTGAAAAACATACTGGTTGAAAGATAGTAAGGGGACTAAACTCCCTGTGAAATTATCCTTTCTGGCAAGCTCTCATTTTGAAGAAATCAACGAAAGAAGGCATTTCCAACGGTGCGTTGGAAATAACTTTAGTAGTTCGTTTTGTTATTCGGCGCAGCGCGCACAAGCATTGGAACGACGCACAGGCGTTTTTTAAAATTACTGGTCGGAGGCAAAAGTCAATGAAACAGAATTGCGTCACAAAGAATTATCCCTGATTTAATGAAAACTTCACTTTCATAATTTTGAACTTGCAGCATCTATCCACAAGGCTCGGCAATCTGAATAAACCGTGGTCTCATCTAGACTTTTGAGACTCGACGTCAGGAACATCTTTTTCCCCTCCATCTTTTCTATCTTCGCCTCCATCAAGATGGGAGATCTCACTGGAATCGGCCTGTCAACAAAATCAAATCAAGACAAAAATATGGCAATAATTTCACAAAATTCCCTTTAAAGGCGTTTACCCAGAAAGGGACCTACCGACTTCATGAGAAAAACATTTCTCACAGTGAAGATGAGCATGGTACTAACTACCGTGTGAAATTATTTTGCAGGAAATGGTGTCGTTCAGAGGAAAACATCATTGAATGTGCTTTGAAAAGTGTGCCCGCAGATTGCAGTAGGCCCAACCATGGGCGCTTTTGAGGAAATCCTTGGTTTCATTACCAGAAATAAATTACAATACATACGACACTTACCTCATGAAATTGATATGGATGTACGCTGTGAATGCAAGCTTGGTGCCCATGTTAGTGGCTAGTACAGCTGTTGTGCTGTCGTGCATTGTAGCGATGGCACCGGCGTGTACCCACCTTAGCAAGTCAAAAAGAAACAAGCTCTTGGTAATCGCCAGAAGTGGATAGATGAATATAAACTTATGTAGAAATACAAGATAGGAGTCTCGATATGACAGTCTGTAATATTTGCATGAACACTGCAAAGGCAAGCCAGCATCCAACTTTATGGGTAGTACCTTAATTTGATCAATCACGAATGTGCATGTAACATAGTGCACTAATCAACATAATTATTTCTCATTCTTGTAAGGACTCCAGTGATGTGTGCCTTGGACTGAGGATTTCAGTTACTGAAACTAACGTAGTCATTTGCTGAAGGGAGGGCATTAGTCAGCATTTCAAAATGTGCCTTAAATTGCAAAAAAAAGAAGACATCATATGATTATATTGTTTTTAAACGTAATGAGATGTTCAAATTAGCCTACAAAGAAGTCCAAAAGATGGTCAGACACCTTCTTAAGCCTTGTTTGCAGTGACCAGGCATGCAACTTTTCCTTGGATCCGCTGATTTCCTGGGTTTTTTTTATTTCTCATGAATGCCATTACAAATTGAAAAATACTGTGCAAAGTCTTGTGTGGTTTTTTCCTCGTTTTTTCTAAATTCCCAGTTGCATGCCTGAGTGACTCGAGGCAAGTCAAGGATCCGAAAATTGAGATGGTCTTCGAATCAAGTCTTTTCGAGTTAAGAGTTATTGACTTAAAGGGAAAATACAACATTTGCAAACATCGAAAAATAAAACTACTAAGTTGTTACGAAATACCTTAATAGAATGTTGGTAAATGACATGCTTAAGCATCCTGTAAAATTATGGCACCTGGTGTGAAGCCATTTTCAAGAAAATGGTATATTTGTATACATTTCCAATGCTGGTCGGCCGACCACGGTTGGAAAAACCTAACTATTTTCCAATTACTGCTCCAAATTTACCTTTTTTCAAGTCTAAATTTTGTTTTGCTAGCTATTGGTTCCGTGTTTATGAACAGGTGCAGGCCAGCTAGACTGGTTCCCTTACCTCACAATTTTCCGGTATTTTTTATCCATTTCATCTTTAGTGGAGTCCGGGAACCAGACTACTTGAATATTTTTGCTTTTCTTGGTTTTTCCAGCATTTTCGAACACAAAACTTTAAATATGTCAGTGTAACAGTATTTGATCAATTATACTAACCCCCAAAATAGTTCATTTCTGAAAATTACAGCAAAAGCCAATGATGTACATTTCCTTTAAGTCAATACAAATGGCTCACAGTCACACCCACCACAGAGCACAGCTTATGCTGCATCCAAGCTACTAGGCTACGGCGTGCAATTTACACATACATCCATAGACACGTGTGCTCCTGCCAGCCTTAGCTAAGTAATGTGGACACAGCCTTACCCTCTGAGAAGTCCATTCGTCTCATCGCTGAACTGACAGAGACCGCGCAGCTTGCGTTCCCCCTCGTACAAGAATATCGCAAAGTGAAAGGCCTGGCCCTTGGCCGTTCGGATCCTGGTAAAGGTGTGGTCCAAGGTCTGATGGTCCGCGTCAGTACGCTTCATTTGCGTCCATCCTTTCTCTGCTTCCAGCTTCAGAAAGAGCTCTTGAGTTTCTGGTAACCAGTCGTCTTGGGACGCAGTGGACATGGCCTCGTTTGGCGGGATGTACTCACGCACTCCTTGCCTGCTGTGCAATCAAGTCTAGGATTGATTCTTCATTTTTTCAAGCAAGCATATCTAAAACTAAGTTACACAAAGTGAATACAGATAAAAAGCAAACTGAAGGGTTTGTTTTTTTAGCATAAGCACTGAAACAAATTAAAGTCAAACGTCATAGTTGGGGTGGGGGTAGCACCATAAATGTGGCCAATTTACTGGACTACCTCCGTAAACATAGGCCACACATCCACATGTACAAAAACGTGTCGCACTTTGCCAAATTTTGATTTTCACATTTAGGCTTAGTTTGTAGGGTTTTTGCTTTAGAGCATATTCACCCTCTGTATGGAGGGGGTCGCACTAAACAGCGTCAACACAGCGTCAACACAGCGTCAACACATGACAGAAGCGTCAACACACCGTCAACACATCCAAAACACATTCTGAATTGACAAAAAGGGCATATAATTGTGAAACATACAATAAAAGAGAATTTCCATTGGATTGAGTTTCCATTTCGTTGTTAAAAATATCGTATTTTCACGCGAAAAAAATGACCTTAACTTGCACGGCCGTTGTCCGCCATCTTGACTTCGCACAAAGCTTGGACTACACCATTTCAAGTAGGGGTGTGTAGGTAATGACATTATCTTGTCATAAACAACAGAGGGCGCCTTGCTGCAGACTAGACAGAGGGATACCAGATCTGTGTGAGGACTAAGGATCGGAGGAGTGGTAGATCATTATTTTGTGAGTTGTGTTTATGTTTTGGTCTTTGCAGATATTTTTAACACTGGCGACCCCGGCCGCGTCCCTCTCTGTTGGTTTATTGTACAACGCTATCACCCTTTAGAATAATGGTATGGTCCGCGCTGCCACTGAGGCAACATGGCGGGTGTTCGGCAGCCGATTTCGGAGCGGCACGGAGAGCCTATTTTCTTGAACTAAAAATCGCGATTTTCAGACGTTTAACCTATTGATTTTAAGCACAAATTTTGTTTCTGTCCATACTGTATGGGTTACATACTGCTTTTGTCAATTTTAATGCATTTTGGATGTGTTGACGCTGTGTTGACGCTGTGTTGACGCTTTGGAGTGTGTTGACGCTGTTTAGTATGACCGCTCTGAGAGGGGTAGTATAGGCTAATCAGAAAGTGCTGCCTTTTTCAGATGTCTATTTTTCGTAAATAGTAGTCTCCGTAAATAGTAGTCCAGTAAACTGGCCACTAGTAGTAGTAGTAGTCCAGTAAATTGACCACAAAGGCCAAGTTCGGGCAAGGACCATTAGTCGACTAGTGGTTGATTTGTGACGTACCTTACGCCTGCGCAGTAATAGCAAAGTGCGAACGTCTCTAGTCGAACGCTGGTCAAAATGTCATTGCAAAACGTCTGGATCCTGGCTCCCCGCTGTACGTTATGAACGCCTGTGGCTATGGTTACCAGCGAAGCAACCAACCCCAGTAGGTTGGTTCCAAATAGTCGACTAGCGTAGTATAGTTAACCATCGTCGACTAGACAGAGTTCGGGCAAGCGTTAGTCGACCAATGGTTAACTAACTATAGTCCTTGCGCGAACTTGCCCATTTATGGGGCTAGGGGTGTCGTCGTAGTCGTAGCCCAATAATTTCTGATTCGCCAGCGGCAAGCCGGGCTACTTAAGAAAAAGTTTGACTAGCCCGCCGCTGTTCAGTGTTTGGACTGGTATTGCTGGCTAGCTAGCAGGCTAAATTCGAACCCTGAATATTATTAAATTAAGGGTCCCAGCTAGCATGGCTAGCTCAGCTCAATCAAATTGTATTTTGTAATAGCATAAATGCGGCTCAGAATATGAATTATTTCCTACGCACTCACCTTCAATTTGTGTGCGACAACGTGTGCGCGTTGCAAGCGTTACCTGCGCAGATAATGGAGGGTTGAGAAGTAGAAGTAGAAATCCTTTTTCGCGATTCGTCTTTTTATCAGCCGAGTCCACAGTGCAAATTGCTCCATGTTATCACTTATATCAGATTACATACATGGTGGTCATGGCCAAGTTCGGGCAAGGACCATTAGTCGACTAGTGATTGATTTGTGACGTACCTTACGCCTGCGCACTGATAGCGACGTGTCAAAATGTCATCGCAAAACTTCTGGATCCATGGCTCTCTGCTAGCGTTATGCATGAATGCGCGCGGCTATTGGTTAGCAGCGGAGCAACAAACCCCATAGGTAGTCTGGTTCCCAGACCAAAAGATTCCGACTATTCCTGATGAATCTTAAGGCTCTTAACTTAAGTACGGTGGCTGATTTCCGCCAAGAATACATTTTTTTTATTTATTACGGCGTTATAACGCCATAAATTATCGCGTTATAACGCCGTATTATCGCGATATAACGCGCTATTATCGCATTATAACGCGCTATTATCGCGATATAACGCGCTATATAGCGTTATAACGCCCTAATTTACCGCGTTATAACGCCCTAATTTATCGCGTTATAACGCGCTATTATCGCGTCATAGCTACATTAGCTGCACATGGCGTGCATGTAGTTTTTATATATCTATATTACTTTTTTGGTTACTATATTACTTTTTTGGTTACTATAGATTGCTAAGCAGACAGTAAATCTAAAAAAAAAATATGCTCAGCCTCTGACCATACACCCCTCCAAGCACCAGTCTTGCTTAAAAGCCTTACAATAGTTTATAGAGGTATAATATGTTTGGGTCATAGCTACATTAGCTGCACATGGCATGCATGTAGTTTTTATATATCTATATTACTTTTTGGGTTACTATAGATTGCTAAGCAGACAGTAAATCTCAAAAAAATTATGCTCAGCCTCCGACCATACACCCCTCCAAGCACCAGTCTCGAAGTTGGTTAGAGGGCTGAGGATAATTTTGGGGGAGATTTACGGTCTTGGTATTTTATCGAGCAATGTATAGTTACTACAAAAGTAAGAGGTTTTTCACCGGCAGCCACATGTAGCCACCTCTTTGTTATCATGCAGCAGGCCTAAGTAAGCGCCTCCTGCTCAATTAGCCTTTATGATTTAGATCACTTTGGTAAGCCACCCTTTTGTTAAAGCTCTGGATAAGAGAAACTCCAACCAGCAAGAGCATCACTGACCTATCTGTAAAGCGATTGTTAATTGTTATATAGTTTAATTATTACGCATGCATGTTTTCAGATATGTACGTTATTTAAAGTTACCCTTGTTAGTATATTCGAGTTACTTTGTAGTGTTTGCTGTTTTCTTCATCTCAGGAGTGTCAAGGTGAAGCGTGTTATTGTTTTGAAGCATATATCTGACCATTTGGTAACTTTCTTAACAAAGTCAGATACATGTTGAAGATAAGATTAAAACGGCGTTATAGACATTCCAGCTCACCGGGCATTGTCTTCACTGTATTTTGCTATTTCCATCAAATAAGAATTTTGTGCTCAGTGTTAGTTTAATCCGGCACAACAAAGGGACTTGAAAGCTGTTAACGACGTAGGGAAGTAAAATATAAAAAGTGGTTGATAAAACGTTTACAATAACAAAATCGACAAACAGCCGAGGGGTAGCACTGAAGTGAACAGAAACTGTCCACAGAAACAGGGTTTCTCGATCCATTATGCATATGCGCCAGCTCAGAGCTAGCCTGGTCCATATAGTGACATTCCAATTTCAGAAAGAGACAAGAGGTCCTCAATCATAAAATCGTTGATAAATCATACATAAACAATAACAAAAGACTGGATCTGTTAAACACAAGCATATATTTATTCTTAAAACACTTTGTAAATAATTTGTAAACCTGTAAACTTATTTCCAAGAGATTCAAAGCTTCCTTTTTATCTCAAATCTGTTACAAATTTATTTAAACCTCGATAGCTCTCAGCCGAAAATATACTGTGGATGTAGGCCTAAGTCCTATTTTGGACTCAGCTCGCAGTGTCATTTCTACATGACCAGGGGTTACCTCTACGCCAACCCACTGTCTTTCCTTTGTAGGGCCTATACACAAGATAAAGTTCAGTGCAGGATCTTGTGTTTCTTTATTTTGTTATTATATTTATAATAATCAATGGGCTCAAGTTGGTTGTGTGAGGCAACATGTACAAGTACATACATGGTTCGCCTTTATAGTAGCATTCGCTAGTCGTTTAATTTTAGCATACACTGCAATTGAGGCTACTTTGGGTAGGTACCGTACTGTTTTGTCTCACAAGCCCTTTCAACTTCATCCCACAAGCACTTTAAACATCGATTTCTCTTGTAACATGTTCCCTGAGGTTAATGTACAAGTTCATCGCAGCTTCAGGATTTCTAGGATCTTCCCATCCGTTGGTAATGAGTGATTGACAACAGTATTCAAATAACTCCCGATCACATGGAAATCGATCCTTGAAGTTGCATTCTTCTCTGCACAAGTCAATTCTCTCTTGTTCCACGGGTTTGAGATGATCCCTGGTTCCATAGACCTCAGGTAGCTGGAACATGAGCAGCGGTCGTCCATGGGTCACATGCTCTTGCTTCGATTTCCTGATCAAGTGTCCATCCCACACCTCTGCAACTGCGTCGAGATCACCCTGCAAAAGATGTGCAGACTAAGGCGTAAGACATTCTTGATTAATTAAACCATAATCGACGATTGAACTCCATTCTAAACGTACTAATCGCCGTCTCTTTCGAAGATTTACCCCATCTGGGTCAAGCTCCAACAACGTCCTTCTCACAGTTTCTCTGCTGGCAACCATGCCTGCTTGTAATAACTTGTGATGCATCCAACGATAGCCATGTAATTCGCCCGATGCCTGCAGTTGCCTTTCGATAAATCTTCTTACTTGGGCCATGTCAGTTTGATTTTTATGACGATATAACTCCAGGCGCTGAAGTTCTCTTTGCAGCTGACGAACACTCAGATTGATGTTATAACGGGACGTTAAAGTTGCCGCAATTTCCACTTGAGAATATCCAAGTTTAAAATATTTCTTGATCAGTTCATCCATGTCATCCATCTTCAAGTACAAAGTGCGCTAGTTTAAATTGGAAAAATTATGTTCACGGTTAGGTTACAATACTAACCATTCTATGAGGATGAGAATGACAAGGAGTGACGATGCCGTGGCGATGCGGTGGCAATAAAGGCTGTAATAACATGATCGCGTTGTTGTGAGAATTCAGAAGAACGGTGCATGGCGAAAAATACGAGGTTCCCGTTCAAAATCACTTAAACAGTACAATGTAAGCACGATAATAGCGCGTTATAACGCGATAAATTAGGGCGTTATAACGCGATAAATTAGGGCGTTATAACGCGATAAATTAGGGCGTTATAACGCGATAAATTAGCGCGTTATAACGCGATAATAGCGCGTTATAACGCGATAATACGGCGTTACAACGCTATAAATTAGGGCTTTATAACGCGATAAATTAGGGCGTTATAACGCGATAAATTAGCGCGTTATAACGCGATAATAGCGCGTTATAACGCGATAATACGGCGTTATAACGCTATAAATTAGGGCTTTATAACGCGATAAATTAGGACGTTATAACGCGATAAATTAGGGCGTTATAACGCGATAAATTAGCGCGTTATAACGCGATAATAGCGCGTTATAACGCGATAATACGGCGTTATAACGCGATAAAATTATTTATCGCGTTATAACGCCGTAATAAAAAAAAATGTATTCTTGGCGGAAATCAGCCACCGTAGATTACGCCTCTTCCTATTAAACACATAAACAGTACAATGTAAGGACGATAATAGCGCGTTATAACGCGATAAATTAGGGCGTTATAACGCGATAAATTAGCGCGTTATAACGCGATAATAGCGCGTTATAACGCGATAATACGGCGTTATAACGCGATAAAAAATTTTATCGCGTTATAACGCCGTAATAAAAAAAAAAATGTATTCTTGGCGGAAATCAGCCACCGTAGAAATCAGCCACCGTACTTAAGATATCGCGTATAGGAATACCCGCGTATAGCTGCAATTCAAAACAATTCAAAACATGATTCGGTAACTTTTGATTTGAAATTGAGATCCTAGAATGCTGTTTTTCTCGAAATATACAGCCGAAGCTTAGCTGAAACTTCATCAGGTTAGTTGTTCAGTATCCTTCATTAGATTTTGAACACTATTGTTGCTTCAAACGAGCAAAATGCACAAATTACAAATGATGGACTATATTGTTGATGTACCCTAACGTGGTGCGGCCCCCAACGTGGCGCACTTTGATTTTTCGCCTGTAGCGCCTAGCTAGAGCAAAAGTTTTAACTGAAATTTCACAGAAAGTGACATTTCATCAAGTTCTAAACACTCCCGTTCATAAATCGCGAGTTTATTTACCCGTTACAAAGTTAGAAGATAAACTTATTTTGGCGTGATTTTCCGATTTTATTTTCAAGTGCAAAGTGAACACTTTGAAAATGCCCCGAAAAAATAAGAAAATAATTTTCTGACAAACATCTGGCTGTGTATGTAAGTAGAGATAATAATGATTTATCAGAATTTATCAAGTTAACAGAAATTCTTAAATGTTAATTTGGAATTTTCCGAGATTTATTTAAGTGCGCCACGTTAGGGAACACTCCGCGAATTTGTGCCCAATTTCCGGTCGCCACCGTTTTTGAATTTCGGATTAAATTTTATGAAACCGAAATTGTTCACAGAGGTTAAATAGCACGCATTAATAAGGTAAAAGTACCAGTATGTTACTGCATGAATTTGAAGTTTGTCAACAAATAGGTTTGGTAACACTACTCGAGGAAAGTTGGGTAAGCTTCGAAGTGCGCCACGTTAGGGAACACGACTATATCTTTAAGCCTCTGTTGAGCACTATCATCAGAATTGTTCGCTCTAATTGTTTTTTAATTTGATTTCCACCACCACTAATAAGTTATTGAAACACAGGACTTAATTAAAATGAAGAAAATAACTGTTAGTCACTTTATTCCATACGTTTTGTACCATTGACAACAATGATTGATCAAGTAAAAATATAATACAAAGATATGGATAGCCTAGTTTAAAAACAATGGTTCCCGGATTAAAAAAAGGGCATAACTTTAAAAAAAAATCCTTCTTTGCGTTCACCTTTTATTTAACTGTAAATTTACTGACCCTACACAATCAGAAAAACAACTGTCCCACATTTAAAAACCGGCTTAAATTATTATTAAACATGATTGTAGATATTTGTAAATATGCACATAATTTAATTTTCTAAGAAAAAAAAGCTTTGTAATAAATACAGTTTTTAGATGAACATGTTTTGAGGTTTGTATAATTCAAGTTTTGTATTTTTTTAAGCACCTTTTGGTAAACATCAGCTGCATCTTAAATAGTCAAGAGCAGTACTTCAATCTTAGGCCAAAAAAAAACAATACTCCGGTCTCTGGTCAGCGCGCCCGTCGATTTTAACCATGCGCGTCAACCTTTTTTCTTCTTCAAATTAACACAGAAGCTACAACAGCGCCCTCTATTGCCGCACCTCCTCAAATTTTTGTACCAAGGAGTACCAAGGAATGGGGAAATTGCACCAAGGCAAATGATAAAGGGCACCAAGGCAAATTATGGAAAACACCAATGTATAATGAGGGCACAAAAGAGCAAAATATTACGCACCTTGTCTGTACAATTCAAGATTGAAAAAAAAAAAAACCCGCGTCGCCGCATCAATTCCGGAACTTCGGTCTTAGCACCATTTTTTAAGCCCTAAATTACCACACGATTTTTTTTGTACGAAGTGGCCACTCACCATTGGTTAGGCACACTTTTAAAGATGTACCCGTATTCGATGTTCATCGTGCTGAGTGATGATACTATTTAAAGGAAGATATTCATAAGGCACCTTTCAAAATATCGACGCTGTTATAAAAATGACGCCAATGCTGACATGACTTAAGAACGCGTGTCAAAAAAACTTTTGAAGTTGGTATTTTGAAAAAAATGTAATGAGCATGGACTGTACAATTGCATTGCTTAATAGTGCATGAACGTAAAATGTCCCCAAAAATTAAAAAGGAAGCCGAGTTCATCTGGAATGATTTGCAGCTGGCAAAGATTGAGATTTCTGACATCCTACTCACTTAATGTCAGAAGTTACATGTACAGTCGACTCTTTTTAATACAAACTCAGTTGGACCTAGCCAAAATGTTTGTTGTATCAGAATTTTGCATTGGGTGGAGTGCTGGTCCTGTTTATTGTGCACATAAATGCACAGTCAGGATCAAGGCTTTATGTTTGCTATAACATGAATTGTTATGATGTCATCTTTTCCTTCAAACAAAGTTTCTCTTAACGACGGCTTCTGACTAGCACCCTTTTTCACAAAGACATTGACAAAATGGGGAACCCCCAACATACAGCTGGCCATGGGCGTCGCGAGGGGGGGGCAAGGGGGGGCACTTGCCCCCCCCCCCTGGAAAACCAAAAAAAGGAAGAAAAAAAGAAAAGAAAAAAAAAGAAAAAGAGGCGCAAAGACAAAGTGGTGTAAATTTAATGAGTTGGGGGGGGCAAAATGTCCCTGCCCCCCTCTAAAACTGATAAATCGAGAATGTGTTGAGAAATACAAGCATTTTTTGGCAAAAAATCTTTTTGCCCCCCTCTAGAAAAAATCCTGGCGACGCCCATGCAGCTGGCTAGCTCAGTTGGTAGAGCACCAAAACGGCAATGCGGAGGTCACATGTTCAATCCCCACTCCACTCGATGTCTTTGTTCAACTTTTCAAACAAATATTAATTCATTTAAAATTATGAGATTACCAGAAAACTTATATAGGCCCAAGTCATTGGAACTGAAAAGATTTTGTCGCCCAAAAAATTGTAATTCGGAGTTCACAGGTTCAATACCCACTACACCAAACTTTTCGCTCATCTTTGGCCAAGTTCGGGCAAGGACCATTAGTCGACTAGTGGTTGATTTGTGACGTACCTTACGCCTGCGCACTGGTAGCAACGTGCGAACGTCTCTAGTCAAACGCTGGTCAAAATGTCATCGCAGAACTTCTGGATCCTGGCTCTCTGCTAGCGTTATGAATGCGCGCGGCTATTGGTTACCAGCGAAGCAACCAACCCCAGTAGGCTGGTTCCAAATAGTCGACTAGCGTAGTCAACCATCGTCGACTAGACAGAGTTCGGGCAAACGTTAGTTAACCATTGGTCAACTATAGTCCTTGCGCGAACTAGGCCTTTGTACCCAGCCACCGCACCTCCCCCCCCCCCCAAAAAAAAATTATAATTAAGTTACCAAAAAAGAATACACAATTTAAAATTACTGGTCGGAGGCAAAAGTCAATGAAACAGAATTGCATCACAAAGTATTATCCCTGATTTAATGAAATTCATTTTCATAATTTTGAATTTGCAGCATCTATCCACAAGGCTCGGCAATCTGAATAAACCATGGTCTCATCTTGACTTTTGAGACTCGACGTCAGGAACATCTTTTTCCCCTCCATCTTTTCTATCTTCGCCTCCATCAAGATGGGAGATCTCACTGGAATTGGCCTGTCAACAAAATCAAATCAAGACAAAAATATGGCAATAATTTCACAAAATTCCCTTTTAAAGGGGATTACCCAGAAATGGACCTACGGACATCATGAGAAAAACATTTCTCAAAGTGAAGATGAGCATGGTACTAACTACATGTACCGTGTGAAATTATTTTGCATGAAATGGTGTCGTTCAGAGGAAAACATCATTGAATGTGCTTTGAAAAGTGTGCCCGCAGATTGCAGTAGGCCCAACCATGGGCGCTTTTGAGGAAATCCTTGGTTTCATTACCAGAAATAAATTACAATACATACGACACTTACCTCATGAAGTTGATATGGATGTACGCTGTGAATGCAAGCTTGGCGCCCATGTTAGTGGCTAGTACAGCTGTTGTGCTGTCGTGCATTGTAGCGATAGCACCGGCGTGTACCCACCTTAGCAAGTCAAAAAGAAACGCAAGCTCTTCTAATAGCCAGAAGTGGATAGATGAATATAAACTTATGTAGAAATACAAGATAGGAGTCTCGATATGACTATAGTCTGTAATATTTGCATGAACACTGCAAACGCAAGCCAGCGTCCAACTTTATGGGTAGTACCTTAATTTAATCAAAATAGTGCACTAATCAACATAATTATTTCTCATTCTTGTAAGGACTCCAGTGATGTGTGCCTTGGACTGAGGATTTAAGTTACTGAAACTAATGTAGTCAATTGCTGAAGGGAGGGCATTAGTCAGCATTTCAAAATTTGCCTTAAATTGCAAAAAAAAAGAAGACATCATGTGATCATATTGTTTTTAAACGTAATGAGATGTTCAAATTAGCCTACAAAGAAGTCCAAAAGTTGGTCAGATACCTTCTTAAGCTTTGTTTGCAGTGACCAGGCATGCAACTTTTCCTTGGATCCGCTGATTTCTTGGGTTTTTTTTTTTATTTCTCATGAATGCCATTACAAATTGAAAAATACTGTGCAAAGTCTTGTGTGGTTTTTTCCTCGTTTTTTTCTAAATTCCCAGTTGCATGCCTGAGTGACTCGAGGCAAGTCAAGGATCCGAAAATTGTAACTGGTCTTCGAATCAAGTCTTTTCGAGTTAAGAGTTATTGACTTAAGTCAATACAAATGGCTCACACCCACCACAGAGCACAGCTTATGCTGCATCCAGTACTAGGCTACGGCGTGCAATTTACACATACATCCATAGACACGTGTGCTCCTGCCAGCCTTAGCCCCATAAATGTGGCCAATTTACTGGACTACCTCCGTAAACATAGGCCACACGTCCACATGTACAAAAACATGTCGCACTTTGTCAAATTTTGATTTTCACATTTAGGCTTAGTTTGTAGGTTTTTTTGCTTTAGAAGCATACTTACCCTCTTTATAGGCTAATCAGAAAGTGCTGCCTTTTTCAGATGTCTATTTTTCGTGAAATTTCCAGATTCATTTGCACACATTTGCGTATCAAAATTTCAACATGAAATTTCACAAAATTAGACATCTGAAAAAGGCAGCACTTTCTGATTAGCCTATAAAGAGGGTAAGTATGCTTCTAAAGCAAAAAAAACCTACAAACTAAGCCTAAATGTGAAAATCAAAATTTGACAAAGTGCGACATGTTTTTGTACATGGTGGATGTGTGGCCTATGTTTACGGAGGTAATCCAGTAAATTGGCATGGGGCTAGCCAGCCTTAGCTAAGTAATGTGGACACAGCCTTACCCTCTGAGAAGTCCATTAGTCTCATCGCTGAACTGACAGACACCGCGCAGCTTGCGTTCCCCCTCGTACAAGAATATCGCAAAGTGAAAGGCCTGGCCCTTGGCCGTTCGGATCCTGGTAAAGGTGTGGTCCAAGGTCTGATGGTCCGCGTCAGTACGCTTCATTAGCGTCCATCCTTTCTCTGCTTCCAGCTTCAGAAAGAGCTCTTGGGTTTCTGGTAACCAGTCGTCTTGGGACGCAGTGGACATGGCCTCGTTTGGTGGGATGTGAGAACTCACACGCTCCTTGCCTGTTGTGCAATTAAGTCAAGGATTATCGTTTCGGTTTGCGGTAACACCATGTGGTAATAACTACTGCTTAGAACATATTAGTTCTGAGAATAACTTGTCCTGCTTATTATCAACTTTTCTAAGTAGTTTTTGTTCTGTTAAGAACAGTCCTGCTGTAAGTTCTATACGAACTTGTCTTTGGTCTCAAGTCAAGGATTGATTCTTCATTTTTTCAAGCAAGCATATCTAAAACTAAGTTACACAAAGTGAATACAGATTAAAAGCAACCTGATGTTTTTTTTTAGCATAAGCACTGAAACAAATTAAAGTCAAACGTCATAGTTGGGGTGGGGGTGTCATAGCCCCATAAATGTGGCCAATTTACTGGACTTATCTCCGTAAATAGTAGTCCAGTAGACTGGCCACTAGTAGTCCAGTAAATTGTTCCTTTAACTTGTCAATGTTCACAACTTGGCCTGACTTTGTTGCATCACGCAATTCAGTCAACATTTTGCAGTAAGGAAGCAAACCTTTGATAACTTGTTTTTGGATTTTCTGTAAGATCACGTCCTTGGATCTAGCTGAGGCGGGGATGGTTCCCCAAAGTTCACTGTCTATTCTGGGTGCCGACACGGCTACCGCATTTGACGGTGTAACGTATTTTTCTGCAATTTTTGCATACGTCTCTTTCTTGATTGGCAAAGTTACCGCTTTTACAGCTCTTTCTGCTAGGTTGCTAAATATCTCGGGGCCAATAGCCTCACTGCCATTGTAAATATCTTCACTTGGAAGAACGTCAAAATCAGCTTGCGCTGTAATGGCTTGGTTATCTGCCAGTACACTGGTCAGATCAAACTCAGATTGAGCTGGGTCGTATGCCACAGCTTCCTGGTTTAGTAGCTCGTCTACAAACTCCTCGTCGTATAGAGCCGAGACCGTGACCTCAAACTGGGGTGGACTACCAGCGGAGTTGCTGGGGCCGGCGTGCTTCGCACGTCCGGAAAAGTCACGGGAATGAACCGCTGGTGCCAGCATCTCTTGCATGGCATTAACAGAAGCCGATACCTTCTGGATACCGTCGGCATTGGCATGTAACCGAGCATCGATGTCCCGGCGAGAACTAGGCTTACCTTGGCCTGGTTGGAGTGATTTAATGTCGTCTTCGGACGAGTCAGTATTCATTATTGCAATGAACAAGGAGCTGAACTGTTCAGCTCTGTCCGCTATGCCTATCACACGAAGAAAAGATGCTGGCTCCTAATTTCAGCCGGGGTTTATATACCCATGCTGCACTACTCATTTGAATTACTATAGATTCTTTGCATGTATTGTGTGATCTGCATGCCTGGCTCCTGAAAGGAATGCATACCCTCTGAAGACTTGTACAAAGTGTTATGTAATAGAATACCGGTGTACGTGTCCTTGCCTTATTGAAGCCCCGCCTACACTTATCTGTATTCGCATACGAGGTCGTGCGCTAGAAATCCAGCGCAAAATAAAGAAAAACATAAGCTAAATTTTGCCGACGATTGAACCAAGGCGCCAGATTGGGTCCAACTGATTTGCATAGAAATGGTGGCCGCGTGAGGTCGCTGTTCGCGCTGTATTTTTAATGCACCGCATGCATAGCGCTAGCGAGGATATCGTTTATACCGCGCTACGGCCGGGATGAATAACAACTAGCGCCTTGACCAAGGCTATAGTGACCATCACACAAACCTTCGCACCGCACAAACAGAACAAGTACAATGTACATGTACAAATGTACTTTGGTGCCGTTCACACGTGAGCCGATGTGTGGCAATTAGTGACCTCCGTGCATGGTTGCGGTGAATTTTCTGATCGAGCGGCTCCATAACTAGTGTATTCCCAAGTCGGTAAGTTTCTTTCCTAAAGTTAATTTAATTTCAACAGAGAGGCTTGTATATTGATTAGGTGAGACTTTTCCCTTTTATTCTCAAGTTACTCGAAGTTAGCAAAGAACTTATACTGGTCGACGTCACGACTAGCTACACCGGTTGAACAGTGTAAACCTACTGGAGTCGTTTCGCCAAACCGACCGCGCGAAACGTTAGGGTATAGTTTCTTGAAATTGGTGTCAGCGTAGAGCTTCCGTTTGCTACATTCGATTTTTTTTACGGGCTGTCTTCATTACAAAACAAAAGAATAACTGCATGTCGAAGCTTTGAAAAATCGTAAGTTCTTGTATCTTGCATGTTTATATTGTGCTTGTAATCACAGGTAAGCGTATGGGCATAGTTTTCAATGAAAACCATATTCAATTATTGACAATAATTTTTAAATAACGGAGACGAAGATGCACCCTTACAGAAATGTCCCATGGGGTCCCATGGGATTCCCATGGGATTCCCATGGGACCCCCGGTGGTCATCAAGAACATGCATGTTATAGTATGGAGATAGCATGGACACCATGGGAATACCATGGAGTTTTTATGAGCTCCATGGGAACATCATGGGGATTTTATGGACACATTGGGAACACCTTAAGGATTCATGCCAAGCCAAGTTCAGTTGGCCGGGGACCGTCTTACTGATATGAGCCGAATCTGTCGCCAACCGTGGTATCAGAAATGTAGGATTGCCGCCCCTAATTTGCTCAAAGTCAGGACAATTAAAAATCAGGGTCCGTTTGTTTTCGATGTTGTGTTATGATTTGACGAATAACGAGTGGCCCCACTCCGCAGGCTTGTTTGATGGTTGAACCATGGAGGAAGGAACACCTTCCTTCCTCCATGGTTGAACGGACAGATTCAATTATTTGCAAGGCTTTACAATTGAAAGCCGGAAACAGTTTGCATATGGCCCATGTGCTTGACCTTGGTATTAAAACGTGTGGTAAATAAATTATGTTTGAGTGTGTGCACTGCAGTTCGTGAGTTGTTAACAATTATTGTCCTTCCTCCCCCATCCCAAGTTACAAAGCTATAGGCCTACGGACTCAAATGCCCTCGATCATATTATGATCATATCTGCAAACTTTACAAACTTGCGGGGAAAAAAAAGCTATTATTATAGGTTTACGGACTGGTAGCCGTAGTCACCGTGATTATCATGTCATCAAAGATAATAACAAGTACAAAGTTTTGAAACAGGCGCTTGTAATACTTCTTGATGTTTTGTAATCCCTGTTCAAAACGTTCAGTGGTGGATTTATTTCCAGAAACCACGGAATTTTGTGACGGAAATCTAAATGGATTCACACAAAATAAAAGGGAATAACCAGTTCCAAATTGTATATATTACTTTTAAAAAGAAAGAAAAATATAGAATGGGGATTTAATATGATCCATGAGCCGGGGTCCTTGTCATTATTCAATGAATGGGGACCTGTCCAGATCGTAAACAGGCCCAACTTGGTACAACAAACAAATCAAAAGCGTCACACACAAAAACTGCTCTAATCTCTTATCCAGTCATCCGCTCGAGAAACCTTTGGTTTGACTTCGAGAATTATGACCTCGTCCTCTAAGAGCCACTGGGATTGGCTGCCGGAGACGGAGGAGTTGTTCTCCAAGCTGGAGGCGGAGCCAGGATGGAGTCAGATGAGGAGCACGAAGACTGATAAACAGATGAAGTATCTCTACTCCCGTGTGGTGACAGAGAACGGGCCGGTCATCCACTTCGCCCTGTTCCTGCACGACAAAGACGGCAAGCTCCGCGGCTTGTGCCAGTTTGGGGAAGACGCCAACGGATTGATAAAGGGGTAAGTCAGCAAGGGCGGATCCGGCGCGAAGTGGTTAAGGTAGACACCCCCCCCCCCTCCCCTTCAGATGTAATAATCCCAAGTGTTCCTCGATCAAAGTCATTATTATCAATCAGTCATTTGACTGATCAGATTGAAAATCTTCTATATTTCTTGATTCCTTCTAAAATGGCAGCAAACCAGACGAAATCATTTCACGGGGTGTTTAGTACCAGTGCGATGTTTAATCCAAGTAAGCTTTTTGATAATAATTTGGTAGGTTATTTTGGAGGTAAATTTATGATCGAATATGCATTTACAACCAGCAGACGAAATCGATTCGTGACTCTGGTCGGCATTATGTCCATAAGGGAATGCCCGAAAAACCGAGGCGAATTGAGCTGAGACTATACAGGCCGAGTGACGAACACTCCCCTGTTAGTTAACATAAAGAGTATAGTCTCCTCTCATTTCGCACAGTTGCTTCGCCATATTTCGGACGATAATATTTTCATTGGTTAGGATTTCTTCCACTTCTGTCTTCGGTACTAAATAGGGCGGTTCATGGAGGCGCTATTGCCACGATGCACGATACAACGACGGGCGTGCTAGCCACCGACTTGGGAAAGAAGAAAATGTACACAGGATACCTCAATACTACATTCAAAAGGTTTGTGGCGAAAAATATTACAGAATGGGCTTATATAACTTTTATAAGCGTCATTTGTTTCCCGAAACTTTTTTTGTATAATATAGTTTTATAGAAAAAAATTGACAACTAATTAACGTGTCAACATAAAGCAGCTCATTTCAAAGCAAACTCGCTTTGGCATTTGCATCCGTGCCTTAATTTACGCAACAAAATCGCTTATACATGTACATGTATATAGGAAATCTCGATGCCAACGCGATTTTGTGAGGTTAGGCCAAATTAAAAAAACAACATGTTTAGCGCCCCCGCCCGCTTCCTTTTTGGAGGTCGCCTCCTCTCTTTTTTTAATTGGAAAAACAAGCCGAAAAAATGATAAATTTTGAATAGTGACATCATTTTGGCCTCTTTGTCTGTTGCATCTAGCCCATATAAAGCTGGTATGCCATTTCCTGAGTCCAAGTAGCGGCCATTTAAAGAAAAAAAGATGGCGGCCATCTTGAAAAATAGCCTGGCCGGGAGTGTTTTGGAAAATGGGTTGGGTGGACATTTTCGGGAAAAAAGGGTCTCCTCCTTCCTTTTTGTTTCAAAAATGCAGGACACTAAACATGTTTTTATTTGGCCTAAGGGAGAGTTTTTGCCCTGCAATTTCGAAAAAAGTTGAACACATTTCCGCTGACGAATTGTGCTGCGAATGTTTCGTGAACTCGTCAAATTCACTAACTTCAAATTCACATTCTCGTAAAGTATGAAGTTTAAACCGACCTTCATCATTCATGTTTTCTACATTTTTTCGGATTTGTTGTTTCCTTGCCGTGCGTGAGTTCTAGTGACGTCACAAATTCACGTTTAGTTGGTAACTGAATAATTACAGAATTTAAGACCGGGGCTTGTTTAATTGTGTTTTCTTGTAGGCCAACTCCCGTGAGATCGGCAGTTCTGATGGAGGCCGTTATCGACAAAGTGGAAGGCAATAAGACGTTCTTGAAGGGATATCTGAAGAGCCCAGACGAGCAAGTTGTTTATTCGGAATGTACCGCTTTGTATATAACCGCTGAAAAGCCTTCGGGGAGTAACATGTAGACGTAATATAAAGTAAACTCAAACACGTTTTTGAGCGAAGCATGCAGTGTTATCTTATTGATTTTTATCTATCAAACAGCAGACTTTGCTTTGTTTTTTAATTGTCAATGCGTCAGTTTATATGAATGAACAAAAACATGTAATGAACTTAACTATATAATGCCGGCTCATATTAATGGCAATAAATGGTGTATAGGCATAATCCAGCGGGGAGATGGGGGCGGGGGTGGGCGGCGAGAGTGCCAGCACTTATTTTAAAACCCGTTGAAGAATAAATTGAATATGATTTTAGGAAATACAGTGTACAAATCGCGAAAAATTCAATTCGAATTCGAGTCACTTTTAATGGAACAAAAATAAAGCACTCTTTGTGGAGACAACATTTCAAGAAAAATACATTGCACTGATTTGAAATTTGCCTCCCATTATTGACTGTGATATACGAGACAATGCATTTGAAATTGGACAGAAACAGTTGAAGAAAACAAATTATACAACAAAAACTACAGTGTGTAAGGGCGCTCCCGACATTTTACCGACCGCAATTTCTTCCAAAAGAGGGCGCGCTACACAAACACTGGTCACCACCGTAAAGACTTCATTCAACTTGGATCACGATCTGCCAAAAGAAGTCGGCATAAAATTAAAAACACACTTTGTGGGGACGATAACTCAAGAACAACACAGTGCACTGAATTAAAATTTCGTTCAACAATTGTTCCGGATATAGGACAAAAATGTTATGAAAGTCAAAGGGAACCCTTGAAGAATAAATATGATATGATTTAAAGAACATACAGTTATTAATCGCCAAAAATTTAATCCGAATTCAAGCCACTTTTAATGGAACAAAAAAGAAGCCCACTTTGTGGAGACGATAACTCGAGAAAAACACATTGCACTGATTTGAAATTGCCTCCCATAATTGACTGTGATATTTGAAACAACATATTTGAGATTCGACAGAAACCGTTGAAGAATAGAATTAATACACCAAAAACAAAAACTACAGTGTGTAAGGGCACTCCCCGGTCCCGTACATTTTACCGACCTCAATTTCTTCCAAAAGAGGGCGCGCTACACAAACGCTGGTCACCACCGTAAAGACTTCATTCAACGTGGAGCAATATCTGCCCAAACGAAGTCGGCATATAGTGAACAAAAATAAAGCACACATTGTGGAGACAATAACTTGAGAACAACATAGTGCACGGAGTTGAAATCTCGTTCAATATTTGTTCGGAGTATAGGACATAAATCTTTTGAAAATCGACGGGAACACTTGAAGAATAAATTTAATATGATTTAAAGAAAATACAGTTTATTCAATCGCGACAAATTCAATCCGAATTCAAGCCACTTTTAAATGGAACAAAATTGAAGCCCACTTTGTGGAGACAATAACTCAAGAATAACACAGTGCACTCAACCTCGTCCCCAGTGCTTACTTTATTTCCAACTGCGTTTCCGAGAGCAGGTAGTGGTGGGCGCGTACTGCTCGACACCCTGGGGACGAGGTTGCAGTGCACTGAATTGAAATTTCGTTCAATAATTGTTTGGGATATAGGACACAAATGTCTTGAAAATCATTGGGAACCCTTGACGAATAAATTAAATATGATATAAAGAATATACAGTTTATTAATCCCGAAAAATTCAATCCAAATTCAAGCCACTTTTAATGAACAAAAATGAAGAATGAATAATTGATTGTGATATTCCAAAATAACAATATAAATCTTTTAATTATGAGGTCAACGTTTGGAGTATTGTAATTTGTTTTGGACCTCAAAAAAGTTTTGAAATCAAGGTGCATGCGATGGAGCCGAGCGGATAAGCGGCCGAGGTTTGGTAACCCCGTCCCCGATCTTGGAACGTGTCGGTCACACCGCCGAATTTCCACTTCGCCGACAACCACTTCGCTGACAACCACTCCGCCGAATTGCCACTTCGCCGAATTGTTACTTTGCCGAATTACCACTTCGCCCATTTGCCACTTCGCCCAAGCGTCATCGTCTCCACTGTAGCGGTCAGTGGCTCGGGGGCGAACGCATAATTGTTGGCGCTTCCCAAAAAAGAAGGCACACTTCAATGTTTTACCCCGACTTTCCTCATCAGTGTTGTTTTTGCCAAACTTTTTTGTTGTCAAACTTCAAATGAAGTACTACACCTCATTGCAAACTTCTGTTCGGTGACATGAAATTTAGTCAGAAATTCTAAAAACGGTGGCCTCCCGGCGGAAATCAGGCAGAGTGTTTTCTAACGTGCATGACGCACTTGACTAAATCTTGGAAAATTCCGTAAATTTGATATATTCTGATAATAAACCAATATTATCGCCACTTACATACCCAAACCCCAACTGCAAGTTTGTCAGAAATTATTATGGGTTTTTTTTTTGGGGGGGGGGGCATATTCAAAGGTTCACTCAGTGCACACCAAATTTAAAATCGGAAAATCACGCTTTACTTTCTTTGCTAACTTTTTTTGTAACCGGGTATAAACTCACGAGTGAAAGGAAGTGAAAGGGTGTGTTTAAAACTTGGTGAATTTCACTTTCTATGAAATTCCAGTAGTTAGGCCTAAAGGCACTTTAAAGACATCTCGTGGGTTTGGATAGGGGAATGACCATTTTAGTTGGGCAAACACACCCCCAAATTTCATGGCCTCCGCAATTTTCACAGACTTAGAGCTCGTTCTCATCTCATATTAGCTATAGCTCTATACGGGTGTATGCAAACTACCAAAACCTAAAAATTAGTGCGCGCGAGCGCATTAATATTTTGTTATCCCACGCGGCCTTAACTAGAACTTGGGGCATTTTGTAGAACATTTTCTGGAGATCAAGCATTTGTGACTTAATATGGCTACCAACTTGGGGAATTTCGTTTACAAATAGCGTTAACTTGTGGGCCTATTTTGCATAATATTACAGAGGCGGGGCTACATTTAAACCTTGGCCTAGAGACTGACAACCACTTTAGGGGCGTCCTGGGGGAGGGGAATATTAAGAAAAAATAACTGACCCGGTTACCACTAATAAAATTAAAAACGAACAACTTCCTGGGGGGGGGGGCGCAATCTTTAATTTCCAGCAAAAAAAAATAATAATACTTTGCCGCCTTGCTTCTATTAAAACGTCACCTGGAGGCGCTGACGTCCAGTGTCCCATTTTGTGTTGTTGTTCGGCGAAGTGGTAATTCGGCGAAGTGGTAATTCGGCCAAGTAATTCGGGGATGTAATTCGGCGAAGTGCAAAATCGGGGAAGCGACTGGGTACATAGCGCCCTCTATAATTATTTTCCCCAACCAAGGAGACTCTCCACGGCCGGCCGGCCACGCGTTTCGTTTCGTCATGTTCGTCGCTGGTCCTGCAACTGCATATTCGGAGGATTGGGTAAATCTGCCTTTCACCACTTTTATTTACTTAATGTTTATGCCTACAATTAATTAGGGATGGAGGTATTGGGTAACTGTCGCAAGAGTCATCAGGTCATAGAGAATACAGGTCAACTCGTACGCGAACCAACTCGTACGCGACCAACTCGTACGCGGGTCAATTCGTACGCGAACCGACTCGTACGCGGACCGACTCGTACGCGGACCGACTCGTACGCGGACCGACTCGTACGCGGACCAACTCGTACGCGTGAGTTTAGACGATTGGTTTAGCTCACATGGACAGATGAAATTAGGTTCGGTACGGTAGGTCGGCATAATTTTACCTTTTTCTGAAAGGTTGAGATTTTCAAATTAAATGTAGTTGATTTTTGAATCCGCCAGTGCTACTTACATTCGCGATTTTTTAGAGAAGAATTCTGCGGTTTTTTTTTTTTTACAAGTTCGCTTGATTGATTGGGAAGTTGTCTTCGCGATAACCAGTATGTATAAAGAATGCTAGACCCGTGAACGTGGCTATATACATAGCCACGCTTCAGTCTATAGTAAAAACACTCTATTGTGATCCGCTGTTACTAAAATGGAGTGACCGTTCTAGCCGAATTTCGGCTACATTTGACAGAATATTTGCATACAAAAATGAGTTGTACATAAAATCAGCAGAATATTTTTTCGGCAGAATTATGAAGATGAAGGAAAATAAAAAAGATTGGAAAGAAATATGGCACATTTGGTTTGAAAAACCTTCTTTTTTTGAAAAATCCTTAAAACAAACCCTTGCACAATGGAACAGCAATATAAACTGGGTGATTTGGCAGACTTTCGAAATGGATTTAGCAGAATTTTACAAGGTATTACGGTCATCTGACATTTAGTCGGGTACCAACTGGTGATACTCCTACCGTTTTGCGCATGCGGAAGTCAAGGTACCAGAGTGTCATGCCTGTCTCTGATTTCCTGATCATTTTGAAAACATTCGTTGTGACAAAGTTGTGCCGTACTTTACATCAAATTTCTTGGCAATGACAGATCCAACACTCGCGGAAATTTACAGGAGACCCAACAAGTAAGTGATTCACATATTGGCGAAATTATACATGGTTATATGTAGCGGATCAAAAGATAGAATGCTGTCGCTAGCATTTACCCGACGGAAGCGCGTGGCGTTGTATACAACGCCACGTTCACGGGTCTAAAAGAATGCATGATTGAATCGCTGTAACCTGTGTATGCCGCGGTACAATTGCTGGTTGGTTAGACAAGTAAAATGACAAGAAAACACCGATATTTGCGAGGTCTATTGTATAAAAAGGAGCTACTATAAAAAAAAAAGGAATATAGCATCACGCATGCTTATACAGTTGTACGGACAGTGTCCGCCAGTTTTTTGCTTGGGCCAGATAGTTTTTTTAGTCCTAATTATTATATATCCAAATAATATTTTGTAAAAAAAAGAAAAAATGGGGAGTTGATTTTTATTTTTTGTTAAAATCAGAATTTTATATAATTTCACCGGAAATGCGAGGTTTCTTGGGTCAAATGCGATTTTCTTGGGTCAGAAAATTAATTTTAACAGATCAGATAATTTAATCCTTTAAAACAGTTGATAATTAGACACAAATTAAAGGGGTTTCCTTTTTGAATTTTATGATTTTTTTTCTTTCTGTTCGTTGATCTTTGCAGTATCCCAATAATTTTTCACTCGCACGCCGGCCTGGTTAAGGAATAGTTTGTTTAGCCCCGGCCGCCTCTGTTTTGACAAGCATTTGGTTAGCGGGCTATACCGCTAATTTCGAACCCTGATGTGTTATGTGTTATACCTCCATGGTTATTACCAAGCATTTCAGTTGTAAATAGAAATTGCTAGGCCTACGGATGTCCCCGCGTGTCTGCTTTTTAATTGATCAATGGTTGTGAACCACAATGAAAGTTGAGTGACAGGCAGTTGACAAGTCTGATCGATTTCTTTTGATCTTCTAAACCCGCCGGTTCTTTTAGGACACCGAACCGCGAGAACAGATCCATGGTAGTCCAGAGCGTTGCAATTGGGTCAGTTTGACAATGGTGACAATTAATTGACTGACAGGTACATTGATTAAAAAAAACACGAAAAATGCAACTGGTACATCGTTGCATTAATATATGGAATTAAATTTGACGTGACAAGGCTACAGGTATGCACAAAACGATACAACACTCGTCTAACTACAAAAATCAGTTACTTTATTATCATCATTCACGGGTTCACTCCCAATCACACACAACGGTCACACATTGAACTACGGACTACCCGTCACACTATTCCCAAATTCTTCCCAACCATGCCAACCCAATCCTCGAAACCACTCCTAAAACGGCCCGCTTACGAGTTGGTTTGCGTACGAGTTGGCTCGCGTACGAGTTGGCTCGCGTACGAGTTGGCACGCGTACGAGTTGGTTCGCGTACGAGTTGTCTCGCGTACGAGTTGACCAATCCGCGTACGAGTTGACTCGCGTACGAGTTGGTTCGCGTACGAGTTGACCTGTTTCCGTCATAGACTACTTTCAATCACGCATCTTTCTCGGTCAGTGTTGCCCCACCAAAGTCAAAAAGTTAGCACTACTAGCATGACTAGCAAGTAGCGCGGCACATTACCAACGTAGGCCTACATCAGTAAATGCCATTTTGCCCCCTGCCACTTTTCCTCTTGCCACTTCGCCCCATGACATTGCCACATTCGCCCCATGACATTACCACATTCGCCCCATTGCCACTTAGACATTGTCTTCTCTTTTTTTTACTTTAGGCCTAGTCCGAGTAACTTGGACCCAACTTATCGCCTTTTTTAACATTTGGACATGGTCTGGCGATAGTAAGGTCCAAGCTAATACCGAGACCTAGACAACACAGTCCCAAAAACCAACATTTTCCAACAAAAAACATCAGATTTCACCTTCAAAACGGCCTCCAAAGTACTAGATATGTCACCTGAGGTACAAGACCATGTCCAAATGTTAAAAAAGGCGATAAGTTGGGTCCAAGTTACTCGGACTACTTTAGGCCTAGGAAAAACTAGTCCGAGTAACTTGGACCCAACTTATCGCCTTTTTTAACATTTGGACATGGTCTGGCGATAGTGGGGTCCAATACCGCGACCTGGACAACATCATCCTGTCACTGTCCCAAAAACCAACATTTTCCAACAAAAAACATCAGTTTCACCTTCAAACGGCCTCCAAATTACTAGATATGCAACCTGAGGTACAAGTAGACATCGATAATTAAGATGGTTGTACTGAAGTTTACTTACGATCCGGAAAAAAAGTGAAATTTTCCGTTCATTTCGGAGAGCTCCCCTCGCGATCTTGAACACGTTAAATTCCCGATTGTGTTTAATGTTTGAACGACGCGATTTCTTCTACATGCCCAGCGTACATTCGATGGTCCCCGTATCCCGAGTGCGATTCCGTTTCCGAGCGCGCGCGATGCATCGATTATGATAATGAGTAGACTGGATCACGTTTGTAAACACATGTGCATTTCAAACGATAATAGGGAGTCGGGAACTAGCGCAGCTTTTATGGCAGGTACCAGTTCAAGCTGGTTCCCGATTCCCTTTTACAGTTCGAAATGCACATGTACATGTACAGTGTATGTGTTTACAAACGTGACTCATTATCATAATCGATGCATCACGCGCGCTCGGTAACGGAATCGCACTCGGGATACGGGGACCATCGAATGTACGCTGGGCATGTAGAAGAAATCGCGTCGTTCAAACATTAAACACGATCGGGAATTTAACGTGTTCAAGATCGCGAGGGGAGCTCTCCGAAATGAACGGAAAATTTCATTTTTTTTCCGGATCGTAAGTCAACTTCAGTACAACCATCTTAATTATCGATGTCTACTTGTACCTCAGGTGGCATATCTAGTAATTTGGAGGCCGTTTTGAAGGTGAAATCTGATGTTTTTGTTGGAAAATGTTGGTTTGGGACAGTGACAGGATGATGTTGTCCAGGTCGCGGTATTAGCTTGGACCCCACTATCGCCAGACCATGTCCAAAATGTTAAAAAAGGCGATAAGTTGGGTCCAAGTTACTCGGACTAAGGAAAAACCTGACGCAGTAATTGTGTTCATCAAAGTCAATGGACAGGAGAGTCCAGAAAAGGAAAAAAATTCCTTACTGGGCCACCACTTTTTAAATTTAATTTTCAAGCACCAACAGTTGCATCCAAATTATGGTTACTCCCTGCACTTTCCCTCCTCTACTCGGTGATTGTGTAGTGTAGGGCCTGGTTCCTACAAGGGAACAAAATCCACTTTAAAAGTATTAGAATGACCGAACTAGTTGGCAAAATTCTCAATAAACAGGTACTGAATGTCATAGATAGAGGGCAGGGTTTTGATTTTTTGAAGGAAATTTTGTGGTAAAATGACAATAACAGCGCGGCGACAACACGCGACCCGAAAATAAAGATGTCAATCCCCCCGCAATGTACCGTGAGCACGCACAGCGCGCTGAATCGCTAGGCACAAACCGCGCAGGAAAATCGTGATATCTACCCCATGAAAGTTTTGAAACTGTTCAAAATTGCAAAACGGGTGTCATTAGTATTGAGAAAATTGAGCAATAAAAAAAACATTTGACATGTTCGATTTCTTTTTCTTTCCAGTGTAGTTGATGACTGCCAGCAAGATGTTGGCCAAACTCCAGTGGTCTGCAGTTCCTAGATCTGCAAGCCAGTGTTTTCTGACAAGCAGCTGCAGATTTACTCGGCCCGTATGTCACCTCACTCCAGAAGCAAAGCCGTCAAGAGCTTTGCCAACATACCAACACAGGAACATCTCTTGTTCGACATCACTTTTGAGTGGCACGGCAAATGTAAAAGCTGTCCCGAAGCCTCGAACTCACTGGACATCGAGGGCCACAAAACCTAAAATCAGTGCAGCCAGTATCATTGATAGCGTCTTTGAGAAGAACACAGCGGATGCGTTGCCTGGCAACCGCATCTCACCAGAAGAAAGACTCAAGGACACGAGCGTTTACCTGAGTAATGTTCGGAGACGAGCGTTCCTTTCAGACTCTGGTGCCTACAGATCATCCAGTCTTGAAATTCTGAAGGGCCAAGAAAAGAGATACAGCAGTGTCGATGACGAAAGGCTAGAGAGATTGATGAAAGATGGTTCATGCGAGAAAATATCATCGCTCCCATCGTCTGAAATTATCGACTTTCTGGGCAGCTTGAGCCGAGCCCCCGTGACTAAGTTGTTTTCAATGCTTGGGTTATCTCTTGCCGAAGTTTCCGATTTGGCATGCCAAAATATTCAGAAGTGCAATGATGAAGAGTTCTGCAGTGTTCTGATTGCTTTGTGCAGATTACATCCGCTCTCGCTGTCTCCTGAAAATCTGGAAGACTTGGAAAAAGAATGTGAGCGGAGACTGAATACGTGGGACGTGAACACAATGCTGCTGGTCTCCGACTGGTGGATACACATTCGGCGAAAGTCGTCTTTCAATCAGTTGATTCTGAGAGCGCTAAGTGGGAAAGTGGGGGAGATGACGGTTGCGAATGTGGTCCAAACCTTCTATGTGATCGGAGAGTGCCAGTATGCCCCATCAGAAGAGTTCTTGCAGGAGCTGGCGGACCTATCCCAGCAGCACTTGGAGAGTTTCACCTGGAACGAGGTCGGGATCATGTGCAACGCCTTCATCAAGTCGCGTTCCCGTATCTTGTCCCGTCCCTTACAGAGGGCCGTCAGCGCCCGTATCTGCCAGGACATTAACAGCGCCAACAGCTTAGACCACTACAACCTGGTGACGGCCATGCGGTTCATCTCCCGCGCCTACTTCCACAGCTGGCGCCTGTTTGAGGACATCGCACGCACCCTGATCCCTCACGTTGCCGGCATGCCCTACCTAGTCCCCCCTCACATTGTGACGGCGTTCGCTAAAGTCCGGCACTTCAACAAGCCTCTCATGGATGCCGTAGGGATGCGAGCCCTGCAGGCAACAGACTCCGATGTTCGTCTGAAGGATGTCTGGATGCTACTGTGGTCTTTCTGCCGGTTGAACTACCACCCTCCAAACTCGACCAACTTCTTCTCAGATCTGATCCAGCATCTAGTTGAGAAGTCTGAGCAGATGGATCAACCTCACCAATTCATGAAGAGCCTGGTTTCTCTGACTTTTATAGAACAATATCCCTCCAATCTTATCAATAGAGCATTCAGCCCAGAAAGCCTCAAATCGTATGAAGGTGTGTAAACTTGTTTGCATTTTCCCGTTTTAAAAATAAATTTCCAAAGTGGAACAAAGGCATTGACTAGAGTGGTATATGAACCAGGGACCTTTGGAACACCATACCTGTGCTCTACCAACTGAGCTATCCAGCCCTATCGTGGCAGTTTCCAAATTGCTAATTTGTTCAGTGTCTTTGTTTAAAGGGGCGCTGGTTAGAACCGATAAACCCATACATGCTATGTAGCCAGGAATCACGCCCAAAATTATGATGCTAGCCAATTCTACAGACCCGGGAAATGGCTAACTGGGATCACACAAAGTGGACACTAGTAGTACAACCGTATCTGACTGTATTTGTTTTTCACACAAATGTCATTCTCATTGTTTCGACATCCATTAAAAAAATCTGGTTCAAAACTATAAACTCACAGCTTTTTGACTTGTATTGGATCCTGGAAAAGTTCAATGAGCCAACTTTTTTACCCATTGACAGGAAAGAGATGGGTATGAGCAAACTTTGAAAAGTTTTTTGCAAAAGTTATTTTTCCATATTCTATTTGCAGAGAATTGCCCACCAGATATTTACAAGCATCTGTTTTCCCTGGACTGTTCAGTAGCTATCGAGCAACCGCAGTACTCGGGCAACCGACTACCACAGGTTTGTAGAATTGAAGATTTGAATCAGATACTTGAATTAGAATCAAAGAATCACAGAATTAGATTTTGGCGAGCTGTGCTATTTGAACAAAACCAGATTGCTGTGTGTTATGATATGCTCAGGTGAGAACAAAGGTTTAACCCTCTAGTCACTGTAGCAACCAAAACTGCCCTGCCTATTACTCCCTGTACTGCCCGAAACCACCCAGTCACTTCAAAAGAGAGATCCTGTGAACACAGGTTCGTCTCCCCCTCCCCTCCCCCCTCCCCCCTAAGAATTAACGTCTGTAATGGCAAATTCCATCTTACAAGATGTTGGTTGCATTTCCCATTTTTCAACCGGCCAGCTGACGTCTTAAATATATCTGCACACATAAGCAGGACGTCATTGGCTTTGGGTCCCGTCTGAGGAAGCTTCAAAAAAATTTCCACAAGCACTCGGAAGTGTATTGAATTATAGGTAAAATATGTGTTTTGGGGGGGTCTGGACTCGGGCCGAGTCCTCAAGATTGTCGAGTCCTCATTGTTCGCGTCCGAGTCCGAGTCCCCACTATCCAAGTCTAAGTCCGAGTCTGAGTCCTTGAAAATCGGGACTCGAGTCCTCCAGCACTGGTTAGTGAAGGGCAAAAACCCAATGACTAAAACGTTTAGGCCTATAATTCCAAAATATAAGAACCAGATACAAAATTTAACACTCAGTTGTGAAATATTTCTTGTACAGTTCTCCCGTTTTTTTGGTTTTTTTAATCAGGCATTCATAGAAAAATTCTGGCAGTGTCCCCACGGCTCCAGAAAGGTCACTTACCAAAAGATACCCGGCTTGCAGGAAATAGTAGACGGACTGCAATGCATTCTGGGTGGAGCGGCATACCTGAAGGCATACCCTATCTTGCCCCATATCAGGACACCCCTAGGTAAGAGATCATATGGGCCAATATCATAGAGCTGCTTAAGCACACATTTTGCTTAAGCACAAAAAAGACCTTGCTTGTTGTAATCCGGTTGCCGGCCAAAACTCCATGTGTTGTACGTTGCTTGTGACTGGTATGTAGCTGTTGTTTACTTTGCATAACAAACGCATGGAGTTTTGGTGGGTAACCTGATTATATTAAGCGAAGTTTTCTTCTGCTTAAGCACATTTTGTGCTTAAGCAGCTCTATGAAATTGGCCATGGTCATTGGGTGTTTCCCTAACCACGACTTCATCTCCAGATTTGGCTCCAGAAAATGTTTGTATGGTTGCTTAAGACTTTCCATTGATTGTTGAACGCCAATACTGGAAAGTGTACTTTCAAAATGCTCCTATTTTAACCATAATTAATTTACTGGGCTGAAATTCGGACTTCATATCCCTTACATAAAATACTTCAATTTGCGACGGATCAACACACCTTGGAAATTCCCAGTTTTTGAGTAAAATCCATGCATCTATTTCGTGATAACCTTGTGGAGACGTATTCTCCTATAGAAATTGCTCTGTGGAGACGTATACAATCTAGATCTGGTACTGTGTACCAGATCTAGAGGATTGTCTTTTTCCTATGAACCATGCAAACATAAAAGTGCTCATTCAAGGACCACAGTGTCCATGATAAATGATTGTTTAAATTTAAACCTTTAACCCTCTCTCTCTGTGACAGTCTGGAGAGAGTTACCCTATATGTCAAAATCAGGTGACAGGTTTTAACAGTGACGTAAGCTGGCCTCATATTGGTACAATTGACAGGCTGTGGTACATGTAGTTTTGTTTACTGAAGGCACCATGCCTTGACTGATATTGATAGATGTGGTGGGTCAGTTCTAACTTGCCTTATTGTTTGAAATGGGTATTGCAGATATAGAGGTGCATCTAGACGCTTCCTCCAACCCCATGCTGCTAGATTCCAAGCCAGAAAGCTCTTTAGACGAATTGCTCAGAAATGCAAATGGACAAGAGGGTGTACAAAGGTAAGTGAAAAATCCTTATGATTTTGAAATTGTTTACACTTGAATGTCTGCTAAAGTCAACATTCTGTGTAATTTTTAGTTGATTTGGGAAGATTGAGGGCACATAGTGATTAAGTCCTAGTTGATTTTGGAGGAATCAAGTTTGGATTTTAAGTGGAATAAACAAGCTGAGATATTTTTGTAAAGTACAGAGGGTTTCCAAGAGATGAAAGAAAATGTTGTAATGAAGTGAGTACAAAATCTGAATTTTTTTTTTACTGCTCGATTATTTTAGATTCTTGCCCAAACCAATCGATGTGAACTCTTTAGATCTTCTTTTTGACTGTTCATTAAACTTTTACTGCACATCATTACTTAACGTAAATTTATCTACCCTGTTTATCCTGAATTCATAAATGCCTAAGACTGTTTACCCATTTCTATTGGTCGAGAGCCTGTCACATGGCCGGTCTTAAACGGATGATAAAGACACGGCTGGCTGGTCTTAAACTTTTTTCCAGTGTCACAGGAAATTTGGACTCAGTGCCTTTACCGTTTTATTGGTTGAACATTCACAATCCTCACGTCGACATGCACAATACTACCAGTGAGTCAGTATTTCATTGTGCTAAATTCACAACGCACTCACCACAGCTGCATCTGCGTGACATCGCGCAGTACAAGTGACCCGCACGCCAATCTCCATAAAAGGAGTTGTTTACGTCTTACTCTAAGGCTGGACACTCCATTAAATAATTAGAGGGGTGTTTTGAAATAAATTAAGTAAACTTGTTGAACAAAATTGTTGGAAATCTTTTATTTTTGACTATTTTGACTTTTGGACAAACAAGTTTTGATTTTTCCTGCCTGCAAAGATATTTATGAATGGGAATAAATATGTACTTGGTCGGTATTAAAGGGAATATACATCATTTGCTTTTGCTGTAATTTTCATAAATGGATGGAATTGGGGGGTTGGAAATATATAGCAAATATAGTTACACTGACTTTTTTGAGGTTTTGTGTTTGAAAATGCTATAAAAACCAAGAAAAACGATCATTTTCCTGTAGTCTGGTTCCCTGACTCCATATAAGAAGAAACAGAGCCTTTAACATACATTGGGGAATTGTAAGGTCAGGGAACCAGTCTAGCTGGCTCGTACCCGTTCATAGGTTTGTAATCGATTGCAAACAAGTGTGATGGTCAATTGGGGCCAGTATTTGAAAAAAAGCCAGTTGTTTCCAACGCTGATCGGCCGATCAGCGTTGGAAATTGATACAAAAATACCACTTTTCTTGAAAATGACAGTATACCAGGTGCCATGATTTTACAGGATGCTTTACACTGTCATTCACTAACAGTCCAGCAAGGTATTTCAAAATGATTTGGTAGTTTTATTTTTTGATGTTTGCAAATGTTGTATTTTCCCTTTAAACACTATGGTTAAGACTGGTTGGAGTCTGGAATGCTGATGACTCCAACCAGTCTTAAACATAGTGTTTAAAACCTCCCAAGCACACATTTATTCACTTAATAAAAGCTAGCGAGTCTTGGTATAACTTGTTAACAGTAGGAAAATTGAACTGGCTAATTGTTGGGTCGTTTTCATCTTTGTAGGTTGGCGATTCTGGCCGGCCCCAGAGCTCACTATCGCTTACACTCCAAGGATCTACTAGGAGTCCACGTCATGAAAAGGAGACAACTCAAGAAAGTAGGCTACAAGATTGTGGAGGTACGTTGATTCATTCTCATCTTCCAAACTACATAATCAAACTGATGACAGAGGCTTTTTAGTATTCACCAAATCTGCCTACATGCATTGGCATTATAGTTATCACGAAAATTTGCTAAGCACAGAAAATTTTCTGAGGTGGCTCGTGCGAGTCGCGCTCAGGTGGTACGCACGCACTCCGGGCTCCTTCGGCCAATAGGGTTACCAAAATGCGTGCGCCTTGTCTTTAAGAATGGGTGCAAACTGCAGTAGAGCTATAATTACAACACAGCATGATTGTGAAACACCCAGATGATCCCACTTTCACGCTTAGCACATAAATACAAAGATATATATATATATATTAAGAAAGGACTCAAAAGTTGCCTACCATAGAATGGAGGCTGCGCGTCCATTGCACGTACAGTGAGTATGCAGCTAGCACGCAAATGCAAAAAACAGTCGGACGTGTATCACGTTTAAAACCGCTAGCATTGAAGGTGAAACCTAGTAAAATAGCCTCCTGAATTCCAATGAGAGAGAGAACAGTCTGCATTCATTGAGAAAACGTGGACTTCTTTTGATGAAGTCGTACATGGATGTCCCCAAATTTGAAATTTGGGGGCTTAATAATTCCACATGATTATCTTTATTTAACTTTTCCTCTCTACAGGTGCCGTTCTACGAATGGGAACCGCTGCTTCAAGCAACAGAGCTCCACAGACATAGCTACCTCAAAGCTAAGATTTTTCAATGAAGCCAAAACCTATGCAATTGATCCCATTGAGTACGGTATTTTTCTTAGAGATAGGCCAGGCCACCCCACCCTCCAATACTTTCTCAAAAATTTTGCCGAAATATGTCAAGTTTGAATATGTAACTGGGGAGTATTTGCAAAATTGTTTGCAATTTTCAAGAAATTAAAAATCTTAAAAAGTGTAATCTGCGGAATTTAAAGCTCCTAATCCACCTGCAACTTTAAATCCATCCCTAAGTTTCCCTTGCACTTCTATGTTGGGTTTAAGGCATGTGGACTCAAGATTTGAAAGCGGATGATCAGTTTTTTAACGCAAAAGTTTTGCGGTTTTTGGAACGGATGACAGATAAACACGCAGGGAGCGAGGTTGAAAACATCGGTCAGCGACCCACTCGCAGCGAGCGAGGCCAGAGATATGAGTGTGCTGCCCGAGGGTGATGGCTTCAACCCGCCTGGCTTGAGGTCGAGTGAAAAGTAATCCTGCACCTCGTTCCGTTCTTGTCAATATAATCCCGGCGTGAACTGGTTAAGAGTCATTTCTGTAATTTCCCTGAAGTTCAGTGTGTTTATGGCTTTGCCCTGCATTTTTTTGGTCAGAAATATAAGTCGGAAAGCGTTTCTGCACTCCAGTACCATACTCATTAGCTCCTGTTATATAATTCAACAAATTGTTCGTGATAAACTTATATATTATGCCAGTTTCTGAAGGACCAAATGTTGCAATACTCCCTACATATCTGTTCGAATCACCCCGACGTGGCTGGTTCCAGCAAACCAGTAGAGGGCGCCCTGTAAGCATGGTTGACTCATGAATACATGCTACTAAATTTTGTCATCAGTCCCTAATACTGAGATGTAATAATAATAATAATAATTTATTAATTTATAGTGCGCAAATTCCATTTAAAATATGTTCAAATGCGCATTACAGTCATAAAAAAAATAAAAAATAAACAGACGTATACGCAAATTCAACAATACAATGAACACTGATACAGGGTACAAAAAATCAATAAAAAGCTCTCATAAAAAGATGAGTTTTAAGTAATTGTTTAAAAACATTCAGGCTACTTGCTTCTCGGATATTTAATGGCAGTGCATTCCATAACTTAGGTGCAGCACACTCAAATGCACGATCACCAAGGGTGACCTTGGTTCGACTTGCTGAGTAACTGAGGAGTGTTTTGTCATTGGAAGATCTGAGATTGTAATTGGATGAAGATCGTTTTTGGATTAGATAGCATAAATATAAGGGAGCTAGACCATAAAGAATTTTATAAGTTATTAACAGAATTTTAAACTCAATCCTGAATCTCACCGGAAGCCAATGTAAATCAAAAAACAGTGGGGTGATATGACAGTATTTGTAAGCGTTACAGACTAGTCTGGCGCAGGAATTTTGCACACGTTGAAGCTGTGATATTTGAACGTCAGGCAATCCATAGAGGAGGCTATTACAATAATCCAACCGACTAGAAATAAAAAAAAAATAAAAAAAAATAAAAAATAAAAGAAATAAAAATAAATGTAGATGTAGAATGCAACATTTTTGGTAATTTCCATAGACCCCTCCCATAGACAGCCATCTCCGTAGGAAAATTACAACTGCGTGTTCAACCCCATGTGGTGCATGCGTGCGCAGTGTGCAAAATGATATCAGACGCACATGTTGCTTGAAATTTCTTTGAAATCTAGCGCAGCCAATGCACATCAAACATTTAGTTCACAAAATGCCAATGCACTATGCACTTGATAGTCTGTTGGAAGTGCCATCATTTGACAGAGACCTATGGATGATCTCACCAGCTTTCATTTCTTTTTGTAATAATCGCAGCAATGTAAACAACTTATAAACTTTACATGTCCGAATTCTCTTGTTTCAAACAAACTTTGCAAAATACGTTCCTGTTGACGTGTCTAAAAATGTACAGACCCGGCCCCCCTGACGACACTGGACTTACCCGTCTTCTTAGTGGCGGCGGCAACGGGGACCGTCCTGCCAGACCACACCGTCCGAATGGAGGTGGGTCTGGGGTCCCCTGCCGGGAGAGATGAGGCGGGGACGGGGCCTGCCCCATGTCGTCGTCACTGGCGTGCACCTCCAGCGCATCGGCCTCCGCCATCACCACGGCCACACTGTCCCCTTGGCAGAAACGGTGGTGTTTGGCGCAGACATCGGCCCTAAAAAAACGGACTCCGCACCCTCTCTGGCAGGGGTATGGGCGCTCCGGGTGGAGCGCCACACACGCGGTGTTTAGGTGCCTCTTTAAGTTCCTCCTCCTCCCGAACGTCTGGTCACAGTGCAGGCAATGAATCGGGGCCAGGTCCATCCTGCAGGGGGAAGAAAGAGAAGAGCATTTGGTTATTTGTTGGCAATAACGGCTTGGTCGGATTATCTTCCGGCCACCCCGGGTGACTCTCCCAGGAGCCAGCACAATGGTGGTGAAGAGGGCTGTCCCCCTTCGGGCTCGGCCAATTCTGCATCGGATCCGGCGTCCTCGCTGCCCGGTCCTTCTGGGGCGGCAGCCGCCGTCGCCTCCGGTGGCAGTGTCCCCTTCCCCGTCTGAACTGGTAGTGGTCCCTCCTCGGCTAACTGACCACCCACCCCGGCCGGTGGGTCCTCCCGGGTAGTGTCAGTCGACGGACTCGGTGGTAGCGTCACCTCCTGGTCAGGGGTTGGTGGCGGTCCCCATTTTGGCAGGTTCTGCGCTACGTGCCTCCACCAGTCCACTTCGGGGATTTTTGCACGCGGAACGTGACATCATCGATCTTCTGTGTCACCACGAAGGGCCCATCCCATCGCTGCCACCAATGTAGCGTAGAACAATTCTTGGGTTCCTCACACGCACTCAGAAACGACTCCAACACAGGTATACTCGTTTCTGCTGGCTCTAGGCTGTTTATTCCTCACAAAAAAGTACACCGCAAAACACAACTATTCTCTTCAGCAACGAGGCAACAACAATACTACTGTGCATGCGCCGCCCGGAAGAACGGGCCTCCCCAGCTGTCCACCAGGGACTCCACTGCGCGGCTCCACCGTGGAACCGCGCTGGTGCCCTCTGGCAGCCGACCGGCATGGACGCCACAATATCTTGACATTCATTACAGGTCAGTACTCCGACAAAACTCAGGAGGCTTCTTGTGGAAATAAAACGTCAGGAAAGAGTGATTATTTTTGCACTATTTCATGACTTCTAAAAATGAAATTTTTGCTAGAAAAAATGTTTTGAATGGGTGAGGAGAAGGAGCAGGAATCTTGCAGTTGTAACTGGAAAGAATAGGTGTGGCACTTCTTCGGTGTGCTCGTGTATGTGACTGAAGCTGTCAGTACATTTTGGTTTTCTGCTGTTGCAAAGTTCTTCTGGATCAGATGATGTGAGCTGATTGTGTTTGTCAACAGTGATCAGGTGGTCTTTCGTTTCCTCCTTTGAGGATTGCTTTCTTTAGCCTACAACTGTTGAGCTCAACTAAAAGAGTTCCTTGTGCGGCACTACTGATTTTATTATTTTCTGATGAAACAACTGTTTCGGCAATTGTTGGCCGAGTGAACGAGAGACATACATGCGGAGCGCTTGTGTGCAAATGGACACGCAAGTCGGAAACCGAGAGATGGGGCTCGCTGGTTATGCTGGGAGGAGCGACCGTGCTTCGGCGCTGGAATATCCAAAGCCGCGCTGTTGCATGGGCTTTGTGGAGAAGGGACGAAAATTGGTCTGGGTCGGGGCACTCACTAACGTTAGCCACAATTCAGCATCAATGTTGGCCCAAGAATGGGCAGGCTTGTCTTAACCGGAATTGGATGTCATAATCGCGCCAGCCAAAACCCACGCGACGAAAAGTGGCCGAGCGGATCGTATCCGCGTACTTCAGTAACTGACGAGCACGATCAGCATGAGGAATCAAATAAATGGACGCAAAAACCAGGAATGCAGGGGTCCACTGCTCGATGGACATTATGCGAACATTTTGAGCAGCGTGAGGGCGAATTTTCCAAGCAGGTAACTCGTGCGTACCGACCATGAACACGCAGTCATTTTGAGTATTATTACTGCTACGGGCCGGCCGTAAAAGGGAACCAAAGTTGATGAACTCCCCGTTCCAAATCTTATCCTGGATTGGTTTAGAAACCCCCATCCCCAGCTCATCACAAACGCTAGTAAGCTCTGTGTAGTCAAGCGCAGCTGCGGCACTTACACTAGCAGTACTAGTAGTAACTGCCATAGGACGTGAAGTGACAGCCATTGAGGAAGTGGGACAACTGACGGAAATAACCTGAGGATTGGGGGCTGGGGAAACTGTTACAGGCAACTGAACACTATTAGTATTCTGAACACCAGACTCACCAAACTTTGGAGCTACAGGCGGTGCAGCTGGACTTGGCAGGCCTCCCTGGACCGGTGGCAGTCCATCTTAAAGGTGCGGCAGGAACGGCATACGTAGGAGCCGGCATCGGCGGAGCCTCAGAGACTGCAGCCCCCGAACGGCGTCGGCTGGGCCTTGAAGCAGAAGAAGAACGAGGTCTTCCCCGTGGCCTCCTCGCCCCGGAAACCTTCTCCGATGCAGCAGCAGCATTCTTCTTTGATTTCGGCATCGTTCTTATCCCACACAATTGAAGACGAAATTAAAATGTACTGATTAAAATCGAAGAACAAAGCTAAAAATACTTTTGGATTTTAAGAAACAAAACAAACAAAACTGAACGAGATAGGAACTTGGAAAATTAAAACTGGGAAAGTAAATCTTTGAAAATTAATTGATGAGATTCGAGAACGAAATACGCAACCATCCAGCAAAGACTGCTCTGACGAAATGTGACAAACATCCCTTGGTGTTCTGTCTGTAAAGGAGGCATGGCCTTGTTTCAGTTATCCAGTGACCACACATCAAGGGCGTGAGAAAGTAGGTCTGTTCCGGATACTGCTTACCAAAAACTGTCTAGGGGGCAATAAATTCTTTGAAGCCGTATGCCGGCCTCAACTGAATTGTGTTTGTCAACAATGATCAGGTGGTCTTTCATTTCCTTTTTTGAGAATTGCTTTCTTTGGCCTGCAACTGTTGAACTCAACTAGAAGAATTCCCTGTGTGGTACTATGATTTTATTATTTTCTGATGTAATACATTGTAATAGCTCTTTGTGCAGTCTCCTCTATTTTTCAGAACTCTTTATTGAGTTTGTTCCATGTGCACCAAAGCCCACCTTGTTCCTACATATCATCTGTTTGCTTCCCTCTTCCTGAGATGGCTTTCCTTTCTTTCGACTCGTGTGCTCTTTGTTTCTCTTGCAGATTTCCCATCTTTGCTGTTTTTATTCATTCAGCCTCTCCTGGAATTTTTCTAATTGGAGCATGACTTCGTGCTGGATCCATGTACTTAGTTTTTGTTGCCAACCCGTCCAAGCATTCAACAGTCTGTTGTTTGTCCACCTGACTATGGCCTCCAGAGTAATGATGCGAGCAGATGGCTTTTGTCTGACAAGCATATCAAGTAGTGCAAAATCTTGCTCTTCGATCAGATTAGTTGCTGGAACATGCTTTCTATGACGGTACCACTTCCCCCCTGGCAGATGATCCTTGGCATTGCCTTCAACGATCAACAGAATGGCACGACATACCAACTCTAGTGATTGAATACACAATCTCTCCACTTCAACATCATCACATGGCTCCAACAACAAACATTATTAAACCTACTATCCTTCTTAACTTGTGCCCCTTCAAATACATCTTCTCCATTTATCAAGCCGGATGGAGCGTCTTTCCAATCATGTAGTCTTGACCTGAAGCTGGTGCAGTGTGTTGTTTAATGACAGGATGTTGATAGCTTGACAGACGAGCTCTGTGGTTATTTTGTAAACTTGTGCAAAGTGAGTGATAATCTCATCATGTGTTATAGCCGACTACAGCTATAGACTTGCGTTGTCATAAGGTTGTGAAGAAAATTGTCCCATGGTACAATATACGCTTCCTTTAAGTCTTTATTTACAGTTCAATCAAGTAGAAACAATTGCAGAAAATGAGGTTTTGATGTACAGATGTAGGATGGAAGTAATGAAGTACGGAAGAAAGTACGGTAGGAAGTGCGGTAGGAAGGAAGGTTTTGCTGAAAAACAACAAAATATTAGGGGAAATTATAAACTAATACAAATGGTAGAATAAAGTAAATTGGGTACACAAAAAAGGAAATAAACAATGAGATATTAAACTAGTAATAATTAAAGTATAAGATAAATGAAGAAAAACTATACTACTTAAAAACTTACTACGCTGGGGGTGTTGCTAAAATGGGGTGTCTAACTGTGTGTAAACTAACTGTGTGTAAAACTAACGGTGTATAAAAACAGGTGTTGTAGGTTTGGACACTAGCAACAGAATGATGGGAAAATGGGCTAAAACTATGGTCAATGCACAGACAGTGTCCCCACAGGGTGAATTATGGCGCCTTAGGGAATGTTTTGGTCTGGAGTTGGGGGAGGTTGCTATGGGGACCGCCACCCAGGCCTGGCAGAGTTGGGCAAAACAAGGTCGTACAGGGATCGGGGACTGTGGTCAAGGGATCTTACACTAAATTGTACAACTAAATTGTACATACATGGTCTAAGCTAGATAATGAGGATACAATATTTTCTAAACCTAGAGATGATTAAATGGTATTAATTAAAGACAAAAAAATAATAGTTAAATAATAAAGAAAAGTTAAATAATACATACATAATAATACATAATAATAATACATGTGTCTTTGTGGCAGTCTCAGGATCACATGTGTCATGAGGAGTTGTCATCAAATTTGTACAGGCAAATTGAACTTGTATAATGGGAGGTTCTGCCATTGTTTGTATGATGTCTTCCATTGGCACACTAAGAACTTGGCACACTAAGAACTCAGCTTCTGTTATTAACTAGTTGCTGACCATCTCTCCCAAACGGCATTTATCTTCGCTTGGAGTGTGCGCCGCTTCTCTTGCTTGACTGACTTGCCTTCGACCCACACTTCTCGGAAGACATGTTCCTTGATCGTGGCAAGCTTCCTCTTCAGTGTTGGCTTCCTAGTCGATGGTTCCTCTGGTGGTTCGTCAGACATCGCCTCCAGCGACGGAATAGATGACGCTGTCGAAGCTACAGGGGATACTGACGGGTGTCCTGATCAGGTCTACGCATATCTCCATCATCCATGTACACGGTCTCAGTCTCAATTAACAACTGTTCAAATTTACTTACTCTTTGCCTTGATTAATGTTACTGTTACAAACGCAGCCGGGCCGGAATTCAAGGAAGATTATCAGGGAGACACATCAGAAAGCCAACGTTCTTTGGTTTAAGTAGCGATCGTTTGGCTGTGACAATGTTCCCCGCCACAATGAAGAGACGCTCTGATGGTACGATTACCTTTCATTGCATTAAACTCCTGTAAGGGGAGGGTTGCTGTGGTCTGCATTGGATCCATTTGGTTGACCTTCCTGGAGCCCTTGATGAAACTACCAGGAAGTCCCTCCCCCACCTTCTCCATGAGGGCAATGATCATTCTTTTCGGCTCCTTATAGGAAAATTGCAGCACTTTTAGCTATGTGGTTTAAACTCAGAACCTGGCAAGCCGAGGCTATCTGGGAAAATGTTTTTAAATTGAATTAAGAGAACCCTATATTCCAAGGCTAATTACAAAATAATTGTGTGGTTGGTGTAACTTACCAATCTGTTGCTTAGTCAAATACACAAGTGCTGCTTTGTTTGTGCATACAATCGAACCATGGGAAATTAAACAGAAGAACAAGCATGCAATGAAAAACTGTCAAGGTTCTGGTTCATTCAATACATGTGGTAGCCTACTCGACAGTTCCACACAGTCTTTTAGAGTTTCTCCCTCGGAGGAAAAATCAACAGTGCCATAGAAAGAGCTCCTGATTCATGTACAGGTATGAAATCTGCACTTTGATACACTTGAGACTTGCATTCATTTGCTCTTCCGCTTGGCTGTTGATCATTTTGTACTGTGGGTATGCGTCAAGTCGGTATCCAATGGAACTGTCTTTTAGAGTTTCTCCCCTACGGGCAAAATCGACAGTGCCTTCGAAATTTCTCTTGGTTCATGTATGAAATCTGCACTTTGATGCGCTGGCAACTTGCATTCATTTTCTCTTCCGCTTGGCCGTTGATCCTTGTGTATTGTGTGTATGTGTGGCAGGGCCTGCTGCTGCTGTGGTTGCTCACTGTGGTTAAGCTGGGGGCAATTCCTTGCTAGATGTCGGCGATCTCCACAGTTGAAACATCCAGTATATGGGGGTTTGCCCGATTGGGGCTGACGGGTGGGCTGATGTTGGAAAACAGCACACCCTCTAGTCGTGCAAGGCGTTGACCATGTTGGCGTTGCTCCTGGAGAACTCTGTCCAAGGCCTCCATCTGACCACGATGCATCCCCTTCATCTCCTCCAGTTGTTGCGTCATGAGTTGCTGGATTATCGGAGTGTTGGGGTCGTTTGGCCCGAGTGGGACCGGGACGACCTCCTTCACGGGTTGGGCCGGCCCCTTTACGTCTTTACCCAGGGCCTTAACTTGGGGCAAGCTTTGAGCCACCTCGCTCATTGAGAAGGACGTCTGCTGTCGTCTTAGGTCTGCTGCCTGTCTCTCCTCTTCATCAATAATGTGAAGTTCCCGGCGCACGTCCCGGAAGGCCATAAACCTCGGTTGCATCGGCGCCAACCTCTGCTTGTAGTGTAGGTTCCTCAAACCCACCATGAACTGTGTCGCCAACATCTTGTCTCGGCTCTCTTCCTCGGACTTCTGTCCCCGGCGCCGCCTCGTCTTTTCAACCTCCCTCAAGGTGGATTCCAACGCAATGGCGAACTCCATTGGGGTTTCGTTTCCCCGCTGCACCCTGGCGTAGAATTTGGCCACGGGAGACAGGGCACTTTTGTCTTCCCTGTATTCTTCCAGCAGCTCGACGAAGGCTTTCTGCGCGTCTAGACCCTCTGGTGTCCTACTCTCAAGGTTCAGCAGCACATCTCTCGCTTTTCCTCCTGTGTGTCTGACAGCCTCATGAAACTGGAGGATCCCTGGGGCTGTTCCCTTGCATCCAAGGAGGAACCGCATATCCCGGATCCAGTCCTCCAGTCGGGGGCCGTGTCGCTCCTTCCCGCTAAATGTTGGCACGCTCTTGACCTGATGCGTGGTCAACATCCTTGGAGCTCCCTGTCCTCTCTGCTCTGCCGCGGTGTGGAGTGGATCTAGACCAGCAAGACGTAGAGGGGACACTCCTTCTGATGGAGGAACCAAATGTGGGAACTGACGGTGTGCTCCTTTGACCAAGCCCAGGAGTAACTGCGTATGTTGTCTAGGGCGTCAGTTGCGGAGGGGTATCCGATATCAGGTGAGCTGTTCGGTGCTGTTCGTCATCGCAATCAATATACTCCCAACTCTCGACACTGTATTGGTTTTCCCTAACTATGACCTGTCTCTATGTCCTACCTTAAAAATTCCTGGCTAAGTTATATAAAAAAAAGTGCACTAGTACCCGGATTCTCCACCTAAAAGAAAAAAATGTAACCCAGAAAAATGGAACAAAGGAATTGGACCTAGGATCTCTAGAAAATCGCGAGGAAATTTAAGTTGGCAAAGAGACAGAGATTCAAGAGCTATCACTGGAACGCATTTATTTCTCCTGAACGACAATTAAAAATAAACTAAACAAAAATAAAATTATGAGACTCGAAGAACAACCGATTTTGTACCTGACACTTGACCAACCTTGATGTTCTCCTAACCAAACGAATGTAAATGACCTTTGACTTTCCCTAAAGATAAAAAAACTGCTATAAACCAAAAACTCAGTATAATGATCACAACTGAAACTAAGTAAATGAAGCAAAAATAGACTAAAAAAATCTAAAATGACACGAACCAATAGACAAAAAAACAACTCAATCACTTCAAGTCATAAACCAACCAAAAACCATAAACCAGATAAAAAAATAAAGAAACCAACAACTAAAACCTAGAACGAAGATTTAAAATTAAAACCAACAATAAAAACCTAAGATTTAAAACCAACTAAAATTAAAACCAATACAGCATCAAAAGAAGGTCATAAATCGAAAACAACAGCTTAAACAACCTGTAGAAATAATAAAAAGAAAAAACGCAAAGTAAGTATAGAACTAAATGAGTACATTATAAATCCTAATAATAACTAGGCCAACCTAAAACAGGTGCTCTATTCTGGCAATACCACACACTCATCCTTATCAATGTGATTAAGAACTTCTGACCACTGCATAAACAATCAACAGTGCTGAGTTGCCACAAGCATAGTTATGTGTGCTCCAGGTAACAACACTAACTTTCTTGTGCATACTAATGAGTCTTGCCTTGTCCATGTGCTTATCTCCAAGGTCATCTACTAGGCTCTGTGGCCACATCCAGCCACCCAGGCTGTCAGCTAGAGAGTTTACAAGTCACTTAGCACTTCTTGCATACGTACACTGGGGAACCACTATGCCTTAATTATTACCACAAAACATACAAAGCATTTCATCAACCAACTGCTCAGTGGACTAGGCAAAGTCTAAGGCCCTATTATCTCTGGTGGTCAACCTGATAAAAATAAGACACTGTGGCTGGGCAATGTCCCTTCAGTAAAGTAAAGAAATGCATCATACATGTGCACAAGTAGGGACTCATTATACAGAATAAATGACAAGTGAAGGATTTACTTCCAACTATCTAAATTCTAACACTATTGGTTAAAATAAAAAATCCAGCTATGTAAAAGATGAAATACACCTGTGCAAAACTTAAAAGATCACTTGTTTTCTTCTCAAGTTCTCATACAATAAAAAAGTAAAGTTGTACACCATGGGACTAACCATCGGATACGACATACATGTAGTATAATGCACAAAAATACATCGCGCAAAAGTAACTCTCTTGTGAATCAATCTTAAACTCCAAGTGTACTTGAACTTCACACTCCGTATAACAAGAAAAGAACGAGGACCTTTCAATCTCAGGCCACAAGAACAAAAGTACCAATTGGATCACTAAATATTTATCTATTAAATGTACTTTCACTTCTTAGTTAACAAAACAACAAAAACTTGAGCTTACCGAATCCAGCAGCAGACCAAACTTTCAGGGTAGAAAAGCCATAGATTTTCAAGGGAATCTGCAGAGCAAAACTAAATGATGCTGCCCTGCCTTCTACCAGTCTGCAAAATGAGGCATGGACCACATGGTCTCACAGATAAGGGGGTCTCTGTTCTGGACAGGATGTTTACTCTATCCAGGGGTCGTACACTACTATCCTCCTACAGCACTGCTATTATTTTACTGTGTCATAAACTTCTACTTAATTAACTTAAGAGGGCTACAACACAAACTAAGTGTATGCAAGTCAGGGGGAGGGACTCCTATGTTGAAAACCAAAAGCTAATGCAAGTTAACTATGTGGCCCTGCCACACATGCGTCTAGTCTGTATCCAATGGCACAGGCTGAAGACCCACAAAAGACAAACAAAACCTCTCTGTTACACGTAGTAGCCTACTCAACGGTTGCACACAATTTTATTTAGAGTTTCTCCCATACAGGAAAAGTCTACAACAGCCACAAAAAGTTCTCTTGGTTCATGTAAGAAATCTGCACCTTGATATTCAAGGGGACAGGCTGAAGACCCACAAAAGACAAACAAACCCTCTCTGTTACATGTGGAAGCCTACTCAATGGTTTCACACAATTTCATTTGGAGTTTCTCCCCTACAGGAAAAATCGACAGTGCTACAAAATGTTCTGCTGGTTCATGTTTTGAAATCTGCACCTTAATGTGTTGAAGACTTGCATTCATTTGCTCTGCCGTTTGGCCATTGATCTTTGTGTATTGTGTATCAATGGAACAAGCTGAAGACCCACAAGTGGTTGAGTGGTTTTATGAGGGATTCACTCTTTTGGATAGTGAATTTTTGGCTGTTTTACTTGTGTTGACCAGTATTCTCAAATGGAAACAAATAATCTATAATGAAGTCCTTCAGTAAAGTCAATGTTGTCCTTATCTTCGAAATATCTACCGATATTGAACAAAGTACTGCGAATTGCGAAACATGTGATAGCCACACAACGTTTTGCCAAAATGGCGCTCAACATACAACTCGGCAACTACTTAGTAATAGTCAGGTGCATATAAAAACGTGCAAACGAAATATGTTGTATGTGTTTTGAAAGTTCATTTGTCAAACTCTTCTCCATAATTTGAAAAACCTCGAACACAATTTGACATTCAGCTTAACTTGGTAATCGGTTGCTCTAAATATCAACAAGAAGACCCACAACGCCTGTTTTCCTCCTTTTGAGATACAGAGGGATAGACTATTCATCCTTCAACGACTTCAGCTCTTCTTTTGTTGGTCATGAGTTGTGGCACATCCACATCATCATGCTCCTCGTCAAATGCTTGAAGAAGTTGATGAATGGCCACAGTGTAGGTCGGAAACCCTTCTTCTGATGATGTTAGCTTGACACTGTTGTCCTTCTTTTCTTCTCTTTTGTTTAGTACTGTATGCAATGTACTTTTTTGAATGAGCAAATTATTGATTTGATTATTAGAAAAGAGCAACATGTAATAAAAGCAGTGTCTAATTCCAGTGTGAGGATCGTAAAAACATTTCAGTTAATATCACGTTGTGCATGATACAATATAATAAGTCACGTTTTATTCTGTAAAAAAAAAAACTTTTGTGTACATTTCTGCCTGTTTTTTTAAGTTGATGCTCTACATATCAACAAGAAGACTCACAATGCCCGGTTTCCTCTTTTTGAGATGCAGAGGAATAAAGAATTCATCCTTCAACGACTTCCCCTCTTCTCTTGCCTTCAGCATGAATCCCAAAGTATCCCAAGTTGATGCTCTAAATGTCAACAAGAAGACCCACAATGCCTGGTTTCCTCTTTTTGAGACGGAGAGGAATAAAGTATTCATCCTTCAACGACTTCAGCTCTTCTCTTGCCTTCGGCATGAATCCCAAAGTATCCCAAGTTGATGCTCTAAATATCAACAAGAAGACCCACAATGCCTGGTTTCCTCTTTTTGAGACGGAGTGGAATAAAGTATTCATCCTTCAACGACTTCCCCTCTTCTCTTGCCTTCGGCATGAATCCCAAAGTTTCCCAAGTTGATGCTCTAAATATCAACAAGAAGACCCACAATGCCTGGTTTCCTCTTTTTGAGATGCAGAGGAATAAAGAATTCATCCTTCAACGACTTCCCCTCTTCTCTTGCCTTCGGCATGAATCCCAAAGTATCCCAAGTTGATGCTCTAAATGTCAACAAGAAGACCAACAATGCCTGGTTTCCTCCTTTTGAGACGGAGTGGAATAAAGAATTCATCCTTCAACGACTTCCCCTCTTCTCTTGCCTTCGGCATGAATCCCAAAGTATCCCAAGTTGATGCTCTACATATCAACAAGAAGACCCACAATGCCTGGTTTCCTCTTTTTGAGACGGAGTGAAATAAAGTATTCATCCTTCAACGACTTCAGCTCTTCTCTTGCCTTCGGCATGAATCCCAAAGTATCCCAAGTTGATGCTCTGAATATCAACAAGAAGACCCACAATGCCTGTTTTTTTTCCTTTTCAGATGCAGAGGAATAAAGTATTCATCCTTCAACGACTTCAGCTCTTCTCTTGCCTTCGGCATGAATCCCAAAGTTTCCCAAGTTGATGCTCTAAATGTCGACAAGAAGACCCACAATGCCTGGTTTCCTCTTTTTGAGACGGAGTGGAATAAAGTATTCATCCTTCAATGACTTCCCCTCTTCTCTTGCCTTCGGCATGAATCCCAAAGTATCCCAAGTTGATGCTCTAAATATCAACAAGAAGACCCACAATGCCTGGTTTCCTCTTTTTGAGACGGAGTGAAATAAAGTATTCATCCTTCAACGACTTCAGCTCTTCTCTTGCCTTCGGCATGAATCCCAAAGTATCCCAAGTTGATGCTCTGAATATCAACAAGAAGACCCACAATGCCTGTTTTTTTTCCTTTTCAGATGCAGAGGAATAAAGTATTCATCCTTCAACGACTTCCCCTCTTCTCTTGCCTTCGGCATGAATCCCAAAGTATCCCAAGTTGATGCTCTAAATATCAACAAGAAGACCCACAATGCCTGGTTTTCTCCTTTTGAGACGGAGTGAAATAAAGTATTCATCCTTCAATGACTTCCCCTCTTCTCTTGCCTTCAGCATGAATCCCAAAGTCTGCCATAAGTTGCAGTTGCTGATGGGAGCTTTGTAATCCTTACCTCAGCAGTTCCCAGAATTGAGGATAGCCTGTCCACCATGCAGATAAATTGGACTGTTGCTTCGCATTCTTGGAAAGTAATTTGCCAAGTTGCCTTGCAGACTTTAGGGCGTCGGCCACCAAGGAGCTATATAACCTGTTTCAGCTAAATTCACTTTTATCTTCTCATTTTGATATTTCATGTGTCTTTCACTGACCTTGTTGCCTGAAGACAACTCTTCTTCTTTCTGTAATTCCATGAGTCGCTCTATATATACCCAATCAACGATGCCAACCCCTGGAAGTTGGAAGCACCTGTACGTACTCATCATATTTCTGACCAGTTTGATCATGTGACATGCATCGAATAGGAAGGTAACACGGATACTCGGATCTGAAGGATAGGAACTGTTGTCTCCATGTTCTGTGGATCAAGGTTGATGCCTAGCCGATGTTGCTATCAGTTGGTTATAACTCATCCTGTCTGCTGTCACTGAGGCGGCATCAGAACAAAAACAAAGGCGTTTCTGCAATTCAGATAACACATCCAAGAGAGTAGTGCATAAGTGTTGTGCATTGTAAGGCAAACCAGGGCACTTTTTAGTAAAAACTGCTGTTATTATGACCTCAGCCGCCCTTGTGGCACCAAAATACCACTCCAAAGGATCCTTGGAAAACTTGTACATGAGTAAGAATGAGCAAGGGATTTCCTCCACCGTCACTAAACCACGTGCCAGCCAGGTGATGCTCTCATTATCAACAAGAAGACCCACAATGCCTGGTTTCCTCCTTTTGGGATGCAGAGGGATAGACTTTTTGTCCTTCAACGACTTCACCTCTTCTCTTGTCTCCGGCAGGAATCCCAAACTATCCCAAGTTGATGATCTTAATATCAACAAGAAGACCCACAATGCCTGGTTTTCTCCTTTTCAGATGCAGAGGAATAAAGAATTCGTCCTTCAACGACTTCGGCATGAATCCCAAAGTATCCCAAGTTGATGCTCTAAATATCAACAAGAAGACCCACAATGCCTGGTTTTCTCCTTATGAGATGCAGAGGAATAAAAGATTCATCCTTCAACGACTTCTCCTCTTCTCTTGCCTGGTTTCCTCTTTTTCAGACGGAGAGGAATAAAGTATTCATCCTTCAACGACTTCAGCTCTTCTCTTGCCTTCGGCATGAATCCCAAAGTATCCCAAGTTGATGCTCTAAATATCAACAAGAACACCCACAATGCCTGGTTTTCTCCTTTTCAGATACAGAGGAATAAAGAATACATCCTTCAAGGACTTCCCCTCTTCTCTTACCTTCGGCATGAATCCCAAAGTATCCCAAGTTGATGCTCTAAATGTCAACAAGAAGACCCACAATGCCTGGTTTCCTCTTTTTGAGACGGAGCGGAATAAAGTATTCATCCTTCAATGACTTCAGCTCTTCTCTTGCCTTCGGCATGAATCCCAAAGTATCCCAAGTTGATGCTCTAACTATCAACAAGAAGACCCACAATGCCTGGTTTTCTCCTTTTCAGATGCAGAGGAATAAAGAATTCATCCTTCAACGACTTCAGCTCTTCTCTTGCCTTCGGTATGAATCCAGTTGCGGTTGCTGATTGGAGCTTTGTTACCCTTACCTCAGCAGTTCCCAGAATTGAGGATAGCCTGTCCACCGTGCAGATAAATTGCACTGTGCTTCGCATCCTTGGAAAGTAATTTGCCAAGTTGCCTTGCAAACTCTAGGGCGTTGGCCACCAAGGAGCTAAATAACCTGTACAGCTAAATTCACTTTTATCTTCTCATTTTGATATTTCATGTGTCTTTCACTGACCTTGTTGCCTGAAGACAACTCTTCTTCTTTCTATCTTTCCATGAGTCGCTCTATATATACCCAATCAACGATGTCAACCCCTGGAAGTTGGAAGCACCTGTACGTACTCATCATATTTCTGACCACTTTGATCATGTAACATGCATCGAATAGGAAGGTAACACGGATACTCGGATCTGAAGGATAGGAACT